ATGACCCTGTCCAGCATCATCCTTCTTGCCGGCCTGATACCTAACCTAACTTATCTCCAGTCTTACCCCAAACCTTACTACTATGAGTACCTGGACGGGACCCGGAACGAAGACATCCGAGCACAGCATAAATCGAACCGATTTTGAATCGATTGTCGGACCATGGAAATGAACCATCCACTCTTTTGGCGTCGATCAGATCCTCAGATGAGACTTGCATTTTGGGAAAGTCTAGAGCTTGGCATGGCCAGCAGGGAAAGAAGACAATCCAGTGAAATGATCGTTACTTGCAGTGGAGTCGATCCGGGATAGGCGAAGAAACAAAGACCTGCACAGATAGAACCGAAGTTGTCATGTCCTTCGCTAGGAGAGAAATCACCAATCAGTGGGTGTGGATTGTGGGGGTTGAACATTATGTGGGGCTTTTCAGTGGGGCCTATAAGAGCCCGGTGGGGCATAATGGGGGGAAGCCAGCGGGGGGCCCAGTGGGGGGCCTTGCTTCCCCGGTATAAAGACCTCCAGGGTCACGCCCGTTGCCATGATTGATCAGGGCACCTTTAGGCCCTTCATTGGATGCGTATCCTCCTCGTATTGATGGCCCCACTTCGCGTATAGCACCGTCTTTGCAAATACGTGATGGATACCAGGTTACTTCTTATCAGATCATGTGATAAGGAATTGTTCTTATATAACTGATGAAGACAATTCATTATACAGTTGAAACGCTACATGTAATCAACCGAAGCAGACATGCATATAATAGCCTCGTCTGAAAAAATATTGTATTGATACTTTATTCTCCGAGTCTACTCAGGTCACATGCTCTGGTGCGGCGGGTTTCTCCGGCTCACGGTTACTCCGTTTAATTCATTACACAAAATGGTTTAGCATGTCATTTCAGGTCCAGCACTTCTCTGCGTGTTACTATCACTATAAATGTTTCTATAAGCCCTTATTCATCACTGCTCTAACTCTTTCTGTCTCTCTGTTTCTTATAGGTCTTAAAGTATGATATTTGTACCATTACATATTTGTACCATCAATCCAAATTACCGAGGTTTGCTATCCCCCCCCCAAAAAAATAAGTAGTAGAAAAGGTAATGATTAAATTAAGAGTTCAAAAAATCGCACTCTTCGTACAACCTATCGTGGTGTAGTGTTGTTAGCTGGTCCCTGATTCAACACATCACACCCTACATGAAAGAAGCACTGCCTGATAGAGACAACAGGTGGATTTGTCGCGCGTCTATCGTATGTGGTAGACGATCGGACCACTGGAGAATACTCGACCCTCCATATGTCTTGGCTAGCAACGAGCTGTCTCAGAAAGATCGTCTCTTCGTAGTTGCTGAGAATCCATACACACAGCCCAGCGTCTTCATGTACTTGATTGGCTGAGCGAGTATGACTCTTAGCTCGTTGACGTTATCAAGCTTATCTTCCAGGGAGTGCTCGCATATCCATGATACCTTGAGCTTCTCGACGACCTTCAAAACGTGATTACCATCCTTCAAGATTCCATCAAGCGTGCCGGTGAAAGTAGATTGCACGCTTTGGAATCTGCAAAGCGTATCCCCTTTGACTGTGATGTGAAGACAGCGTTAAGCACGTCGCCGAAGTATCTGTGAAACCGGCCTTGAACACCACATCCGTCTTCAGCCTCGACGTTTCCGTAAGTATATGGGCCTCGTGTCTGAAGTGTCAGGCCTCGGACCTCACTGCGCCAGGTATGGCTCTGGTGTGCTGTATGCACAGCGTTCAAAAAGCCCAGTCATGGCTGAAGGTCACCAGTAAACTCAAGTTCGCGAAGGGCGCTTGATTGCGTATGGTATGGGCCGGATTCGAGCTTAGGCGCCGGGGACTCAACTACGTTCTTCGGGCCGATATGAAGCGCGGGACGAGGCATTTTGAGAGATTTGTTTCTTTCTTGACGACGAAGGCTATTAGCGACATCCTGAGAGACCAGTCTCTACTAACACAGATCACAGAGAGTGCGTACGGAGTAACTGGTGGGCAGTGAAAACTTAGCTTGAAGGCTAAGGCCAAGTTGGGTGGAAGGATGTGGAAGGAAAAGAAAAGAGCTGGAACAAATTATTGTATACCAATGCCAAGCTTTAGAAAGTGGGGTCATGTATGGGAGTTGATCCCGATTAGGTATAGGAGAGCTTTTCAACAGTCAACCCCACAAACTTCTATACACTTCACAGCTGAAGAGCACCTCAACATAATCCCAAGTTTGATTTCCTGGAAGTGACTGCACTCGGTTGGCATGTCAGCTGACCGGCAGCTTTGGCAGAGTCCTTTTCCCACTGTTTTTCATCTTGTATCTTCAACCATCCGCAAGCTTTTCCGCAGCTCTGAATATCATCAATTTCATCCTTTTGGACGCGTTTTCATCCCCTATTTCCATAGATTTGAGCTCCACCGTTTTTTCCATTTTCCAGAGTTGAAGATATTTATAAGACTATTGATCATAATTGCTAGAATACCCTGATGTAGAGAAATAAGATTGATACTTGGGTAATCTATTTTCCGTGGGGACGATGCTTTGGGTTACGTCACGGGGCGGTATAGATAATATACTATGTACGTACCTTGTGCGCTTAAGCATAAAAGCAGAATCTGAGCTACCATGGTTCTTTAATCCAGTATAATGGATACTGATAACCTAGAAGAAACTGAAACATTTCTACCGTGTTGGTTGACATAGCAGGTATGCAATACCCTTCTGCGAAGCTGATATCATGGAATACCCAAACGACAAATTATTCTACAACCATATCTCCAGGCACAGTCAAGTAGATAAATTCAGGTTATTTGCTTGAAGGTTTTTCTCGTTCTCAGTAAGTATAGTTATGGAGGTTATCTTTGATTCTATAAAGATAGTTTCCGACATACAAGGCATCTTACGACATTATGATCGGCTTACAGTGTGATTTTTCATCTATATTCTTCAAAGCCAAAAGGTTCAAAAAACCAGCTTGGAGAGAGATCCGATCAGGCTGCAACCATGTTATTTACGCCATCTCTGCACTGACCAAACTTCGGAAACTTGGTATCACCATCTAGCCCTAAAGGGTAGAGTATTAGTGTTCATCTATTTTATTTGAATATCAGTATCCCTGAAATATATGCCTGGACTGACTTCTGAAATATCATCTGGACGTCTTCTGATCCTTCAGCTCTCAGCGTACCGGTTGACCGTAATTCTTGGGGATGTCCAACGCGTTGTATGAATCAAGTGATCGAAGTGTCCTTTCGATCAATCTTCTAACATTGAACCTCAGAAAGCATTTCATATGTTAAAGGGAAACAGTATGCTACTGATTATACATTCATCAAGAATTATTCCATGCGCTCTTTATGATCCCCCCCAAACCCAATCCGCCGCAATCGTCGCAATTATCGCAGCCTGAACAAACCAGTTAGTAAAAATCCACACATATCATCCATCCCCGGCGAACACATACCACAGACAGATCCACTCCCGAAGTAACAATGATATCCAACGCAGGTCGATACCCATCCTTCGAGCTCGAGCGCAAAGCTAATCGCTGGTTGTGCTTAACACTTTGCCGCACTTCTATAACCTTGCGATCCCCATCAACGACATCAAACGACGCCAACACATTCCCATACCGCTCAATCCGCAACGAAACCTTCTTATCATCCTCCGTCTTCGCATCCTCCGCCGCCGTATTCCTCAACGAAAAGCTGAAGTTCCCTATAGCCGACGCACCCCAGACCCCGCGCGGAGCACCACTCCCCAGATACGCAGGATCATCACTCCTAGTACTGCGGCTGCCGCCCGGCAGCGTCACGGCCCACATATGGCGCAGCGACACCCGCCGGTGCAGCTCGAACAGCGGCAGTCCCGAGGCGTCGCGAAACTCGCGACATGAGCGCTGCTCGCCGTAGTCGCTCCCGGACACGGTGAACTCGATTATCCCGTCGTCGTCATCGTGCGTGATGCGGTATGCGACGGCCGACTTCGCGTTGCCCACGGTTTTCAGGACGAGCGTCGTCTTCGTCGTCGTGATCGATTCCCTTCGGATGGCGATGGGCCGATCGGGTGGGCGGAGTGATGGGCGAACGCGTGGGAAGATGGCTCTTGAGAGGGAACTGCGGGAGCTCGTGCCGATTTGGATGTCGCTGCTTCGTCCCCAGACTGACATGCTGTAGTGGTTTCGTTTGCTGTAATGGTGAGGCTGGGAAGAGAGGGCTGGCTTTCCGAGGCGGGGAAGGAGGGTCGATGGTTATATATAGGTTAGTATCGTAGTAGGATCGTCAAGTGTGTACTGCTGATCTATGTAGCATTTGCTAACTATAACACCAGTAGCTAGGAGGCAAGATGGGAGGTCGTAAGCCCTTTGCTGCGCCCGACAGTACCGCTTCCCATTGCGATGACCTCATGGCTCGCCCATTGGTCGATCGCTATACCGCTTTGGGGCTTCTCTGTCAGCACCTATGAGCGGTCTCCACTCCACTGCCGCATTCTACATTCTGGGCACTGTTTGGGAGTATGAATTGAGCCAACAGGACAATTGTTGCAAGGCTGGTTCAGGGCTTAGGTCCTCTTGGCTTCGGGATAGATCGTGGTGCTATAATCACCACCCCATAGCTGGGGCACCAACCAACCACACAACAACTGAGGGCACCAATCGATAATTGTCCCACACAAACACATAACTGGGGCCACGCGCAGATCATCATTGATAATCGAGTCAGATTACGACAATGAACTCTAACACGACGCCTAACTTGATTCCAACTGAAGTGCAATCAATACCGAGGCCATATTCGCGATAACACCGTGGCAGCTCGATAGGATTCCCGCGATACTCTGATGTATCTATCACGCAATTTACGGCCCATTTAACCACATCGGCGCCATGTGGGGACGCCAGGTTCCTTATATACTGAGACCCCTCCTAGGAACCGAAACTCAGCATCCTCCTTCCTAGAAAGTCAAGTCTCAAAGCACGAGACTAGAAACCACCATGTCCGTCGCGAAAGAATTCGAGGCCGCGAACGCCAAGTATGCCGCCTCTTTCGACAAAGGCGGCTTGCAGCTGCCTCCTCAGCGGTACTTAACCTATTGATCCTCCCCAGAATTACCATCCTGCGACGCAGTCTAACAAATGATCTCCAACATATAGCAAGGTAGCGGTGATCGCATGCATGGACGCGCGACTGGGTATGTCTCAATCCTTTCACACTTCTTCCCGTCATCACCTGCAGTAGTATCCCCGGTAGCATCCCACTAACAACAATAGACCCCGCCCGCGCTCTCGGCCTCGAAGAAGGCGACGCCCACGTCATTCGCAACGCCGGCGGCCGCGTATCAGACGCCATCCGCAGCGTGGTCATCTCGCAGCAGTTGCTGGGGACACGGGAGATAGTCATCGTGCATCATGTATTTCCCCTACTTTTTTTCCCTTCCCGCCTACCCAATTCAAGAAACGACACAAGCTAAGATAATAACCCCACAGACGGACTGCGGCATGCTACTCTTCACGGACGAGGTACTCCGCGGTAAGATCCGGAGCGAGCTGGGCCAGAACGCGGACCACGTCGCGTTTCTGCCGTTCGGGGATCTGCGACAGAGTGTCCTGGATGATGTGAAGCTGTTGAAGGAGAACCCGCTTGTGTTGGATGTGCCTGTCACGGGGTATTTGTATGAGGTGGAGAGTGGGCGGATTGTGAAGGTTGAGTAGTTTCTACTTTATATCATATTTATGATTGTGGGAGTTATGGGTTATGTTGGATTTGGATGAGGAGACCATATAGGGTTGACAGAAATAGACTTTGATAAGCTTTCTCGTTAATACATCCCTTTTAGAGAGTGGAGGGTGAGATTCATCATTTGTGTAGAAAATGCTATAGCGTTTAATTTGAATAGACAGGCAGAAGAATATATATATATCGATATGTAGATAGTATATTAAACTACAACTCCAGCCTCGGCCCATGATAATGCTTCTTCGCATAGAGCCACCAGTTGCCAGCCCCAATGACGACCATAGCTGCCAAAACGACCGCCGCATAATCTGAACAGTTGGTTAGCAGCTTCCACGGAATAGTATAAAGATCCACTTAGAGTAGGCGCAACAGGAGAAAGAAGGAAAGAACGAAGAAAAGAGCGCAGGAAGGAACGAAGGTAGGAACGAAGGTAGGAACGAAGGTAGGAACGAACGGAGGAAAGAACGGAAGAAAGAAAGGATAAACCCACTCATATTCCCCCCCTTCACCGGAAACGCAGCCGGAAAGCAAAAGAAAACCGTAATAACCACCGCCCACACAATCGTCATAACATTCGACGCGCAGCCCACCCACCCAGGGACCCAGAAGGCTCTATTCGGCGGCAGGTAGTGGGGGTCACGGCGACGCCAGAGGAGGAGAGCAGCGGGGACGGCGAAAGAGATCTGGGCGACGATGACGGTGCAGGCGATGAAGGCGTTGAAGGCGTTGGTGGAGGCGACGTAGACGATGCCGAGGAGGAGAACGAAGACGCCGTCGACGACGAGGGCGTAGACGGGAACGCGGAGCGTGGGGGAGATCTTCGAGAGGTGCGAGGAGAAGAGGAGGGCTTCGTCGCGGGCCAGAGACCATGTTAGGCGCGAGGTGGTTTGGTGCACGGCGTTGAGGGCGACGCAGGTGATTATGCAGGTGGCTGTCATGAAGACTGTTGCTGCGGCGGGGGAGGATGTGGCTTTTTCCCAAATGAAGTAGACGGGGAAGCTGTTGGGATTATCTTATTAGCATCTGTCTCTCTCTTTATCCACTTTCTCTCTCTGTGTTCCCCTCCACTCGGTCTACCACTGCCCGTTCTCTCTTGTTGGATAGGTGAAGAAATACCCAGTTGGCGACTCCAGTGACGCCGAGACGTCCTTGAAGCTGTAGATTGCTGAAATAGAAAAGGGAAATGCGGTCAAAAACCCAATCAACACTGTGACCATCACCGCGCGCGGTACAATGCGCTCGGGCTGTAGGGCTTCCTCGGCCAGATGCAGTGTGGCATCCAGCCCGGAGAGCATGAATTGCGGTGTGGACAGGCCCGTCAGGAAGGAGACACCATCGGGCCAGCCGTTGGATCCGTTGACGAGATGAGTCCACACTGCGTGGGAATCAATGGTAGTATGGGCGCTGGCGGGGCATGTGACCGTGATGACGATGAAGGTGACTATCGACAGGATGACTGTATCACGTCAGTTAATCACTACATCTATCCTCTGCAACCTCCCACAAAAACATACAGCCCGCATTATACACCCACAAGGTCTTCCCCGTCAGAAACACATTGTACGCCACCATCAATGCATTGAACAGCTGATACACCAGGAAATAGTGCCACGGGGCAGACACATACCCAGGCTGCCAGCGGATGACAATCGCCATCAGAGCCTGGGTGGCAGCCAACGCGATCGACGCCGCCAGTGTAATCCACGCAAACACCGCCGCTAGACCACTGAAGTACGAGAGCCCTCGACTCCAGCGCTGACTGGCCAGGATGGATGTGAAATGGTACTGTCCACCGGCGGTGGGATAGACGCTGGCCAACTCCGCCAGTGTGATCCCCGTCCCCACCATGGCGACTGTCACGGCTATAATCCCATACAGAAGCGAGGGCGCACCACCGGACTGGATGGCGATGGAGAAGCTGGTAGCGATGGCCACCCAGCTGTTGGAAATGTTATATCCTACTGCGATGATGCTGAAGATACTGAATTGGCGCCGTAGCGGGGCGATCTCGAGGCCCGTGACGACCTGGCCTGTGGCTAGTTCGATTTCCGGTACGGCGGAGGCATCGCTCGTGTGGGGCTTCGAGGACGATGATACTGACGATGGGCGTTTAGATTCGGACATGATATGGGCTGATGTGTATTGAATAGTATGGTCTGACGGGGATCGTATGTTCGGGGGGAGGCAACATATTAAGTTACTACTTCCTACAGTGAATTCCTTTTTACTTTCTTTCATTTCTGTGCCAGCCAGTAAGAGCAGGACGTGACGACCAATGATTACCTATCTAGATGCCCCAGTTGATTAACATGTTTCAATTAGGACAGCATGACAGTGACACCGGACAGCTTATCAAGTTTCCAGCAGTGCCTATCGTGACGATCGACGCATCAAGCCTCGAACAAATGCGGAATGACGGCGGAATTAGTCCACATTGCCGAGTGAACCATATGGATTTTGCGGGGAAGCAGCCAATGTCTTGCTGTATTCGCCTCTCCCCGCATTTCACTATCTATTGACTTCGAATGATACGAACTCGACCGTCCGATGATCCCTAGCGAGATAGGCAATTCTTACGCCCAACGCTATCTCCGCGCGAGGATTTCCGCCCTACGCGTTATCACGGCTTGCTGATAATCGAACGAGTGGATTGGGTACGCCTATCGAGCTACTGCGCTCTAGCTCTATCTAGGACACTGCAATTCTTCAAGGCGTCATACCAGCCACCCGATTGGATTGTGAATCCAATTCGGACCCTCCCCTGATAGATAGTTTCCTTCTTCACCGACCTCTGGAATCTTCAAATTCCCTCCTCAATTTTCACTTACCTTATCTCTTCCACGTCATGTTCTCAATCCAGTCCTCCCTGATATCCACAATTGAGCTCCCAATGTTGGGGGTCATGACAACAAGATAGGCCTACGCCTCACCGGGCCGGTGGAGCCCCTTTCCTCGCGTGAACAGTGCCGCGATGGTCGCCACGAGCCCGAAACAGGCAGACGCCAGGAACGATAGTCGAATCCCGCGGTAATACACCAGGCGCGCGGCCATCTGTACCTCAGGGGGCAGGGTATAGATTGCCGAGACGGAATGACGAATGTCGTCAATGAGCTAGGGGGAGATAAACCAGATCAGCCAAATGTCCGGGTGGGACTGGAAAAATCAAACCAGTAAATCACACGCAAGACAGGGATACTACTTTCCATTTATCTGGTACTCCACTCAGGGCCTCTGCGAGACCCGAGCGCAATGTGTTTTGAACAATTGTCGACGTAATGGCCACGCCCCACACCGTACCCAGCGAGCGGACTAGGTAGACAGTTGAGGCGGAGACAGCGTGGTCTATTGGGTCAGATCGTCGTTTTCTTTCTTGGAGTGGGAAAATTAAGGAGTTATTTACCTGCGTGGTCGAACGCCGCCAAAAACGTAAACAAGATCCCGGGATAGACAATGCCCTGTCCCAAGCTGGCAGGAATGACATAGACATAATACTTCCATTCGGAGTCGTTGAACTGCAACAGCATCACGAGGAAGTTACCAATACACATCAAGGCGGCTCCCGTGCGGACCAAGTGCGCGAGCTTTCCCCAGCGTGACATCACAATGCCAGAGACGAGACTCCCAATGGGAGCAGCCAGCGACGGGACAGCCAGGCGGGCCCCAGCCTTGGAGGCCGAATCGAGCAGGATAACCTGGAAGAGCAGCGGAAGGGTGAACAGAAACTGCATAGTCAGCATCACACTCACACAATACCTATAATCCAGACACAACTTACAGCATACGCAGCCATCCCAACACAAACGTTGGAGATCTGCGTCGCAACAGGCAACACACCCTTGAGCATACGCAGCGGAATCAACGGAATAGCCGACGTGGTCCCCTCAACGAACACAAACAGCGCAAGCAGCACAACACTGCCGACCAGCGATCCAACGACCCACGGATCGGACCACGGGAGCTCGTTGCCGCCCAGACTCAAACCCACTAGCTGGCTCGACAGACCCAGGATCAGCAGACAGGCACCCGACAGATCGACATATTTCCAGATCGCGCGCAAGCCCTGGCCTGGCTGTACCAGTCCGTTGGAGGAGGGGGATGACAGGTTGATCACCAGGTAGCCGGTGACAAGGGCGAATATACCCACGGGCACCTGCATGATGAAGCACCAGCGCCAGCCGATCGTGTCGACGATGGATCCGCCGAACGAGGCGCCGCAGACGGCTCCGAAGCCGTTCATCCCGTTCTGCAGTGCTTGATACATGCCGCGGCGGCGGAAGGGAATGAGATCGGAGTTGACGATCGTCGCTGGAGTTGTTAGCGACACTCCACATACCGTGACACGAAGCGACAGAAAGAAAAGGACAAAGAAAGAAAAGCAAAGAAAACTCACCCATAGTCATCAACCCACCCCCACCAATCCCCGTCAGCGCGCGCATCAAATTCAGCGTGATGATATCCTGCGCAACGCCGCAGCCGATACACCCCGCGATGAACGTGATCGTGGCGGTGAAGAAGGACGTGCGACGTCCGAAGATGTCAGAGAACCGCCCGTACAGCGGCTGGAACGCCGTGCTGGTGATCAGGTACGAGGTAGTCAACCATGAGGCCGTGTTGGCGGCATTGAAATCAGAGCTGATCACTGCGTAGGTCGACGCCGTGATAGTGCCGTCGAAGCCGGATAGGAAGACGTTGGACATGATTGCTGCATTGGTTAGTTTTTTTTCTTTTGAATAATTTTTTGTTGTATCTTAAATTTCTTGATTTTATTCCTCTTGAAAAAAGAAGAAGAAAAAGAAAGCAAGAAAGAAGGAGTGTTACCTATTTGAATCCAGACAAACCCACGCGGAGGCTTCCACATAGCCTCAGGCGCGGACGCCGACTGCAACAGAGGCTGGTCCTCAGCCGGCGCCGCAGGCTCAACATCACGATCAGGATGCTGCATACTGCAAAACAATTCCTATTCTCGCGTATAGTCAGACGTGTAGACTTTAATCGCAGCCAGCTTGAACCCAAGTACGTTGAAACAAACTATCACCAGAACTCAAGGAGGGACAGGCGTGCGGGGGTAGCGAACAGATGGTTAGTACGGTGAACATTTAAATACTAATGTAAGTAGTAAGAGCCTAGAGTCGGGGACCGTAAAAGGGTAAAAAAAATTGAGCATCCGACAGATCTTGTCAGGCACGATTCGTCATTCGTTGTGAGTGTCGTTTTTTGACCCACTTGTGTCGGTTATCAGCTTGGCTACAGATGCTGTAGGTGGCGAGTGGATGGGAGGTATAACAACTCCATTGGCAAGGATATTGGCTTCAATATACTAACTAGGTACTTGCAGGTTCAGGATAGATGCATAGATGCTGGATTGCAAAGTGGAAAGAAGATGAATGTCTAAGTAAAAATTGTAACCCTAAAGCCCATTCGGTGGCGCTCTATACTTCTGGCAACCTACTCCACCACGATCGGACATCCATGCTTCCATAGCTAATATCAATCTACCAATCCTGAAATCCATTATAGACCGGAATTTCTACAGAACCCCATCCTACACGACATCCAAGCAACGACGTCAGGGCCCAGCGAAAGCGTATCCCGAGAAATCACAAGCAAAAAGCCCCATCATCATCCCCAGCCCTACCAAACCGAAAATCAACCAGACACCGAACAAGACACATCCAACTCCACAGACTCCAAACCAAAAGCCAGACAACCCGCATCCAGAAAGCCTCTTTCCGTCCAACACCTCTCAACAACGCCCCCCAGCCAGATCCCCTCCGTACAAGGCAGCTCAGCCCGCCTTGGCCATGCAGCCCGACCATCATCAGGAGCATTGTCTCTGAAAAGGTCAAACTCGCATCTCTGACCCGTGATAACCTCGTACATCACGGCGCCAAGCTGTCCGATATCTGTCTGTACGGAGAAGCCGTTATCGTCGACTTTCATGTGGGCAAGTTGGACGGCATTCTCGGCCAGTCCAATGCAGGGCACCACTCCATCAACCGAGCCAGAGAGATTCAACCGGCGATAGACATCTTGCTCGCGTTGAATCACTTCAATATTGATGTCCACGTCGGAGGGGCTACTCCAAGGATGTCGCAATGGTATCTTGATGGCCTGGCCTGGCGATCTCGATGGATCACAACACCTGTCCTTCCATATCCCAAGGTTTCACTCTCGGAGATAGGCTGGCCCTTGAGGTCTAGGAATAGGGAGGTGGCCATTTCAAGACAACAATTGGAAGGATGGGGATAGGTGTTGTTTCAGGAGAAGCTTGACAGCTTAGAGATTTATTGGTATAAAGATAGTGCATGAAGTAGTACAACACGTGGCAGTGTGCCAAGGTGTATACAATCCGAAACTTGTAGTCGATACTGTAATAGTATTTAGTGCTTTAATTTATACATATCCTTGATATATATTTGTTGAATAACATTACATGTTGCTGGAAATGGAATTACAGACTTATTGCATAGAACTATAGATAGTCCAGACAAGCGTAGTCTAGATTCTATAATAAGCAAATCAAAAGTCGAAAACTGCCGGACATGATTACACACAGCCTAGCTTTCCAGACTTAGACCGTTTAATATTGCCAACAATGACCTGTCTATATCAAAACAGTCGTCCACCAGAACGACACATAGATGGTATTAGCCAAGCAGCTGACAATGGATGGATCATGATAAGACAATTAGACATAGACATAGACACTGATAGCAGCACGCCCAAAAACAAAAACGCCCGTCCCATCTTCAACCCTGTGGTGGTCCCGACTGTTTTGAATTCGTCAGTCGTGAACGCCCCGGCCTCGTTGATATCTGGTATCCTCGTTGATAGTATCCTACGTTCCACACATGATACCCCGCGCCCTCCTCTAGACCGGACTGATGATTCCCCTGTAGTGCGGCGTGCCTCGGGATAGCGTCGTGTTCTGTTTAGTCGAAAGCGAGAGATAAGAAAAGAAAAGGACGAAAAATCCCGAAAATAACCACTCATCTCGCCTTCCCAGCCTGATTCGCAGCTTCTACATCAACCAAGCAAACCACATTAGCCTCTCACCCGATAAAACCACCCCTCCCAACCCCTCAAGCATAGGAAATGGAAAACATACCTCTCCGCGTAGCATCCTCCAACAACCCCACATCGACCTCCGACCGCGGCAGCACCACATAGCGCACCACACTACCCCGGATAAACATGTTCTTGACAGACGACAGGTGCGGGTACTTGTCGAGATCGAGCACGTCGACGTCGTCGAGCTTGATGTTCAGGTACTGGTCGACGGATTTGAGGGTGCCGCGGATGCGGATGTCGTTTTTGAGTTCGATGGTTACGGTTTGGTTGGTGAGGGTTTTGAAGAAACTACATTATTTGAGTATCATGGTTAGTTTTGGATATACGTATGTATAGGTATATATAGAGGAGGAAAGAGGGAGGGGGAGGACGTGTTGGAAGTGGGTTTATGGTGAGGACGCACCTGAAGAAGAGCATGGTTGCGGTGGGGGTGTCGTAACTTGGAGTTTTGTGGTGAGTGTTGTTATTGTTGCTGCTGTTTTATGGATATCGCATTCGCATTGCCTCTCAAAACCGGGGTAGAGAGCAGCTTTCAATCGTGATCCTGAAGAATGAAGAAACTGGGTCGTCGTGATGGGTGCAAATCAGTCCCGCGGCCAAGCTCCTACCTCCGTGATGGCATCGGCGGGACTGAACTGGGCGGTCACGTGAGCTCCCCGGTTGCTTAAGGCTGGTTCCTAGTGCGAAACACATACACTCCAACCACCAGTTTTCCTGAAGACAAGTTTGAATAAGAGATTTTCTACGGATAAAAATATACTGTTTTGATCATTTTGGTGGATTGGAACTATCATACAACTCTCTACCCCCATAGTCCCACCGCATCGCTCCTCCATGACCACAACCACTCATCCCCAGCTTCTCACGCGCGAACTCATTATTAGATTATGACACCGCCAGGGTGCTGTAGTGGGTATCATGATAATCATCCCAGGTGGTCCCAGTAATGCCAAAACAAGTATAAAAAAAAAGGAAAGTGGAAGACCAGATAAAAGACAACGAAGAAAACGCCAGGCAGCCAGGCTAGGCCTGAGTCTACCGTTTTGGCTTCATCGCCCATCCAGTCAGGCAGGTCCAGCCTGCGCTATTCTTGCGACCCTCATCAAACACAGCCCCCACTCCCTCAAGGAGCTTTTCGCGCTCGCGACCCATCTCCATCTGCAACTTCAACAGCCACTGCTCCCAGATCCACCCGCCAAAGAGACCCGCCACGCTGGCGATGTCTGCCGTGCTGCCGATGGGCCCGTGGACCGCTTCGTACGCCTCGATCTGGCTCTTGACGCGGGGCTCGGGCGTCTCGCGCGGGACTTGCGGTGGGGCGGGCTCGACGCCCATTGGGAGGAACGTCCAGGCGCGCTTGACACCCTCGAATCCACCCTTGCGGAGACGGCCGAGGAAGCTCTTTGTCGGGGTTGGGTCGTATCCTCTGGTCTTGAGACTGAAGGCGAACTCGACGGAGGTAGCGGTTGCGTAAGGTCCCGCCTGTGCTACCTCGGCGTCCATGACGAAGTACTCCAAATATCCCCCCGGCTTGAGGCATCGACGACACTCCTGGAGGCAAAGATCGTATTCGTCTTGCTCTGCGTTCGCGGGACGCTCTGCCTTAAGAAGGGCCGGGAGCGAGCGAGCTGAGATCACGTCGAACTTGTTGTCCGGGAATGGGAGCTTCCACAGCTGGCTGACCGCAACCTGGCGGTGGTTGTCTGGCCCCTTGATGCCAGGGTTGACCGCTTGGCGCTCAGTATAGACCGTGTATACCTTCACGTTGGAGTGGTCATGTGCAAGGTGCCAAGCCCACTCGCCGGACGCATGTCCGCCGAGATCCAGGACCCTCACAGCACGTCGACGGCCTTTTGACGACGTCGAGCTGGACAACCGCTTCGCTGCGGGGCTGGTGAGAAGATGTCCACCATTGATGTACTTGAGGGCATCCATGGCCCACATGGATTGGCTGAGTTGAGCTAGCACGGACTGCTCCTTCTCGATCATGGAAAACTGCGCCTTTTCTGCGAGCTCTGAGGCAATCACCGAGTTACGCGGGGCCTTCGAGAAAGGTCCCTTGTACGGAGGGCGGCCTGGGTCGTTCAGCTCGTAGTACCCTTGCAGGCATCTGACGTGCAGGTTAGGCAAGCCAAGCCGAATGGATTGAACGGCGTCAAAGCGCATGTGACGATGCAGGAAGGTGTCATTCTTGCTGGAGAGCTGACGGACCGATTGGAAACCCCGCCAGTAGATAGAATCCTTGCTGGCCGAGGCCGAAGGGCCGGAACTTGGTGCGTCGGGCACGTCTTCGGCGAACCGGACAGCTCTTTTGCCGTTGGTCTCCGGGCGTTCTTGATGAGCGTCGTCATTGGATTCGTCTGCCTCGGACTCGCTCGCAATATCGGGTAGGTTCACTGGGTTGCTTTCTCGGAGGGCGGAGAGGTAGGATTGTTGTGCAGCTAGCCAAACGCTAGTCCTGTCCAGACTCGCCATTGCTCTCTTCTGCAATTCTTCCTCGTAGGTCTCGTCCTGCTCGTCCAGATTGTTGGTGGATACGGGCCTTGAAATCTCGGAGATGCCTTCAGGACCAGGACTGATGGGGCTTCGTTGATTCCCAAACGCGTGGCCTTCAGCATTGGGAGGCAGCCTTATCGCCGTAGGGGGAGCATATACCGCTGTCGGTTGGTCGTCTGTGGGAATATCACAGCACTCGATGACCTGTTCCACGATTTGCCCCTCGTCCCGCCCGAATGGCAAGTTGTAGAATCGCTCAGCAACGGCAGATGAGGGTGGCATTGCGCCCTTGGGTATTGACCAGGTATGACGAGCTCGTGGCCCCAGCGAGGCAAAGAATCCGCCCGGAGACGGAATGCTCAGGCTGCTAAAGCTGTGTCCCGATATGGCGGATGCTGGGGTCGCATCGCCGGCACTTCGGGGGCGTTCTGGAATCCCGTGGACCTCCCACATCTCCTCGTCCGCATCCGAGCCCTCCGACCAGGGATCTGGCGTCCTATCGAGCGGGATGTGCCTCAACGTAGCCATGGCACCTTCCGGTAAGAAAACACCGTTGTCGGATGGTGTATGTTCACGCGAGGGGCCCGCTTCGATATGCGCCGGTGGAGCGGTCGAACGGCCCGGGATGGAAGGAAAATTTCCGAGCACTCGCTGCCAGTCATCATCAGGACTCTCCAGGGCGATCTCAATATCTTGCACGTCCGATTCCGGCTCGCGATCCGACACGTCTGGTGTCCGATCGTCCTCGATCCGGGATCGGATGTGGACATCTTGGGCTTCCCAATCCGCGTCGGGGAGAGATTGCAGATCCGGGGTTGCGGGAGCACTGATGTTGGATACTTGGTCCGACGACACACTGCCGCCGTCCAAAGACGGTGGAGCATGAGCTGCCGGTACCGAGCGTGACAGCAGCGACAGCGCCGCTGGCGACACCGGGATCTTTGGAGGCGGAGTTGGCGGAACGGGTGAACTCTTGGGTCCTCCGTGGAGCGATGGCCACGTCTCGGGCGAAGGGATCTTCAGGCGGGGATAACGGTTGCGATTGACGGGGGACGTCAACGAATGTCTGGTCGTCGGGGTCGCCAGGCTCGTGGGCCGCGTGCTGGTGGAGATGGACGTACAATCGTCGCTGAGGTCGGACTCATCGTCGGTGGCATCGTAGAGCTCGTCAAATGGTTCCATTTGGCGCTGCCATTCCGTATCCGAGCACGAGGAAATGGACCCAGCCGACATGGGTGAGAGAAAGCGGTTCATGCTCGAGGAGGGGGGTAGATTGGTCGTCTTGAGCTTCAACCGGGGACCTAACGTTGCGATTGGGTTGAATCCTGTCTGGCCCGCCTCGTCCTTCTGAACTGCCCGGCCTCTCTGGTCGGCTTGGTTGGCATCATGCTGATCCGAATCTTGAAACTCGCGCAAGTCTTCGGGTATCGTGTTTAGCTTCGTCCCCCGGACCGGCCGGAAGGGTGGACCTCTGATGGTGGCCATGGTGTATCACGACAGGGAAATCGACAGGATCTGTAAACGGGTCTCGACACCGATCAACGGGTCGATTCTAGTTGTTATAGAATTATGTAAAACGTAGAATGAATGATGGATGGCCTAGCTTCCAGAGCCACAGGCACAAATGAACACAAATACAACGCCCAACAGGATCAACTGCAACAGAGGAAAATCGCGAGGGACCACCACGAAGGAGCAAGTGAAGCCCCCGCCCGATCAGTCGCGCCCGGCGGTGATATATAGGACTACTCTGAAAGGAGGGGAGATCGGATGGAGGGCGCCTCTCCCATGGCCCGCAGGAACTACTGCAGCATTGTGCACGCAGAACCATGAATCCCTGCAGAATCCCCAGCAGCTGGCTACCTGATTGGGTATCAAAGGGCCAGCGCGACGCTTTGGGCCCCCCTCGAGCAATCAGCGACTTGCTCTCTCAGAGGGCATCACGCTGGCGGCAATGGACACACCAATCATGGGGAGAAATGATGAGGTCTCCCTGTGAAGAAGCGCTCTTCAAGCATGGGGAGGGTGGTTGGCCGAATGATTGTGCCTCTTATTGGTGAAGTATAAGCGCCGGGGATCTATCTTTAGAATCGAACGCCTTGGCTAGAGGGGAGGAGAGGGGATGGAGGAAGATCACTGGCCCTCTTTCCACGCACGGGTCAAATTGCACCCTCACTAATGATTGATTTCTTGCCCACCAGTATCCCGGTTTGATTGATGATCTATTCTGGTTTTCTTTCCAATCATCTTCTTTCAGGTTTCCTTGGTTTCCTTGGTTTCCTTTTTGAATCTCTTCTCGAGGGCGATCCGTTGCTGGCCGGAGTGGGCCGACCAACATACCTGTCGTCATCCTTATGACAGACCGATAGTAGGATGAATCTCGCGAGATAAGGGACAGCTCCTCTCCGGTACTTCCTACTCTGTCTTTAGGATGACTTCCAAACCGGTCGGAAAGCACAGAAAAGGGCAACCCGACGCGGTGGAGCACGGACAATTGGGAGACATTGGGAACCAACAACGATCAACCAAGCAGGGGAGGGGGGGAGAGGAAGTCAGCCGACCATCGCGCATCGGATTTAGAGCCGGATGAAATGGGTGAGGACTGGGCCAGGGACAGTTGGGTGGAAAACCAAGATTTCTGATGGGATTGGAACAAGTGTTTAGGGACCAATTGGGGAGATGCAGCCAAGAGGAAGCAGTCCCCGTGACCCGCAGAAAAGATGGAGGATCGTTGACTGGATTCATCTCCCACTGCTTCGTACTAACCACTACACTCACACCGTAGGGATTTTCCGATGATTCCCCCGTCTTGATGGCTAGACTATCTTAACTCGATCGAGCCGATTTGACCTGGATCTACCATCACAGGATCAGAGTCTCGACTCCCAGCGCCATTCAACCGCCATTGATGATCCATATCCATTAATCATACGGAGGACATCCAGCAATCACAATCCAGTCAGGTCCTTCGAGTCTAAATATTCAATCCTTTTCTTGATACTGTCGGACCACGTGCAAGGCTTGGCCCTAGCCCTCTGTCTAATGAGAGCTTGAGGTTCTATTGACTTGATTCTTATTGTTCTGGTTTGTTTGTTACTGGCTCGACCCATTTCGTCCTAATTGCCTGGGCAGCTATCAAGGTGAGGATGACTTGGCAATGTGACAGTTTGGATGAATTTGTTCTGGACTCATTGACTACACGGTCAATTGTTTCCTAACGGATGCGTAACCACGATGAATTCACCACCTGCATGAGGAGATTAGTCATGCTATACAACGGTCTCCGCGGCCGGACTGAGGTTGGCCGGAAATGGCGGTGATGTCGTTTTTATTTTATTTAATTCTATTTATTTAGTTCAGATTTTTTTTCTTTCCTTTTTTCTATTTATCGCCCGATAGAGTCCAATTTTCTCAACCCACCAGGTCACCATACTATCACTCCTTACGCTCACGCACTGCTCATCTCCGTCTTTTAAAAAGTATCGTGACCCTCGTCCTTCCACTCTCCTCCCGCTCCTCTGCCCCTCCATCCCGCCGCCACATCTTTCAGCCGATAACGACAGATCCGTCCTTACCCCCCACGCCTTCCCAACTCCAACATCTACACTCTACAATCCCGTTCCATTGCATCTATCAGTGGAAATCAGCATCATGTCTCCCCCCGCAATCATCGCGCCGTCCATTCTGAGCGCAGACTTCGCCACCCTGGGCAGCGAATGCTCCGCCAAGATGGCCCAGGGTTCCGACTGGCTGCACGTAGACATCATGGACGGTCACTTCGTCCCTAACATGACCATGGGAGCTCCCGTCGTCAGCAAGATCCGGACCCACGTCGAGCGTCCAGCTCAACCCAGCGGCCGGGGGACATTCGACTGCCACATGATGATCGCAGAGGTACACCCACAGAGTCCTTACCACAATGACCTATCTATCTTCAAGACAAGACACTGATTGTTTCGCTTTTGAAATATATAGCCCCAGAAATGGGTCAAGGAGTTCAAGTCCGCTGGTTGCGACCTCTACTGCTTCCACTACGAAGCCGCCGTGACCTCCTCCGCCGCGACAAAACCCACCGACTACGCCACCACGCGCAAGACTAGCCCGCGCGAGCTCATCCGGTATATTCACGAGGAGGGTATGCACGCCGGAATTGCCATCAAGCCCGATACGCCCGTCGACGTGCTGTGGGAGATCCTCGAGAGCAAGGAGGAAATTGAGCGGCCGGATGTGAGTTACCACCTACTACACTACATCATCAATCAATCCACCAATCTATTTATCCACCAATCAATCAAGAAAGCAAGCAAGCAAGAAACCCAACAGCTAATATTGGAAAACAGATGGTCCTCGTCATGACAGTCCACCCCGGCTTCGGCGGCCAAAAATTCATGGCCTCCGAACTCCCCAAAGTGACCGCCCTGCGCGAGCGATACCCCGACCTCAACATCGAAGTCGACGGCGGGCTAGGCGTCGGAACAGTCGACCAGGCCGCCGAGGCCGGTGCCAATGTCATCGTCGCTGGCTCGGCGATCTTTGGCGCCCAGGATCCCGCTGACGTCATTAAGCAGCTCCGGTCTGCGGTTGACAAGTACCGAAAAGCGTAATTTATTTTTTTCTCCCTAGTTATCTTATATTACATCACTTTATCTCTGCATTTTCGTTTCTTTCTTCATTATCTATATGGGTCTTCGGCGATTCTTCCATTTCTCTCTTCTTTTTTCTTTTCACTTATTTTTAAATTTCTCATTGCATGCATATGGCGGACGGGCGGACAGACAAGCAAGACAAAAACGAAGACAAACAGACGGGCGACTCAATTCACCACAATTAATTCCTTTTCCTTCCTTTTCCTTTCAATAGAATTTGGGATTCAGGGTCCCTATGATTGGGTTATATACTATACCCTATTTATTAATTTATTTCATCTGGACTGGTTTGACTGATATAATTACCTACTACTATTACTTACTACGACTGACAGAGCTATTTATATGATAATGCATAATGTAACTACTATAGTGATTATTGTCATCGTGATTCAGATTCTTAATAATAGTAAAATCAATGATTCAGGCTGAAATAACAAGACAAGACATAACTAGAATATTTCCCTACCGGTTTGAGGGACCGCCGGCGTGTGAAGAGTAGACTGAAGGGTGAAAAAATAACTAGAGAGGAAATATGTGTGAGAAATAAACCGAAAAAGAAAGCAAGAAAGCAGAAAGAAAAGGGAAAAGGGGAATGGGGAATGGTAAAAGACAGGTATCTATATACAAGGATAAAATTAGAACGACAACACAACCAGCAAGCTCAAACAAAAGACCATTTTGGTACAAGGCGTTGCGACACCAACAACTCAACTACCTACTCAAATCCGCGCTTCTTGTACCCTCGCCGCCATCTCATCCACGCCAGCAGGCTCCTCCTCGATCGTCTCCTCGTGCTCTCCCTCGTCCCCGCGGGTAGCCTTCTCGGCCCGCAACGACTCGACGACATCTGCCTGGCCGCCAGAGACAGACGTGCGCAGGTCCTGGGCGACCTTCTTTTTCTCCTCGGGCGATGTGGCCGATACGATGGATCCTCGGTGGTGTTGGACTAACCCGAGGGCTTGGGCACTGTCGGCGTGGAAGTTGGCTGATGATTCGGCTGCGACCTCTGGTACCAGGCGTGGCCGCGGGGGTCGGGAAACACCCATTCCTGGTTTTTCTTCTCCTCCTACCGCTTCTTCTTCTCCTACTGCTTCTCCTGCTTCTGCTGGTGTTGATTCGGCCCCCCCTTTAGGACTGGACGAGCTGTTAACCTCAGGCGGCGCCACTGAACTCGTTTCTCGACGTACAGTGGTGGACGCGGCCGCGCCTTGTTCGATTTCTGCGGCAGTGGTGGTCTGCGCGTCGTTCGGAGCGGCCTGTGCCGTACGGTTGGGCTCCTCCTCGGTTTTCTTGGATTCTTCGGTTTTCTTGTCTGCTGCAGGGGCGGCGGCGGGGGTGGGGTCAGCGGGGGCAGCTGAAGCGGGCGACGACGACGACTGCTCAGCCTTGGAGGCAGACTCCTCGCTCTTCTCGTCTACTACGGCTGCGGCGGGGGTGGGAGCAGCGGGTGTGGAAGCAGCGGGAGCAGGAGCAGGGGCAGCGGGAGCGGGCGACGACGACAACTGCTTAGCCTTGGCGGCAGCTTCCTCGCCAGCCTGGCGCAACGCGGGCGGGATCGAAGCCTCCTTGTGCTCCTCCTTCGAGGGCGGATTCTGGATCTTGATAGTGCTCTGTTTAGGGGCGGAGGCCGGCGCCGCGGCGGAGGTGGATGTTGTAGCTGCGGAGGTTGCGGGGTAGCTTGTTGCAGGGAGAGAGTCTCCAAAGTCTTCGACGCTTTCAATCTGCATCCTCAGCTCACCGTATTCATTCCATTCTTCAATTTCTTCGAGATCCTGCGTGCGTTGTTAGCGTGTCATTCTTCTATACATGGGCCCGGATTTAAGGGGTCAAAGGTCACGGGAAAGGAGGCGGCAAAGATGAGGAATAGGAACATACCCCGACAACATTTCCGAATTTGACAAGCCCCGGCAATTTCTTGCCCTTGGAGCGACGGCCCCAGAGCTTGCGGGCGGCGTCATCGGTGGCGACATCCAGGGCACGGAAGGGCAGCTTGTTGGCCTTGAGGATCGTCTCCAGGCGGGAAGTAGCGGTGATGATGTGAGAGGACCCCGCCGTCAGGGAGGTATACAGGTAGAGCGTGGAGTCGGGCATGATGTCGACAGAGATCGATTCCAGTTCTCAAATGATTGAATTTAATGACGAGAAATCCCAAAGACGATGGGCATGAAATTCTGGAAAAAGCGGAGAGAGAAAGTCGGTTCGGTTGGTTTCAACGACCTGATCCAATCTCCAAGGACGCTATGACTTGATTGGTCTTTCCTCGGTCTGGTTATGACGTGGCGGGTTTTTTTGGCAGTACTGATGTCACGTGTGGTTGAATAAGGAGGTGCTTATCGATAAGCAGGCGTGGTAGATGTGGGATCGATAGTGACAGCTGATAGTAGCGAGTGATTCAATTGTAGTAGGAAGACTTTTAGGATGAAGGAACACAAGAAGACGCTGGCTGATGCAGAAGAAATCAATATAAAATCAGGGAAATAAAAAACAGGACAAACCCTTTTCCACAGGTCGATCACCCATCGAACTTATATGTCGCTACCTTCGCAGCGTGGCAACTGACGTCAGGGCCCATCTCCCAAACAAAATATGATATCGTATGCACCCAGACCCAAGAAACACAACAGAGGAGATCTATTCCCTAGTTCCATCAAACGGAGGCAGTCCGAATCAGGCAATGATGTCATGATACCAATGTTTTTCGGTGGGACCAGGGTCTAATACCTATCAGCGAACAGGTCTGTCTGGGTAATTGAACAGGGGATCAGCGTGGTCTTAGGCTTGATTGGAAGAGGGTATTCGCTCGGAAGGCGTGTTCCGTGCTGTTCTTGTGTGACAGTGTCTGTTTGATTGTCGCGGTCAAGTGGCTGTTACACTAGGATATGTCTCTGATGGGCTGGGAGGACAGACCCGTTGGGTGTTGGGCTTGATGGGGGGGAGGGGGTAGAAAGAAAGGGTCTAATATGAGCTGTGCTGAAACATTGTCGCGTATTTTTTGGCTACGACCCTTTGAATAGTTGGCTCTCAATTTGTATTCAACTAGATGCACCTATTCTAGATGGACCAATAACATGCAATCATGATGGATATATATAAACGACCAAAAAGCACCGTCCATATATACAGAGGTAGGTAGGTAAGCACCCTACCCAACAACCCCAATACTCTCATCCTCAAAACCCACCTCCAACTCCCGGCGGCCTCTCCGCATAAAACGAAGCAAGCACCACCAGCGGCACATCAAACCGACAAAAATGCAACCTCTCCAGACAAGACAACTCAATGCAGAGAAAAAGCCTATGCCGACGCATCGCGTTTGCAATCACAAAGTCGGGCCCCAGCACTCCGGTACCCAAATCCAGCAAACGGTTGACATCCAGAGGCCGATCCAGCACGAGCGGCTCGTTCAACCGCCGCATGCCCAGAACGACGGTCCTTTCCGACGTGTACCGCCCCTCCTCGCGGGCGACGCTCGTGATGACCTCCGTGTGCGCCGTGAATGAGTGCAAGAAGATTGGTGGTGTCGGCTGGTGCCGCTGCTGTGGCTGTTGGTCTGGGGCAAGGCGCAGGAGGAGCTCGACGGGGATGCGAGCGCCCTGGATGACTCGCGTTGCGGCAATAGTTACCTGGAGGAGAAAGCTGGCGCATGTAATGTGCGCTCCTGGGCGCACGTGGTCGTAGAAAGACACCGGGCGAAAGCGATCTTCCGCGTCCACGATGTAGCTGAGTTCCAGGGTGCTACGCAGGGTGACCAGGTGCGGTAGGGGACTCTTCTCGCGACGGCCAGGAGCGAACAGCAGCGAGAGGGTGGATATCTTGGGCCAGCCGTCGCGGACTTGTCGGGGTCGCCATATAGCGCGTAGGAGGTACTCGATGTGGCCGGTGACGACTCCATCGGGAAACTCGAAGGTGGTCGACGGGGGTAGACGATATGCGCTCCCCTCCTCCCATTCGTCATCGTCGCTCGGGAAGCGCTCTGCGAGCGTGCTCCCGGAGTTGGTCTCCGGGGCTGGGATTGTGACATTAGGGAATGCGAAAATGAAGGGCCATCCGCCTGGTGGCATCTCTGTTGCTGGGCGATCTCCGGAGTACAGACAGCATTCTGACCGGAAGAGCACGATCTCACCAGAGTTCGCGACGCTGAAGCGCGTGTGAGAGATGGTTGACCGACCCAAGAAGGCGATTGCTAATGACCCCTGAATGGTGTCGACTTCTGGACGACCTAGGATGACTCGTCCCCGGAGTAGGTCGCCTGGGTGATACGCCTCTCGTGAGGAGTCCAACGCGATTCGCATTCTGGTAGTGTTGGTAGCGGGATGCCATTTCTTCTCTCAGTGGTGAATAATAGTATTGATGATAGCAGTGATCCCCAAACTGCCTGTATGGTTTATCTGTGTAGTGAAGTTATCTTCACAGTTACTCAAATAAGTCACGAACATCTCTGACGGCCACCATGGCGGGGACGCGATAATCACCAGATCCAGCCTCGTACCCCAGACCCGAACTACGGAGTACCTACAATATTCCAGTCCTCAACAACCCCACGACGATGCAACAAAGCCCACCATATCCCATTCCACTTTCCCAGTTCCAACAGAGAATAGCTTCACTCACAAACCATCACCTAAAGATAGATCACGATAAACACCTCAGCGACTAAACCACCCAAGTACTTACCCTCCTAGGAAGTCCATCTCACCTCCCCCCTTCCAATATGCGCCCGAAAAGGCCCGAGCGCAACATCCATGCATCCGATCAACCTGTCGCAATCATCGCCAGCAGGGCGCAGCGTGACCCCCTCCCCCCTAGCAGCCTGGCCCGTTTTGCCCAAACGAGGCTCAGTTAGCGACCTCTGGGGTGTGATCCGAGGTAGTGTACTATGCTTAGTAGGCTTTCAACCCGAGATCACACCCATCTAGGCAGAGACGGGGTAATCCTGTGCCCTGCCGTGGTCACCCCCCATAGTGAATTATCGGGCTGGTGATGACGAAAGCGCCACTTGGGTATGGCTTTGCCCGTTTCGTGTCCGTTTTTGGATGTCGGCATGGAGGTCAGTTTGGTGGGAGACTGATACATGTCGTATGTAGGTGAAGCCAGAGCAGGAAATAGTGGATCATAATCAAGAGAATTATCTCTCCTTGCGCCACAATTTCTACAGCGAAGTCTGGGAGGCAGAGAAGTAACTGCCTAGATCGGTAGTAGGTAGGTATTTTCTGATCAACGGGGCGCAAACACAGCCACTGGGATTTGGATCGATTGCCTCTCTACCTACCTACTTACCTACTTACTTGCCCTCCTCTCGGCTGTCTATACTCCGTGTATAGACTAGACAGCGGCATGGCATTTTATTTTTCGTTTTGACTTTTCCTCCTTTGTTCAGTTCGGTGAACATGGAAATGGAGTAATGTCTGGACTCCAATCGACCCGGGCACCGACAGCCTCATTGTTATTTTGCAACCTTGAACAGGGATGATGGATGGAAAAGCAGATCAGGCAGAAAAGTTGGTCACCGGGCTAGATGCCCTATGTTCACAATAGATAAAGGTACACGGATATACTTTCCTTGGTTAGGGGAGTATACTATATAGATGTGTGTATTGGATGTATATAGTTGGGTGGACAAGGAGCAGCTAAACCTAATTTTGAAAACCCTCCAGTAGGTGCAGTGATTTGTCTGGCACATGTGTAGGTATCCATCTTCTTTCTGGGGAATACTCAGGCATGCATGAGCCCTGACTGGTGTGCATATCTTCGTCATATTCTGGTATCTCGCCTACCGTGACAAAGGTACCTACCTACTTAACAAGAGACAATAAGAAAGACACCCAAAATAGACATAAAAAGAAAAGAAAATGGCAAAGCAACTGGGCAACAATACTCACCCAAAGCCAAGAACCCCAAAGCCATCCATCTCATCAATCGACACCACGAGCCATACACACGAGAGAAAAAAGCGAAAGCCAGACATGCATAACCTGCATAGAATCACAGATGGCAGACACTAACTAGTAGCCTACATTCTTCGCACAAAATGTAGTGGACATTGCACAGCCTATCACCCACCCCCCTCTTCCCACTTCATTCCACTGGCGATCACAGCTGTCTAGCGGGTCCCACCCTACCACGCCCCCCATCGTCCTATGATTAGCCCAAGGCATTCCATGTTTCTGGAATAGTGAGATGGGGTGGGGGGCACTGGTTAGCGTACCTTACATTTGCTTACTTGCGTGTTCTTTCCCCCTCGCTTCATCGGATATTGCGGAGTGAATATGGAGTAGATGGGTTAGTAACTAGTACTTATTGAGGGAAGTGGGCTGCGAGGATAAGGGGTTGATTGATTATCGACTGGCTGGGGACGATGCTATGACGACGTTGGGTAGAGACATGTATCGATCTTAGTATGCTATCGTGATCACCCCGATCGCGCAAAAGGACGAGTAGGGTACTTTGACCGCGATGGGCTTCCGACCGGGGAAGAGGCGCTTCGCTGGTTGCTGCTCTTTATTCCGCGGCCAATGCTATAGCGGAATCAAGTCCAGCTCCTAGCGAGAAAGCGTCTCGTCTCGCTCTTGTTGCGCTTGTGCCAACCTGGAGAGATTTGAGATTACAGTAGAGATTGCGCCCCTATCTTCACCAAGGAAGATAACAGTCATGACGTCCTTTTCGAGACACCACGAACGGCTCATTCTGTCTACCAGTCCGAGTAACAGTAGCATAAGAATGGGCTGTTTCACCTTCGCATTAGTGAGCTTAGAGGGTGGTTCACGCGGCCCTCTTTTCTTCCCCCGCGAGTGCCAATCACGGGAGGTAGGCCTACTAGGCTCTAGAGGCGCCAAAAAGCGGTGTCGCTGAGGAGGTGGGATTGGGCTGGAGGGGCAGCTTGGTGGATGAAACAACTGTGTCTGTCCATACATAGGTACATCATGGATTCTGCACTATACCGACAAAAGAGTCGAGTCGAGTCTGGCCGCTGCAAGATCAAACCACTGCTCATATGAAACGATCCTACTTCGTACTTTGCGATGACTCGGTCTTCCATTGTATCCACTATGGTTCCTGGTAGGATAGATTATTAGGTCATTGACTCTTAGTCCTATCCTGACCGCCATGCCATGCCATGCCATGAGTAGCCATCCTCTCTCTCGCCTCGCCGTTAGTCCGTCCGTCCTCGAACAGCGTGTACGATTCTTATATAAGCCAATTCTCACAGCCCGTAGCATAACGGGATAACACGTGACAATAAACGGGCCAGTGCCGATTGTGGCCCAATAACAGCAGGGAATGTACCTAGACGAGGACTAGTCCCAACTTGATTCGATTCTCACGGGTCACCCGAGACTCACCCACCGTTCTCAGAGGCGGCTACTCCGAGAGTCGCCCTAGCTTACTGGAGTAGGAGTAGCCCATCTCCAGATGGGCTCGGCGAGTCAAGAGAATAGCGCTGGATCGTCTGACTGCGACTACAACAGGGCAAGCACTCTCCCCAAAGACGGGATAACGGATAACGGATAAAATGACGCTGCGGGAATAATGATGTCAATGTCAATATTACTATTGAGGTCTTTAATGGAATCTATGAGTTATTTTATTTATTTAATTATTTCGATCGGGTTGATGGTTGTTATTATTAGTTTCTAAGAGTTGCCCTGAAACTCCGAGGAACCTGGCATACCATTATACCTTCGTAGTAGATAGTGTACAGTGTACAGTACTGAATATCCATGGTCGGAACTGAGCCAGCCACGCGCGGGCACCCCCGAACCGTGGGAAACACCCGCGTGGTACGGTGGGCTCGTCCCGAGGCCTTGTTCTAACTGTACTGTAGGTACCTCCCATGTACCTACCTCACAGTGAACAGCGAAGAAATGATAGACAGCCAACTATATCAGGTAGAGATATCTAGAGTTTACTTTTGTGGAAGTTTACAAAACAGGGTCATAGCATTGCTACCCAATGGTTTCAACTGGATCTTCTATCACGGGCTGAAGGGTGAGGGAGGGAATCATGATTAATTATCCGAGATTGGTAGGTCGTGTGCCTGTGCCTGTGTCTGTGCCTGTGAAGGGGGGTAAGAGGGGAGGATGCTCAGTCGGGATGGGGGTGGGATGGGATATTCACGGGGGAGTCAGTTAGTGGTAAGTGGTGAGTGGTACTATTCTTGGGTGTGACCCGACGGCATCTCCTACCTTGCGATGGACGGACTAAGGTACATGCTAAGGTCTACTCGGCAGTAAGTAGAGTGAGGGAAGAGATCGCCAGTTGAAGATGACTTGGAAGGGCATTTTCCTTCTTTGACTTGGTGGTGGTAGCATCGGCAGACTCGCATCTAGAAAATTCGCATGGGTCCAATCTGGATAGGTTCGCTGGTCGGCAGAGTCCACCAGTTAGTAGTTCTAATCTCATGCAACAAACACTGCAGCAGGTGAGAATAGTCCGATCCGGAAGAAGAAGAAGTCTCGTATTGTAGTGATAATGGACGGATACATTACGTACCCCATACCCGGTGACTTCCTGACTTCTGTGGGGGGCGCAGAGAGGGAGTCCAAAACGGGTGTAGCCTATTCAACGTGGCACAGCGAGAGTCGAGGGGGGGAACGACTTGCTGAATCCCCGAAATGGGATAGGTGACTCTGACTGGGCTACTGACTAGTAAGTTGGAAAATCGATGATCCATTGAGTGTCTACTAAGGTAGGTGGGTGAACTGGATGGTTTTTTTACGGCGTTATCAGTGGCGATATTGATCTGTTATTTGTTGATAAAGAGGTCCCGCGTATTTGATACAATCCACCACGGTTAGCTCTGCGTATGGCTTCTAATCCCCATACAGATTTCTATACCGGGGCCAAATCCACTGTGGATGGGGCTTGTGCTTACCGCTGTTGGCGCTGGGGATGGTGATGGAGTCGATATTCTCGGTAATCTACAGTATTCTGTAATTGATCGTATGGATATGGATACCTGGAAACGAAGATCGAGAGCGGCAGCAACTCCATCAAGCACTCTACAGACTGAACCAAGTGTGGGCGTACCTGACCCAAACGATGGAGCGATCATGACCAGGGACGGTAAATCAATTATGATCATAATGAAGAATATGTTGATAATAAAGAGAATAGTGATAATGGAAAAATTATCAGTTCCTAACCGCTCTTGCTGGTCCGGCTGCGGGTCGATGTGATCCGTTTCGCTGCCTCACTTTAGGGGCACACCGTGTTCTTTCTTACATCTCAACCGTGATTTGTTTTGATTTTATATTTTGGGCCCTTCTAACATGGATGAATGGCAAAATCCCGCTCAGTCCCAGTACCTTTTTATCTTGGTTTATTTGATTTTCCTCCCCTTCAATTTCTTGATTCTGGACTTCCCGTCTATCAATCAACCTCAGTGGCCCAAACTAAACCCCTCCAGGCACTCACGTTCCCGATCGGATTCTACTTGGTCGGCAGTTGACCAGTCAGTTGGCGTGTTACCTCGATGGATTCTCGCTAGTCCCGGATTGGATCGAGAATCGACATCATCCTCCATCCAGAGTGGACACCAAGGGTTCGTGTCTTCTGGACTTGACGCTCTTCAGACACTAGCGTCCTGATCACCGTCCCGAAATAACCCCCAGCCATCAGCCATAGAAGATGGGGTGGAGGGGGGGGAACGATCTTCTCACCCAACAAATTCCAATGGTTGGAATAGCAATGAGACAAATCAATGAAGATGGAAATTAAGCGCGTCGAGACAAAGAAAGTCAGAGAAAAGGGGTAAAACAGAAAAACAGAAAAAAAATAAAAAAATAAAAATAAAAATAATTAATTAATTAATGATAAGATAGAATAAGTAAAATAGAATATACGAATATGATAAAATCAACATCCAACGGATAGAGATTTCCATACACCAACAGAGGGAAACTGGATGTTGACCAGACAAGGCTGTTACTCGTTCGAAGCGGAAGTTGGAGAGTCCAGACCCTTTGCTGATCCACTGGTAGTTATCATGATGCTTCTCTTATTGATCTCTTCTTTTGATCCATTTTAATCCCTCCCGAGACATTATTGGATCTATTATACTTTGACCACGTTCGACCGTGATAGATCGTCCAAGTCCCTCCAAAGTCCCTCCAAAGTACCCTCTGATCGATGGAAGCATCCACGCCATGGACTACTAACCAGATCAATCAACCTGGACTGAGGTACTTCCACTACTCCGTCCTGATGTCCTCCTGAAGTACCTTATGATAAATATCTTATTATCTTATATTTATTTATGATCATTTTATACTCTTTACTCCGCCATCTCACAGACTTGTCATCCCCCACCCCGGTCTCCAACTGACATTCATCTCTCTCTCTCTCTCTCTCTCTCTCTCTTCTTCTTCGGATCTTTTAATATTCTCTACTTTTCTCCCCTTTTCATTTCATCTTGTTTCTTCTTTCCTCTCACTCACTCTTCTACTTCCTTCATCATTTCTCTTCCTTTCCCTTGCTACCCTGACCTTTCTGGTGGAGACCCCATAGTATTGGATCGCCACTGATCTACTTATCACGGTCCCCTCCCTCGTCTCTCATCTGGGGTTGACCTGGTTCAACAACCTTGTGACGACCGATTGGTATCATTCCTTTTGATGCCCCTCCTTCTATATATCTTTCTTTTGCGACCCATCCCACCAGTGGTCGCCAAAATACAAAGAGTTCATTTTCTTCACCTTCCGGTCAGTCATCTCCCCACCGTCCTCGTGATAACACTCCGGATCGGCATTGACTCAACGCTAGCAGTGATATTCTCCGTCCCTTTCCCAGGCTGTTTGGTACTGAAAGCAGCTCCCTGGATCCCCCTCCTCACCCGGCCGGAAGGACGTTTCCAACATGTCCGCCACCATGGCCAACGACGATATGTTCTCCACGACCATCTCTATGTATCGGGACTATTTCATGGATCAGCACTCCCATCTCTCGGAGTCGGAACGCAATCAGCTGTGGAGCCAACGTTTGAGCTCCTTCATCCCGACGACGGCCTCGTCGTCCAGCTATCGCCCGGTTCCCGGCTCGGACTTCCTCGACCTTGACGCCTCGCCATGCGAGAAATCTGGGAAACGGACCCGCCAGGAAACCCCCCGGACTCTCCCGGTCTCTGGTCCTCCGCCAACAAAACGACGAGTCACCGTACGTGATTGATCCTTGGTCTTTTGCTCCCGTCCAGTCTCCCGTCTCTGCCCACCCTGTTCCTGTTGAGCTAGCACATCCACTGTTCTCTTCTCTTCACTCGCGCCAACGGTCCCTGGATTGACAATTGGCAGACTCCGGAACCCCCAGTGACCGTTGACCTGACCCGTGACCTATCGCACTCGTCTTCCCCGGCCGCCCCCCAGATCACCCGAAAGGTATCTCGATCGGCGTCGCGCAAGGAAGGCGTCGCGTCTTCTATGGGTCTCGGCTCCACCTCCCGGCACAACATTTCTATGGTCCGCTCGCAGAGCCAACAGACCCCGGTGTCCCACCAACATGCCGCCGTCGCCGCCATGATGGGCCAGCGACAGTTCGTGGGATCCCAGCGGCCCCAACGTCGCCTGGACCATGTGAACGAGTACTCCCCGTCCGAATATGCTCGGCGCTATCTGGACGGACCCCAGAGTCAGGCGGGCATCTCGGCGCTGTCCATGACGCTCGCCGCGGACCCCACGGTGACTGGACTCCAGCAACCCCATCCGCAGCCGGATCCGCAGCATCTGGGGACCGGATCTGAGCTGCTGACCGACTTGTCCGGCCTAGGTTCTACCTCGATGGGCGATCTCGCGGTCCCTCCGGCCTCGAGCGCCATCGCGATGAGCCGAAGCCCGACCACGGACTCGTTGTGTGGTGGCATGGGCATGATGAGGTGCGACTCGTCCGGTCCCAGTGTGGGATCTGGCTTCCCCTTCCCCTGTGCCTCCGATTTCTCCTCCACTACCCCCCCCGTGAACGTTCCCTTCATCAACCCGTTCACAACACAGCCCTGTGGCTCGCAGGCTGCGTTCCCCTACCACGAACCCTCCCCCCTGTCTCAGTTCTCGTGCTCTGCCCCTCCCACCACATCCTTCCCACCCTCCATGCCTGCAGTTCTCTCGTCCCCGGCGCCGGAAATGAAGCACTCCATGTCCACGGAGAGTGACAGTTCATGTCTGTCACAGCCCTCTCGGGCGGCACGGCGGACGCAGGAGCAGATCGCACAGGGCACACGCCCCATCGCCCCAAAGATGGAGGCGCAGCACAGCTCCCCGCCGAAGACGGGCGAACAGCACAAAATGATTCGCATCTCGTCCACGGACGGGATACCGAAAGAAGTGGCTGCCATCCCCAAGGCCTCCGTCCAGCGGCCTCCGCGCCCCAAGACCTACTGCGATCTGTGCAATGACCAGCCCGATGGCTTCCATGGGGAGCACGAGCTGCGCCGACACATCGAACGGGTGCACGCCGTGATCCGGAAAGTTTGGGTGTGCGTCGACATCTCCCCGGGCAAGACCTTCCTCGCCAACTGCAAGGCGTGTCGGAACGGGAAGCGGTACGGCGCCAACTACAACGCTGCCGCTCATCTGCGTCGCACCCATTTCAACCCGTGCCAGCGCGGCCGGGGTGGTCGGGGCAAAGACAGCGAGAAGCGGGGCGGCAAGGGCGGTGGAAACCACCCGCCCATGGACGTCCTCAAGCACTGGATGGTCCAGAAGGAGGAGATCGTGCTCGAAAATGCGCAAAGCTACATGGACCAAGACCTGGCCGGGGACGACCTGGCCGTCGCTCCGTCCACCGAGGTGGAGGAGTCCTTTGGCAGCGTTTCGACGTCTCAATCGACCGATCCGGGCCTCGCCCTTCCCCAGCTGGATCAGTCTGCTCTGATGAGCGACTACGAGGCCTTTTCGACAGGCTTCCCCATGATGCCCATAGACTCGGCGTCCCTCGATGTCCCGTGCTACTTTGACTCGCACGCGCTCCCCCCTGCGATCGATTCGTATGTGTGATTTTATACTGTTGTCTGTTTATATATTAGACTTCTCATGACCCCGGAGCTTCTGGTTACCTTTTCTTCTTCTTTTCGTCTCTTTTCTTTCGACTTTCCTTTTTCTCTTTCGATTTTATACTTTTTATCATTCTTGTCCATTTCTTTCCCCTTTTCTCCTGCATAATATTTCCACCCTCGTCATTACAATGCGCTTTTTGCTTCTTCTATTTATTGGTTTATTATTTCCTTTTTCCTTTCTTTCTGTGCATGGGTTGTTTGCCTTATGATTCTTTCTGCTCCGCGGGATTACTACATTTGTTTCTTTCTCGTACATCTTTTGTTCTTTTGTCTTTTACTTGAACTTGTAACGGACCGAGGCCGAACCAGCCGGCCTCGAGATACCCGTTGCAGGCGATACGACATAATGTGTGATGATCAGCAGTCTTCAGCCAGACTCTAATTTATGAATGTATTGATTTGGATACAGCAACAGCAAGCCCATTCTGAAGTGGGATCGATCATATGATTGATACTTTCCACCTCCGCGCCAGGTTGAACAAGATACAACGGTGTGTCTCCGTACGTAGGGCGGTGTTGAGAGGCAGGTAAGCCGGTAACATCAGCAAGGGCCGTCATAGCAGCGGTGAGCTAGCTGCTCGTGGGGTGATCCTGTGCTGTGCTTGACAGTTCCTTCCATACAGGGATCGGGATGGATATTGTGGACTCCCACGAGCAGGGTGGAGACCCCGAGAGAGGGGGGTGGACAACCAGTCATGATGGAGTCGGGCACCGTGCAAGGTGCCGTCCATGGGTGTCCATGGCTGGGCGTTTACTAACACCCTATTTCCGCCGAACTCACGCTTGTGGTAGGGGGCAGGGCCAATGATGTGGCCACTGCCCACTAATGAGCCCAAATCGCCGTGAGCTGGCGTGGCTGGTGTTTCCCCACAGACGGAACTCGGCGGTTTGCACTTCTATAGGGCTGGACTGATGTGGCGGAGAGAAAGCGCACGAGCACATGACTTGTGTATTGTACTGTAACGACAATACCACTCCACGGGTCAGTTGAACCCGAGATTGACTCTCATAGGATGAACGGATGATTTCTATAGCCGAATTTCGAATTCTAATGATGTATTTCTTTCTTACTATCCTTGGAGATTCTATCCATATGTATAGTGTTGTGAGAAGAGTAAGAAAAAGCATGGCTGCGGAATCATACCGAGACCCGTAATACCGAATAGTAATACCGAGTACCGCATCCCCTTGATTAGTACTAATAGTATTGATTGTTGACGGCCTCAGTCCACTCCGCCCTGACATCGAAGTCCAGACCTTTTCTCTTTTTCCTTTTCCCTTCTTGTCCTTCTCTTTCCTTTTTGATCTTCTTTCATTGTTTCATTTGATTCTGGACTAAAGAATTCTATTGCTCTTCCCTTCTGGACCACGGTGGGTGCTTCTTATCCATCCTCTCTTCCCTCCAACAAAACTAACGGGCGAATTAAGTTAATCTAGTGGTTCTTGTCCCCTTTCAGAATTCCTGCTGCCTATTCCCTCTCTCCCCTTCTCTTTTTTTTCCTTTTCCCCCCATCACCACTCTCCGTCCTATTTTCCCTCGACCCGTTTGAACTTGGCATTCTTTAGGTACGTCTCAGCTCCCCTTGTTATTGGTGCTTGGCTGGTCGCAATCGGGGCTCTCGCTTCAATTCGCTGGTTCCTCCGCGAGATTGTTGTTGATTATTATAACTCCGATTTGACCCTCATTCCTCCCTCTCATCTTCTCGATTTGAATTGACTGCACATCGATCCATGTGGCTTACTCCTCGTTTCAATTCTGCAGATCCCGTCGCGCAACCATGAGTGCCCAAGGATACTACAACGGACCGCCGCCGCCTCCCCAGGCGTAAGTGTCGCAGCGCGAACACCCCCCTCCCGGCCCGCCGTCTCCTCTTACCCCCCGCTTGACCATCCCCATGCACGTCGCAATTGGATCGTGGATCTCGGACCGCTTGAGTTTGTTTCATACTGCATCTGACCCCGGCCTATTGGGGAGCAATCGTCGTGCGATTGTCTCCATCTGTCGGCCGCGATCGGACGACGAGTGACATGGGGACTGGCGGCTCTTTTTTGAACATCCGTTGCGTTGGCGCAGGGCGCTAACTCGCGTTTTATATTTAGATATCCTCCTCAGGGCGGCTATCCTCCTCCCCAGGGCGGCTATCCTCCCCAGGGTTACAATTACCCTCCCCCTCAGCCTCAGGGCTATCCTCCTCCTCAGGTGTGTTGCGACTCTAAACCCTACACCTTACTGCTATACGCATCAACGAAAAGGCTCTTGGACAACCCACGGATTATATAATTGTAAACAACACTGACGAATGCCATTAGATGCAATACCAGCAACAACCGCCCCCGCAGAAGAAGGACCGTGGATGCCTTGGTGCCTGGTAAGACGATATTATTTTCTTTTATTTCCCCGCGAGGAGCTCCCCTTTCGCTGACTCCCGTGTCTTCAGTCTGGCTACGCTCTGCTGTTGCTTCCTCTGCGAGGAGACCTGCGAATGCTGCTTTGACTGCATCGAATGCTGTGAGATGTGCTGAGCGGAACATCCTTCCCTCTATGAGCGAACGTACGACCTCGATGAAATGTTAACCTCGATTCCTCGTCCGGCGGTTTGAAGGTTGAGCGGTGCGCCGGGAAGCACCTGGAAGGCGGACGTTAGTCCATACACAATCCTTTGATGTCTCATCTTCCGCACTCATTCTCCTATGTTTCGCTGGCACGCGACTTTTCCCTAATGCTTTTTTATCATTCTCTTCTTTTTTCCACCGCTTTGGTACGGCTTATGGAATAGGTTTCTGTTTGGGTTTGATTATTATTCTTACCAATATTATTATTGTATTTCAAGCAGAAGGACTTGAGGTCAAGGGAGTTCCTTTTTTTTTTTGTGTTCTCTTGCTTTGCGACACCTTCAAACATGGCGACTCTAGATGTTTAATACGACTCTACGGAGTAGATGTTTTTAAAGGTGCAATCGTGATAGATGGAGCTGTTGAGGATCTGCGGGTGGAGTCGCCCCATGGGTCAAGATATGCGAACTTCTTGGCGATCAATCTCATTACCCGGATAGATAGTGATTGGCCAGCGTTGGACTGTGATTCCCAGTCCGCAGCAGAGTAATTCGGATCTTACTCCGACCTCAACTAATCCGACCAGTGAGTGACCTGTTATGCTGGTCCCCAAGGCCGCCGAGAACGACTCGGAAATTTCGTTCGGTTAATAAAGCCCGGATACTTGCCGACGGACAAATTCTCCGTGTAGTTTTCCCGTCTCCCCTCCTATGTTTCTTCTACTATGGCAATGGCTCGGTAAAATTCCTGGCTCGTCTTCTCCGCTTAAACAGCTGACATGAAGCTATGTCATCCAATTGGAAAAGACCACTTGATATTAAGTCTTGGAAGCATACCGGGACACGCTTACCCCACATCTACTCCTCAGGAGATCTTCCAGAAGGGGAAAGGCCCCGCCTCGCACTGGGGATGCCCGTACCTGAGAAAATGAGTTCCCACAAGAACATGCATCGTCTTTGGGTTTCCCGGGAATGCTAGCTCGATTGTGGGATAGTATAGCTACTGTCTGCGGAGGGATGGGGGGGCTATATAAGATTGAGTGGGCCGTCCAGGCAACCCTGGAGGGGAGAATTGTAGGGTTCCGTCAAGTATCGTGATAATAGATCGCCCTTTAGCCCAGGATGATCCGTGATTATCTTCTTCTGTCTTTGCTGGCCGTGTGCGGCGCAGCTGTGAAGATCTCTGTTGCTTCGGAGGGGGGGAATGCGACGAGTAACCTGCAATATGGTATTATGGAGGAGGTAACTATCCACAAACACAATTTGGGATCCATTCAAGCTGACATTAGGGCTGTCCAGGAAATCAATCACTGCGGCGACGGCGGCCTCTACGCAGAGCTGATTCGCAATCGCGCTTTCCAGGGCTCGACCATGTACCCTGCTAACCTGGACGGCTGGGCGCCAGTCGACGACTCCCTCCTGGCCCTCAGTACCCCGAGCGTGCCCCTATCCGCTGCGCTGCCGACCTCGGTCAACGTGAAGGGGTCGAAGGGCACCGTGGGTCTCACCAATGTGGGGTGGTGGGGCATTGAGGTCAAAGAGCAGAAGTACACGGGCTCGTTCTACGTCAAAGGTGCCTACAAGGGTGTCTTTACGGCCTCGTTGCAGTCGAACACGACGGGTAAGGTGCTGGCGAAAACTAAAATCAAGTCGAAAAGCGTTGGTGATGCGTGGACGCAGCATACTTTTACGCTGAAGCCCAAGGCGGCGGCGCCTGATGCTAAGAATACCTTTTCGCTCACGTTTCATGCGGGTGTGAGTGGATGGACCTCTTTATGGTGAGAGATGGCATGTACTGACTGTTGTAGGGAGCGGATGACGGATCGCTGGACTTTAATCTTATTAGTCTTTTCCCGCCGACGTGGAATGATCGTCCTAATGGGCTTCGCATTGATCTGATGCAGGCTATGAAGGATTTCGGACCGGTGCGTGCCCTGTTATCTGTTATTGCGAACTCTGACTGATGTGGAATAGAAATTCCTGCGCTTCCCAGGTGGCAGTGACCTCGAGGGTAGCACCCTCGAAGACCGCTGGAAGTGGAACGAGACCATCGGCCCGCTCACGGATCGTCCCGGCCGCGCCACGGCCTGGGGATACCAGCAGACGAGCGGCATCGGTCTGGTGGAGTACATGGAGTGGTGCGATGATCTGGAACTTGAACCGAGTATGTGTCTTTCCCGTTCCAGAACTGCATCTCTTCAGGGTAAAGGAACATGCTAACCCATTCAGTCCTCGCCGTCTGGGCCGGCCTCACCCTAGACAAGCATGTCATCCCCGAAGCCGAGCTCGGCCCCTACATCGACGACGCGCTCAACGAGCTAGAATTCCTGATGGGCGACGCCGACACCGAGTTCGGCGCCCTCCGCGCCTCCCTCGGATATCCCAAGCCGTGGAAACTCCGGTACGTCGAGATCGGCAACGAAGACAACCTCAACGACGGTCTAGAGTCGTACATAGAGTACCGCTTCCAAGCATTCTACGACGCCATCAAGGCCAAGTACCCCGACATGATCATCCTGGCCTCGACTGTCGATATGGAGCTCACCGGTGACGCGGGCGGCGACTACCACCTCTACGATACGCCAGACAACTTGACCGTGCGGTTCAACTTCTTCGACCAGTATAGCCCAAAAAATCCGATTCTGCTCGGTGAGATTGCTGCGACGGAGTTTAATAACGGGAAGGGCATCGACTGGGATGATAAGAACTTCGCGCTGTATCCGTGGTGGATTGCGACTGTTTCCGAGGCGGTTTTCTTGTTGGGTGCTGAGCGGAATGCGGATAAGATTATTGGGACTACTTATGTATGACCTCCCCCCCAAACCAACGATTGGGAATTCCCCTCCAGCTCTCGGAGCTACGGCTGACAAGTGGACAGGCTCCCTTTTTCATGAACCTCAACGATTGGGAGTGGTCCCCGACCTTCATTTCCTTCAATGCGGACTCGGCGCAGACTGCCCTTTCCACGAGCTGGCATCTCTACAAGGTAAGTCTTCCCTCATTACCCTCTCCGACCAGAACGGAATTAGACATAAGTACATGAGACTCATATCAAGCTACAGTTATTCTCCGAATCCCACATAACAAACACCCTCCCAACAACCTCAGAAACCGAGTTCGGACCCCTCTACTACGTCGCCGGCCTCGACAGCGCCACCGAATCGCACATCTTCAAGGCCGCCGTGTACAACAGCACCGAGCCCGTGCCGGTGTCGCTCACCTTTGAGGGTGTCAAGGCGGGCAGCCCGGCCGAGTTGACCGTGCTCACTGCGCCTGATGCGTTCGCCATGAATGAGGTTGGGGCCCCGAATTTGGTGGATTCGAAGGTCAAGACTGTAAAGGCTGGTAAGGGAGGCGCGTTTGAGTTTGAGCTGCCTGATTTGAGTATTGCCGTGTTGAAGACGACTTAAATCCAGTAGATTCTTTGCTTGAGAAGCGCGGCTGGTTGCTGTTCTTCTGGGCTTGTTCTGGCTAGAATTGGGTTTGTGGTGCATGGAACTGCGAATATACTACCCTGTATAATCATTCAAATCTCAGAATCTGTAATCAGTTGCACGACCCTTGCATGTATCTTACTGCATCAAATCGAATCATCATTCGGCGATATAGAATAGTGACTAAGCAGATATCACATGACCCGAATTATGCGGCCCGCCCGAATCAGACCCCAGTCGGCGGCGAGTTCAAGCGGCGGGGAGGCCGATGCATAAGTTATACATTCATTGATTCCCTTCAATTTCTCTCTCATCTTCATCTTCATCTCCTTTCTTCTTCTTCCTCTCTCTCTCTCTCCTCTCTAGTACTCTCCAGTTTAGGTGTTTATTCTCCACATCCACCCACAACCATCCTCCTCTTCCCCATCCCATCCATCCCCTTATTAAACGCCACCAACCTCGGATTTATCCCAAGACGGGGGATCACAGCATCCCATCGTCCTACCTACCAATATCGATCGCCCAGGTTCCAGAGCCTCGGATTTGCCACATCCCCCCACCATTCTTTTGGCTGAGATCACGTACACTTCCGTTCGTGCGGGGGGTGGTGGAAGGCCAAAGCTGCGGGGGTGACCTTTGCGAACTGACCTTTGCAGAGCCAAGATCTGATCTCCGAAACGTGGACGTGGACATTGATTTTCCCGGACTGTACGATACTTGGGCTGTACGATTGTGTCATCATCCCGGGCGGGAATCTGCAGCTTCCTGGGAGGGGTTTTATTTTTGATCTTTTTCTCTTTACTTTTTTTTTTTTTAACTCGCGCTTTTTTCTTTCTTTTTATAATATATTCACCAGCCGGCAGCGTGCGGAATTTCAAGTGACGGGTCTTAGTGACGGACTCAAGTGACGGCGCCGAGCGCTGCTGGAATGTCTGGAAGTGAGTCCTCCAACGCATTACCGATCCCCGCCAACCCTGGGTCATGCAACGTTCCGGGATCATCGCTGTCGCGCCCGCTCGATCCAAATATATCTCGTCAGATGTCGCACTTCGCCCACGAGGGGACAGCCACCTCCCCGGACGACCCACGTCTGACCGCCACCGCGGCCATCGCGGCACCGTCTTTATCCACAGGACCCCGCGACGGTGAGGCTCCCCTCGAATATGGAGTCGACTCGACGGACGCCGGCCTTTCCGCGCTAATGGCGGTCCCACACTACCCCCAACTCGCACCCCCTCGTCGCACCGTGCTGTCCGTGTCCGAGCTCGTCAATGCCGTCATGGAGCCGGACACCTACTTCCGGCATGGAGATGCGCCCTCCGACCCCGCGCCGCCGCCGCCAACCTCCTCGTCTCCCCCGGCCGAGTTGTACATGTCGGATTCTGAAATGACCGATGTTCTCTCGGATGTAGGCGGCGTGCCGCTGGGCCCGTACCTTGGGAATGATATGAGCACGGGCGGTTTGGTCCACCATGGGACCCTAGGACTTGGCGACGCGGCCTTGACGGACGATAGCGATGACGAGGGCGCCCATGGCTTAATTATGGATTTTGATACACCGGTGGAACGGGCGACTCCTGTCTCCGTGCGCGAGGATGATTCCGACACGCGCGTTTTCTACGGCGGCCAGGAGGATACCGATGTCCGTGGGGAGCGTGGGGGGCGTGCGGAGCGTGCGGACTCTCTGCCGTCCGGTTCGCCTGTGATTCAACCGTCGGAGGTCGATGTCGGTGATCCGTACAGCGGGTTCGAGGAGGATGATATCATGGCACAGCTGGCGGACGACCAGGGTCTAGGCGAATTCATTGTCGATCATCAATTCCCGGATATGGACATCCACGGTACAAGTATGTATTCATCTGCCATCTGTCCGCCTTGTCTAGTTGGTTACATAATGCTAACCCTATGCAGTACAGGAGCGAAATTTCAACATCGATCAGTTTATCTTCCAGTGGCTGGTTCACTGGTCGAACGGGACGATCCCCAGCATCCCACACTTACGGACGCCGTCGCCGCAAGGTCCGATCTCCAATATCGCGTGCTGGTCACCCCCGGAGAAGACCGTTCGGCCCGCGCGCTATCGCGGAGACTTTTTCGATCTTCAGCCCATCCCCTGGTGGGAAACCCTCCGGGTCAAGCGCTCCGATGCCCGCAAATTCCGCGATCAGGGCTACACCTCCTACCACAACCTGGAATACTCGCAGCACCGGCCGGGGGCGCGGCTGCCGCAGGAGGAGTTCTACTTCCAGGAGAAGTCCATGCACACCAAGTGCAAGGCGACGATCGAACACTTCCAGCTCCGCAATCTCATGTCGGTGCCCGCGTACAACACCGTCCACTTCGCCCACCAGTGCAAGGTATACTCGTGGGTGCCGGGCTACGACGACCTAACCTGCTTGATCGACCTGTCGCAACATCACGCCGAGTCCGCCCTCCAGGGCCGGGTGAAAATCTCCACCATGAAGTCAGCCTGCGATGTGACCATCGCCGGGGGGTTCACAGGGGAGTATGCATTGCGGGCGACAGGCACAGACGGGGCCGGCGTAGACGGCTACGTCACGCAAGACCCCAACGGCATCACCAATCACATCGACATCGTACCGAGCCGCACAAACCGCTCCCCGCAGGGGATATTCGCATCCAACGACCGACACCTACGGGTACTCGACTGCGAAACCAACACCTTCATCACAGACCACGAGCTCTCCCGAGCCATCAACTGCACAGCGACCTCCCACGACGGCCGACTCCGCGTCGTCATCGGCGACTCTCCCGATGCCTGGGTAATCGAAGCCGACACAGGCCGCCCCGTCCACCCACTCCGCGGGCACCGCGACTTTGGCTTCGCCTGCGCGTGGTCCCCCGACATGCGACACATCGCCACAAGCAACCAGGACAAAACCGCCATCATCTGGGACGCGCGCATGTGGCGGGCCCTCGAGAAAATCGAATCCGACGTAGCCGGCTACCGCTCCCTCCGGTTCTCCCCCGTCGGCGGCGGCCCGCGCACCCTCCTCCTCACCGAACCAGCCGACCGCATCGCGATCGTCAACGCCCAGACCTACCAAACCCGCCAAGTCCACGACTTTTTCGGCGAAGTCGGCGGCGCGGATTTCTCGCCCGACGGCTCCACCATCTGGGTAGCCAACACCGACGAGCACTTTGGCGGGTTCATGGAGTTCGAGCGACGGCAGTGGGGCCAGCGGTATGGGCAGGGTCGGCGCGAGATGCCGTGTGAGTGGGCGCGCGAGACGGACCTCGACGATGATGAGCGGTGTGTGCTTAGTGAGCGGGAAAGACAGTTGCGGTTTTTGTGGAATTGGAGTGAGGACGAGTATGAGGGGTTGTTGGTGTAGATATATTTACTTTTTTTTTTTTTCACTTGTGTTTTTCTTTGTTTATCTTTTATTTTCTTCGGTGCTGCGGGCGGTATGTGTTTTATGATACCATTTGTTATTATTATTATTATCCATCTATATATATGAGCAGATCAACATATTCATGGCTCAGTGGGCCTACTTGGGTCGTCTTTACTTACACACACTGTATAGTATCGTCAGTATAATTCCATAGCGAGAGCATCCTCATAAGTTGCCCCACAGGAGGATTCGCCGGGCCACACTATTGTGACCTACTTTACTACTATGGTAGTAAATACCCCAGCAAGGGAAGAAAGTGCAGTCCCACCAGACTAATAAATATCACCATCATCATCATCGCCACTGTACATGTACGGAAGTACCCCATATTAGAATACTCCATATGGATGCTCCATATTAGGCACCACCATAATACCCAGTCAGGCTGGGTAGACGTCACAGATAGACAAAACAAGTGGCGGTGCAGCCCCACTTGATCGGAGATCTACCTACCTTGCCCCTCTTCAGCATCATATAAATACCCCTCATCCTCATTTCTATCCTGATCCTTATCCTCATCCTTATCCTCATCCCTGGGTACTAGGTAACAAACAAACAACTCACCAACTCAAGTCACAAACCATCCCAAGAACAACCCCAAAAAAAAAGAAACCACCAAAATGGATTTCCTCCACGACGCCATCAAAAAACACACCTCCTCCGGCGGTAACGGTAACGACAGCGACGACGAATTCAACCCCGCCCTCTCCCACGCGCAGTCCTCCGATCCCAACGACAGCACCTCGCGCGAACTCTTCTCCCAAGCCCTCCAGTTCATCAAGTCCCGCAAATCGTCCTACCAGGATACCTCCTCCTACGACATCGACGAGTCGCACATGGTGCAGTCGCATCAGGCGCTTTACGGGGGGAGCGGGGAGAGCGCGAGTTACTATCAGGGCGGTGACATGGGGGAGCAGTATGGTGGATCCCATCAGCAGCAGGGGGGAGGGGGTGGAGGACACAATGATTCGGATTCGTTGGGTGCTGGGGCGGCGATGCAGGCGCTGAAGATGTTTACTTCTGGGGGGGGAAGTAGCTCGGAGGGAGGCGGCGGAGGAGGGAGTATGGATAAGAATGCGTTTATTGGGATGGCGATGGCGCAGGCTGGACGGCTTTGGGAGGAGAAGAATAGTTCTGGGGGGGTGGTATGTTCATCTTTTTTTCCCTGACTTTTTTGGGAGATATGTGCTAATATGGATTGTATAGTCCGGCGATAAACAATCCGCCGTCAACAAAGCCGCGGAAATGGCGCTCAAGATGTACATGAAGTCTAACGGGGGTGGGTTGGGAGGCACGGGTGGACCTAGTGGGTTGTTGAGCTTGGCGGGGAAGTTTTTGAAGTAGTTTACTATGTACATACTTTTTCTTGATTTGAATTACTAGGTGATGTTTGTGGAAATGGGGGATGGAAACGCGTCCGAAATGATGAAATTGATGATATTCAATGTTTGAAACAGAAGAGAAACAGGATTATAGTTAACTTTATAGGTGCTTTGAAAGTCCTCTGTAAGTACAGTGAGTACTTTAGAAGATCTTCTCGGGGTACTTTGAGAAATCCGATATAGTTACTTTTAGAGACTCCATGGCTGATCTGAAAGTCCATACGCAGGTACACTGGAGGGGTCTATCTAGATACTTGTCGCAATTCTCGAAGCGCAACAGTGTTATGAAGACTTTCGAGGCCGAGTGATTAAATCCTTCCTACAATACTTTATAGAATCATATACGGACGCTTCATGAAGCTCTATGCATCTGCTTCAATAGGCTTTATGTGATTGCTTTGGAAGTCTTGTACTTCTTGCGGTGGTACAGAATCCCCTATGTGAATATTTCATAGGCTATGTATGAGTACTACAGAGTTAGGGGGTACTGTGTGAGTCTTATACAGACGCTTTGCGATTCCATAATTATAGTATATGATCATCTAGCTTGCATAAGACTAAATCAGTAATTGCAGCCATGTGATCAAACCGCTGAGCAAAGCGAGGATCTACAGCTTGGGGCTGGACAGCCTTATGAGCCGGCTATCAATGTGCATGGTACGGTAGAGTCGGCCTTGCAGGGTGGACAGTGTGATGACTCTTCCTTTTTCGGCGTCAGGTGGATAGGTAGGTGGTCAGTATAGGGCTTGGATGGTTGAGTGTTGGGTAAATGACCCTGTTCCTAGTTTCTTTCTGTCTCTGCGCTTTTATGGGTTTGTTGGCTTACTATGTCTATGGGTTTTCTGTTTCATAACCTAGAGACTCGTTGGAGAATGATAGAAAACTCGGTGACATAGATGTTACGCTTTTTTTCATCACTTTCGTTATACGGCCTACTCGAACGATATGTATACTTTGAACAATCTATGATCTAACAATGGGTATGCACGATGCCAACTACCAAATACCAACCATCTACACGAAGAAATAAAAAGGAATAAAGAAGGGAAAAGAGAAATCAAAAAAGAAAGAAAAAAAAGAAAAAAAGAAAGAAAGAAAGAAAGAAACGAAAAGAGGTGAAAATCACCAATCATCATCATCATCCCGCTTCCCCTGCATCGCACTCTGTCGCTGTCGCAGCGCCTCCGCCAATCCTCCAGCGAGAGCACTGTTCGGCGTCGCCCGTCCGGATCCGCTTGGTGACTCCTGCGAGTTCATGCTCACTGCGCTGTCGCGCGGGGCGGGTGGAGGCGCCGGGGCCGTCTTGCGGCCCGCCATGTTGGGTCGCTTGGCTGGCGGGGCCGGGGGCGTTGGCTTGGCCTTGGCTGCGGCTGCTGAGGCAGCGCCGTTGGTGGACGGCACCGGACTGGCTCGCGCAACCGGCGGCGGAGGGGGCGGCGTGGGTTTCGGGGTCGGGGCAACTTGCTCTTCGAGGTAGGCCTCTGGCGTCCAGCCTTGGGCGGATGTTGTGGGGTTCATGCAGAGCCACCAGCCTGGTCACTATTAGCCTTACTATTGCATTTCTATGGGGATAGAGAAGAACATACCGTTGGCTTCCTTCGACATGATCTGCACGATTTCACCGGCGCGGATATCCAGTTCATTGGCCTGGCCGCTGGTAAAATCGTACAGCACCTTGGCGGTCGCCTTCTTTGGGGCCGGGGGGCTCGCCGGCGGAGGCGGCGGCGGTGCTCTCATAGACCCGGACGAAGGAGTGCGCGCGTGGGACGCAGCGACGGCGGCCACGGGTTGTGGTACTGGTCGGGGTGCAGGCGCAGGGGCAGGTCGGGGCGCAGGTGCAGCTCGGGGCGTGGGTTGGGGCACAGGCTGGCGTGCCGGAGCGGGTCGAGACGCCAGCTTCGATGGGCCGCCTCCTGGACCGCCCGGACGGAGGAGCTTTCCTTTGGTCACGGGCCGCGCGGCCACTTGTTTCCCTCGGGGAGTGGGCTTGGACACAGAGCTGGGAGGCTCTCCGGCACTCGTGTGGATCGTGTGGCTCTTGTACGTGTCGACTCGCCCGACGTTCGGGTCTTTGACGACCTTCACGACAGCCAGCTTGCCGGGCTTCTTGTTGTATTCGATGTTATCCGAGATCTTCAGGTTCAACTGCCCGCGCAGGGCGTTGGTGAGATGGGTGAAGAACTCGGTCTTGAAAACGCAGTTCAGGAGGGGATCAGGCTCCTGCGCCCCAATCACCAGCGAGAACCAATCGTCCTTCAAGTTGGATGTGCTGACCGACTTGATAGCCCCGATGGGCACCGTTCGCTCCGAGGAAATCTGCAGCTGGTTGTTGACGATGTTTTGCGCCACGATGTATACATGGCGGGGTGTCTAACCGGTTAGCCAAAGTTGCGACGCAGCGCTATAAGGAACACTTCACATGGAACCTACCAAAACCAAAATCCGAGGTTCGGGCTTGCTGGATCGTCCGAATTTGGATATCAAGATCTCTGCACGGCAAGAGAAAAGGATAGGCTCCGACCCTAAATCTGTTAGCTGCTGCTATACACACACCGATCATGCGACATACCGATGCCTGCACCGTTGCGGATCATCTCGCCCGGTCCACCTTTGTTCCCCAGACCCAAATAGTCCCCGAGGAACCGTCGCGAACCGAGGATACTCATCCTCCGGCGCTCCTTGCGCCCCTGGAGCACCTTGTGACCTTGGTCGCGCAACTTGAGAAGCTCAAGCCCACCGGTCATGCGGCGCCAGAAGCGCTGGATCCGAATGGCACACTCCGTCCGGTAACGGAGGTAATTGCGCCACGCGCGTTGGATCCGAATGGCCATGCTATGCCAGTACTTGTCACGCATCGCCTCCAGGGCGAACAGCGTCTCCGGGGTCTTGACGAACACTTTGGTAACACCGATCTGGAACTCCTCCGACGGGATTCTGGTATCCTTGAGGATCTGACGAGCTCCAGATTCTGCGTCCCCGGTCCACGTGTAATCGCCCGCATACGACGTCTTGGGAGACAGGAGATAGAACCGCTCCACGAACTTGTCGAAGGTTTGACGGTAGGCGAAGCCAGCCCGGCGAATCCGCACGTTCTCCTGCAGACCCAGGTATTTGATCTGGTGCAGAACATTGCCGACATTGAACTCCTTCGGGGCCTTATTGTCATTGGGCTTGATTGTCCGGATATAGGACGGCTGGGCCTTCATCAGGGTTGTCACCAGGTCGTTGGCAGAGGCCTTGATCTTGTCGCTAGCCGTGGGCGGGCGTCTCTTGTCGTCCTGGTTGACCTGGTTGGGGAAGAGCGTACGGATGAATGGGTTGCCACTCGACCCAACAAGGTTTAATAGATCCTTCAGCAGCTGGTCCTTGTTCTTGTCGGTCATCCCTTCCACGGCGTAGCTGACGTCACCGGCGTAGTGCTTGACGATAAACTGGCCCTGCCGGTTCTCGAAGTTAGGGTTCTGCGACAGGAAGTTCAACCTTCCAACGAACGTGTTGTCCGCGGCACCCGGGTCCGCGTGGGCGGTCGCGCAGGCGTCGTTGAGGGCGGCGAAAACACCAGGAGGACGCTTGTCCTCGATCAGCGAGCAGACAACCTTGTTGTCAAAGTACTTGATCGGAGTCCACTGGATCTGTTCCCGCGCGTACTCGTCTTGTTCGGCCTTGAGCGTCAACTGGATGAAGATCTGCTGCAGCTTCTCATTGACATAGTTGATGCACAGCTGCTCGAAGGAGTTTTTCTCGAAAATCTCGAACCCGTAGATATCCAAGATACCAATCGAGTTGGCGACCGGTTCTCGGGCAGTCAAGGATTGATTGACACGGGCCACGATCCAGTCAAACAGGTTGAAATAGATCGCCTTGGACAAGGCATCCCGTACGGCCAGCGCCTGCGCCGGGTTCAACGGCACTTCATAGATCGAGCCTCTGCGCCCTCCGCGGGCAGTCTCCATAATACGTATCGTAAGCGCTTTGTTGACCTGTTCGGCATCGACCTCGAGAAGGTAGGCGACAAAGTTGACGACGGACTGGTCGGTAATCACCGTTTTGCCTGAGTCGTCCTCGCGAAATTGTACATTTCCAATCCACAGAATCGCAGCCAGCATGCGGAAAACATCATCTTGCTCGGCTTCCGTCATGCCGATGACCCCCATCGCATTCAAGGTGTCTCTGAAATCGGCGGCATCGTCGACGCCGGCGACGTCGAAGCATTTCGATCGGCTGGTGTAGAGGTACGCGTCGGGTGTTTGAAGACCGAACATGTCTGCCTGGTTAGCTTGTGGGCTCACCATAGATAAGGCGCAACCTACCTCGATACTTCTGGGGCGCAGCCTTCGCAAACTGGTAGAAAATGTGGAAGTTCCGTTCGTTTGTGATCTGCCCCACCACTCTCGATTTCTCCAGCAGATAGTTGGTGATGTGAGCACCCACCGGCTCGCCGTTCGCGTTGAACTCCAATTCCAGGTATTTCCCGAAACGAGACGAATTGTTGTTGCGCAGCGTCTTCGCATTACCAAACGACTCGAGCAATGGGTTGGTGGCCAACACCATGTCCTTTGTCATTTGGATGGACGAATCGCCGCCTCCCGACACACTGGCAATGTACTGCATGATGCGCTTCGCGGCCTCTGTCTTTCCCGCTCCCGACTCTCCCGAAATGATCACACACTGGTTATCTTTGTAGGACTTCATGTTGTAGTAGGCGGATTCGGCGACCGCGAAGACGTGGGGCGGGACTTCGAGTCGGTTTTTTCCCTGGTAGGATTCGAGGACGCGGTCGGTATAGATACCCACTGGGGTGTGTTAGACTGTCTGCGCCTGGATCGCCCGTGCGACATTGGGACACTTACAGTCTCGGAACGGGTTAACAGACACCAGCACATGTCCAATATACGTCTGTAGCGCGCCTTCAATTAGTTGTGTTCCGGTTGCGCGAACCCCGCGTACTCACGTAGATCTCGTCATGCTCGAATCGCAACTTCAGGTTATCGTTGATGGCCTCGTTGGAAATCTTGCTGAGCAGCGTAAGATCCGACACGCCAATCTCCTTCTTCTTCGTGGTCTCGAAGACAGCCTTCCTGACCTGGGGCTTTCCCCCGCCTTGTCGACCGTCGCCCACATCAGCGACCGCCTTGGAGCGACCGAAGCGGCTCTTCTTCTCCCCACCACCTACTGGACGACGTGAGTGTCCCTAAGCCAACAAGGTCAGTCAACGGCTCCTCCCAATTAATCCTCGATATCCAGAGAGTCTATCCTCACCATGATTGTTGTTGCCGACTTCCCCGGATTGCGCGTCTAGGCGACAGGATATGCGACCTATGTCGTGTGGGGGGGGTATAGTTTAGGGAGAGGGAATGAACGAGAGAAATAAGCCGCTCATTCACAGAAACGCCCGAAATGAAAGGAAATCAAATCGCAGACCACCGCACGATATCAAAAACGAGCGGAATGGGGGAATGGAGGGGGGAATCGTAAGGAGGAGAAAGAGGAGAAAGGAAGAATGACGACGAAGAGGAGTGGACAACCTAAGAGACCAGGCCAAAACGGACAGATAGTAGGGAGACTACGGTGGACCGACCACTCAGGTCCCGCCGGGGGGGCCTGCGCCACACACGTGTGGCTCCGTTGGGCCCTTTTTTCTCAGGCGCAACGCGCAATCTGCTGCCCAGATTACTAACCTTTGCCTCCAGGGGCAAATCATGATAATAATGATATTATTTTTATTTAGATTCTTTTCGAAGGGATTTTACGAAGCGTGTTATATTGTAGGCTTCCAAATTAACTCTTACAGTGAGATTCTCTCAAGTTCCAGTCATCATCCATTTTTCAGTGGCATCTTACGAAGACAAAAGGCATTCAGGGATAAACCCCAAGTCAGTGCTATAATTAGCGGGTATCAGGCACCCGCCAGGCACTAATTTGGTCCTTCGGGCCCAAAAAGGATCCCGCTACGTCATGCCCGCTTTTCATCCTCCACGCTCCCGTTCACTAGAGACGATCAATGGATGGCCTCGTGGATAATGTCTTGGGCCCCTGTTCAATGGGAGTAGCTAGCCGCTGTAGTATCACCGTGTGTCAATTACTGTGGAGAATCTCATTGGTCAATGCTCAGAACTATGTGTTTTGTGGCGCTTAGAATATATATGTGATGGCGCGTGGTGTATAATTCTATACTTTTCCCTTTGGAAGCCCCCACTGCAGTATATTTCCTGTCGAGAAAGAAAATGACGAACTGATACTCAGGAACAAAAAGATTACTCATGATTGGTATCTTTAGTCCAGAACTGGATCAGTTCTCGCGCGCGCTCCTCCCCAAGATAATCCTGCAAAAGTGCTTGGCCTTGAGTCGTCCGAGCAGCTAGGCCTAAGGCCTTCAAGGAAGGAAACAGGTCACTGAGGATGTTACTTTCATAGAGTGATAGGCTGCGGCGTAGAGAAATATGAGACAACAAAGACAAGCAGTCCGTGGCCGATGCAATTGGAGGTGGAATGCGAGTAAAACTCCGCATATAGTCCTGTATGCAAGGCAACAGAGACGAGCAGACTGCCACAGGAATTATGGGCATCGATGTTGGCAGTGATTCAATCATCCTGATCCACTGTTAGCCGCACAGCAAGGAACTACCTAGACACACACTGACATGACTTGGAGACCCAAGAGTGCGTCTAGTGGACCTTTTCCACTGGCGCTACTGAACGATTCGTCGGATAGAAGGAGAGCGACCGCGGTGTTTGAATGGCTGGAGTGCAATCGGACGAGTCGGGAGATGGTATCTTGCTTGTTGGTAGATTCAAGGGAGGACGGAGAGAGGAGGATAATATCTAGATGCTCTGGACTGGATTCTAGACGGACGGTGAAGTCTGATCCATGCACTTGACGTTCTATCACGCCGTAGTTAACCCAAATACACTGGTCAATGGACAAGACTGACCTTCTAGTCTCGTCCCAGGCAATGTGAGGAGTGGTCCTATCGTCTTCCACAAGGGTCGATTGCGGAGGGAGGAGCAGAATACACCTTGTAAGATGCAGCTGGCTATATTCTCCATGTTCTGCGTGGATGGAAGATACGTGATGCGGTAGATAGCTTTAGAAGTTTGGTAGTATTTCTAAATGGAGAGGAGAGGTAATGCAATAGCCCCGTCGAACAGACAGCCTCAGTCATCCAACACCATCTGCCAACTTTCCCATCCTGCAATATAAGGGTATCCAACACGCAACACAACAATGCAAGTATTTACACTACACTTCCTTCAAGCTCTAACCAGATGACAAGTCGAGGGTTAGATCATGTCACGCCTTTCTAATCTCTGAAGCCAGTCCAGGACTAGTGGAAGCCGATGCTGGCGGACTGACAGAGGGTCCACTGTTACTGGATCCCCCAGGCTGATTCGAAGCAGCCTTTTTGCTCCCTTGAATGACAGCATCTGCCTGTTGCTCGGCAGTCTCACCAAACGAGAAATATGACGCGGCCCACGATAGCCACCCTTGTTGAGGAGCTTCCTTGTGTTCCTCCTCTTCAATCTCCCATGCATCCCGAGGCAGGATGCGGGCCGAAGTCTTGGACAACTCTCCAGACTTGGCCTTCTGCTGCAAAAGTTCCTTCTCCAGAGCAGCCAGACCCCGTCGAGCAGCCTTCTCCGACTCCTCCAGCTCGATCAATCGAGACTCAATATCTTCCCTCCTGGTATTTTCCTTCCTCCGAGACCTCCATGACTCATAGACGATCAACCCACCAGCCACCATGAACAAAAACGCTTCACTGATGAAGTTTGCCCCGGACTCGATGGCTTTGGATTCGGACAGTGGTCGAATGTGGGGTTTGGGAGCCGGTTTCGCAGCCTCCTCCGCCGCCGCTTTCGCTTTCGCAAGGGCCGCTTCCTCCGCCTTGGTTTCTACTTCTGACTTGACCGTGGGTGTAGTCGGTTTGTGTTTTCGAGCTTCCGCCTCGGCAGCCGCTCGCCTCTGGGCAGCACTGGTGTCCCGCACGGCGCCTAGACGGAGGCGCATATCGAATCGGTGCAGAGCCTGCGCCATGGCGACGCACATATTGCGAAACCGCTCATGTTCGCGAGCCTGTCCCTTTATTTGATTCTGGCGGGTGTCAGTCAGCACACGCAACCTGTAGGACAGCCAGGGGCAGACGTACGGCGATCGGCTTGGATAATGTGCGGATCGCGAGAGACGAGAGCTTGAGCGTAAGAGACATGGTGGCAGCAACTGAGAAGCATGACAAGGGAAAGGACAAGAAGTCAAGCTGACGGGGAATCAAGGATCGCCTTCATTAGTCAATCGGACCGCTGACGATCCTGCGTCATGCCGCAGCATTACTGGCACAAAGCCCGCATTTATGCATGCTGACATCAGCAATGCCCGTTGTTAGGCGGTCGGCCGGGTCATTGTTTATCGATTTCCGCATCGGGCAATCCGTTTGGAGAATTTCGGCCTTGTTATTTCTCTCCCTCTACTATTATTACTCTCGTTGGATCTCTCTTGCTTGCTTCAAACGCCCCTCTCTACCTCCCCCCCCACCACGTTAAACCTCCTATAGAGGTCATTCTGGTCGGTGCGGCGTTGGATGCATATTCATTGTTTTTAAGCGTCATTGTTTAATATAGTAATCCATTATCATCCGTGTTGCTTTCCATTTGGTAAGTGTCTCCCGTGGAACCGAATTTTCCCCCTCGACATCCCCGGTTCTGCTTGGTCTACCCCCCCTAACTTGCGACTTGGACTGGATGCATATGACAGTCTTGCCAAACATGATGCTATTGAGTCGCGTTTCAATCATGCTGATCGCCAGCAGCTCCTGCACAGCAATATACCCCATCTGCGCAATTGTATTTGACCGCCTGTATTCCCTAATCGATGTCCCCGACGACCGTCCTTGCTTAATGCAAACTGTGTTGCTGCAACAATATCCCACACGCTGATTGAGATCTTCGCCCAACACTCCCTCACACAAAATGGAGGCTCTATCACCGCGATCAACGAATCAAATGCTCAAACCGAAAGTCCCGATGGAACGAAAAGTATTGGATCGCAACGCCGCCGCCGCGAGCGCCGCCCAGAAGGCCGCTACGTCCAAAAATCATGCGCCACCGCCGCCGCCGATTGTTTCCGAACCGTTGGAAGATGGAGAGCGATATAGGACCGGTCATTTTCTGGGGAAGGGTGGATTTGCCGTCTGTTATGAAGGGACATTGCAGCGCAATGGTCGCGTGTTCGCCATGAAGGTGGTTAGATCGGAGATGACCCAGAAGAAGATGCAAGAAAAGGTGCCCAACCCTTGCGCTCATCGCCAGCATGCTTGGTTATTGACCCATTCCTGCAGTTCCGAACCGAGCTTCAAATTCATTCGAAAATGCGACACTCCCATATCGTGACCTTCCACCGTGCCTTCGCGTTCGACAAGTGCATATACGTCGTCCTAGAACTCTGCCCGAACGGATCCGTGATGGACATGGTAAAGAAAAGGAAGTCTCTGAGCTTGCCGGAAGTGAGACGATTTATGATCCAGCTTTGCGGGGCCGTCAAATACTTGCATAAACGAAACGTCGCGCATCGAGATTTGAAAATGGGCAATTTATTCCTGGATAAGAATTTGGACATTAAAGTGGGGGATTTTGGGCTGGCTGCGATGATCATGTCGGAGAAGGATGAAAAGCGGAGGAGGACACTGTGCGGCACTCCGAATTATATTGCGCCAGAGGTCTTGGATAAGAGCAAAGGCGGACATACCCAGAAGGTGGACATTTGGTCATTGGGTGTAATATGGTAAGCCCCAGCCGCAGCCTCGCAGCGCAACGAAGAATACTGACCAGCGACTAGCTTTGCCATGCTCACCGGCTACCCACCGTTCCAGTCCAAAACTCAGGAGGAGATTTATAAGAAAGTGCGGAATTTGTCATACGTATGGCCCAAAGGATCAGAATGCTCGAACCACATACCACAGGAAGCGATGTCCCTAGTGAGTGCGTGTTTGAATCTATCTGAGGATGAGCGGCCAGACCCCGACGACATTGTTGAACACCCGTTCTTCAACATGTACGATGGATGCATTCCCCGCCGACTGGATCCAGTGTGCTGCTCATCACGGCCAGCCTGGCTGAAGAACGAAGAGCCTCGAGGGGATCGCATGGTTCTAGGCCATAGTTTGGAGTACGACGAAAAGCTCGCCGAGTATATAGACGACGTTGATGACTATACGCAGCGATATTACATATGCAAGGCCGCCTTTTACAGTCTCTGCGGTGTGGGGAGGAAGCCCGACGGTACCGCCCGCAAATCAACGGGCAAGAACTGCTCCAAATCTGCATGGGCTGAATGCCTGTCCGAGGAAGAAAAAGGACTCCAGCCGGTCATTCCACTACCCGAGGATATCGTCTATAGGCACCCATATGATCTAGATGGAGATTGGAGTGCACCTGAAGCAGCATTGGTTGGGCGCAAGGTTACATCATCGTTTGATGCGAGCTTACTATCAACAAAAAGCTGTGCATCAGGTCCCGGTGTGTCTACCTCGCGGACACAAGCGGCTCTAATTGCCGCTCAACAGCGACGCAAGGAATCACAGAGCCACGCAGCCACGCTTCGACAACAGGCCACCGGGAGAACTACCGTACGAAAGATCGCTTCTATTTGCGACCCACCACCATCCGCGCGACCAATGTCTGATATGCGAGGAATGGATCCGGATGGTCTCCCCGTACCGAGTGGAGGGTTGGCGGACCGGCCATTGCGCCCCAGACGAGGTGTGGCTGCTTCATACTCAGGGTCACTTCGTGGTGTGGATAGACTCCAGCCGTCCCAGTCTCTATCGAACATGCCATCGGAGACACCAGCGTTCGGGAAAACGCGCTCTCAATCCCGGAGATTGGAAGTCGCAAGCCAAGAAACCAACCGTCCTCTGCCTACTGTCAAAGAGAGGTCTACCTCTGCGACATTAGGAGAGATGACCACGAAATCCTGGCAAACCTCATCACGACCGGCCCTAGAACCGCAGAAATTCGACATGCCCATTGCACCCGCGCCGAAGGCCGAGAGACGACCACCGATAGAACCCGAACCTACCAAGGAGAATCGCGTGCGTCCCCAGGAACCCCAGGCGATGAGCCGATCCGGCAGCAAGACAACCGTGGCCAGCAACAAAGCACGATCATCCCTAGGCGTACACCCACTCTTTCACTCTCACGACCCGTACGAATTTGTGCCGCGGACGTCACAGGATGATGTAAGCGCAGATTTGCGACACATGCTGGCCAACATGGTGCCGTACTCACCGGCTCGCCGACGCGTCGCATCTCGGAGGGCACCGCACGCCTATGTCATCAAGTGGGTCGACTACACAAATCGGTATGGAATTGGCTACGTGCTCGATGACGGCAGCGTCGGCTGTGTCTTCAAGGCGGAAAACGGCCAACCCGCGAGCGGAGTTGTTCTGCGGGAAGGAGAGAAGCACATCCGCCGCAAGGCCCGGAGCCACGACAAGCAGAGGGAGAAGCCGTTTTCCTACTCGGAAGCCGACCAGCTCGTACCGCGAAATGGAAAGCTCGTCGAGTTTTACGAGAACTGCGACAATTCCCCCGAGTGTCGTGGTGGTCTTCGACGGGCACTGATCTCTCCGTCGCTTTTCGAGGTGAAGAGTGCGTCCGGCAACGCCTCCGCTGGGATCAAGGTACGGTCTAATTCTGGTATTGACTGTGCACGGGCGGACGCGGAGAAGATCAAGCGCGTCAAGCTGGTTGACCAGTTTGGCAAGTACATGATTGGATCGCTGGGGCGCCATGACGATGAGACACTCCTGGAGGACGACTTGGCGACCGATAACGACGGCCAGTTCATCAAGTTCTACCAGCGTCTGGGAAATGTGGGCGTATGGGGGTTCGGGGATGGTGCTTTTCAGGTTTGTACCCTGTTTTCCTTCCACTCTTCTTCTCTCGATTCTAATGCTGTATAGTTCAACTTCCCCGACCATACCAAGCTCGTTATTTCACCAGGTCGAACTAGGAGCTCATCACCCTGGATCGATTTCTACCACCTCTCACCATCTGCCGCGCGCTACCTCACCTCCAAAGGAAAGATGCACCCCTCTGGATTCGACACACGCGCCGTCGCATCAGACGAAGTAGGGACCTTCCTCAGCATCGCCTACGGAACCGTATCCAGCCCAATGGACGACCGAATCCGGGAAGTGCTCGAAGCCAACTCATTCCTGCAAAAGATCGTCTTCATCAAGGACGTGGCGAAAGGATGGATCAAACAGGGCCGGCTAGGCGGACAACCCGCCAAGCCAGCGGACCTTGGCAGTAGTATCTCCTCAAAGCCATCCGAAGTATTCTGGGAAGGCGCCCAGGAGCGACCACACTCCGGAGGCAGCGGGGGCAAGTTCGTCTGGGTAACGGTGGGAGCACCCGGCGGAGATGGCGAATACCGCTCCGTCTCGCTCAAGGAGAAACGAGCAGAGATGGAGCACGATCGGGAGATGGAGGCGTTGAAGGAACGGTTGAGGTTTCTGGGGGCGCCGTCCTAGGAACTGTACATTTGGCATTTGGCTTACGACGATATGACGATTTTATTTTTTTCTCTTAATTTCTTCTTCTTCTTCTTCTTCTTTTCTTTTCTTTTCTTTTCTTTTCTTTGTTTTTTTGCGTGTTTTTTTGTTTCTGTAATTTCCGGGCTGCTACACGCTCGGACGACGCCCCCGCCGCCACCACCACCACCAGCATCGAGACAGATAACGCAAGCAAAATACCATCTTTGATATCCCCTCATTCATTGTCTATTCGTCTGTCTGTCTATCACCATTGATTAAATCAAATATACCCGCATACACGAAAAAAGCAGGGGTATAGGAAGGTGGGAGAGGAGAAGGGGCCGGTTAGAGTTCAAGACCCTGACCCGGAAGGCCGAGCCGCCTCGTGTTTGTGCCTGCCCCCGAATAGGATGTCTCATTTTGCTCGAACGAGTAGAAATTGAAGGTATCCCCCGCTCGGTGTCGACGTGGCTGGCCACTAGTCTTGTTGTGGGCGGCACATCTCGTATTCAGGGTGGAATTGGTCTGGACGCCGAGATGTTGGTTGGTAGGTGGAACACCACTCGGTCAGTGTTGTGGTCTGTCTTCCTGGGTATATATAGATATGTTTTCTATCTCCCCTGTTTGGCGGCTGTAAATTTGTTGTGCTTGTAATATTTATTGTCTGTCCCAGTTCCAGTCCCTCGTTCATTCTGTCGTTAACTATTGTTAATTGACCACCCGGCCTGCTGCTACTTAATATAATCTCTATATAATTGCTATACCAACCCCACTCGCTCACCCATTTCTACAAAGAATTGGAAAGAAAGAAGAAATGTTCGCCTCCATCCTTTTCAGCACCCTCTTGGCCAGCCAAGCCCTCGCCACGGGGGTGGGCTTCAAACAAGTCAACGAGATGGGCCTCAGCAAGCGCCAGACTGACGAGTCGTTCGTCCCCGGGACCACCTACGGGTGTCCTAGCGGATGGCCTGAATGCGGGACTAGCCAGGTCTGCTATAACCCTAAGCGTGGGGATACCTGCTGTCCTGGCGGGACTTGTATGTCTTCTTTTTTTTCTTGATATCATCGTGAAGAATTAGTATAAGGTCAAGTGGCTAATGGAGTGCGATGCTTAGATGCCTGTCCGGGAGGCTCTTTCTGCCTGCAGGATGGGTACTGCTGTCCCGATGTAAGTATTCCGCCCCTCCCTCCAACTTCATGGGAATCATGAGCACTGATGGCAAGTGTAGGGCCTCGACCGCGAGTCGTGCGCCAAAAAATTCGGCGTCACCCTGAAGCCCACGACGACCGCCGAGCCGACGACCACCTCCCAGCCGACCCCGACGGATGACACCACGACCACGACGTCGACGACTACTTCGAAGGCTGTCATCCCGACGACGACTACCACTTCGGCCGGCTCGAGCTCTTCTTCGACTGTGCCGCCTCCGCCGAGCTCTGCTGGCCCGTTCAGCCCGCCGCTTTTCACGGCCGGTGCGAATGCCCTTGCTGGTGCTAAGGCGGCGGTTGTTATTGGGGCTGTTGGTGGGTTGTTGGCTATTTAGGTAGCTCTTTTTGAGGACTGGTTCGCTGGTGGACTTGCTTGTTGGTGGGTTGATGTTGATGGGTTGGTTTGATTGAGTGGGTATCGTTGAGTTTATTTGTGCTAATTTTTAATTGTTTGTTGTTGAATTACTATAATTGTTGTTGATTTTCTTTCGCGTGTCGTCATAATATTCAGTTTGTGAGTGGAGAGAATGTTTGGTTTTCGCTTCTTGAGAATCAGCTGCATTAGATCGAGCTCGTGAGTGAATTGCCCGATTGGGAATATGGACTGTATAGCCTGGCGCTCCATTCTACCTGTCGATCGGGACTGAACTGCTGCTCCTTGCCATGTGCCGAGCTGGGTCAGCTCGGGATGGACCTCTGCCGATAGTGGAGGGCGTGGCTTTCATGACACAATTCGATTTGTGTTCTTCACTCAGTTCATGAATATCAGGTGAGGAAAATCCAGTGAGAATAGAGATTTCTCCACCGGCACTGCCGAATGATATCGTCAGTCATGTATCGATCCCTGTCATGGCGACTAGTACGTAATTAGTAAGTTGTCTGGCAATCTCCCTGATGAGGAAAGGATTGCAGGATTGAGCTAATGCCGGTCAATCTTGGAGGTTCGTACGGAGTACTCCGTAGTCAAAACAAATTGATCTGGGTGAATCGCACAATCTGGTCAAAATAATCAAAGAAGAATCCAGGCCTCAACACGGGGTCTTGGGCAATGAGGCCATTGCCAACACGTGACTGTAAATTAACGACCAGAAAATAATTGTAGACAGTGAGTTGAGCTTCAAGCCCGTCCACTCGCTTCAGCTCCTGCAACCCTGCGGAGCACGAGTCAGTCTGCCTGACCCACTTCGTTCTTCAGACAGGAAAGGACAAAGAAGAAAGGGAATAGGGGAATATCAGGGTTGGGAGGGAGTCCCACACTTCGCCTGGATCCACCACTGACATCCCTTCGATCGGTGGTTCGTGGTCTCTCCTCAGCTCCACTCCTTGCTGATCCCAGGCCAATCGAGATCGCATTCCTTGAAATCCTCCCGTCGTACAGCCGCGGACTCTGCATGCAAGCTGCCAGGTCGAGGTACATTTCCAGCAATACTTTGTACGACAGACTCTCTTCCTCTCACAGACCCAATGACTAGGAGCATATAAACCTGGACCACACCCCATGTTGTCTCTGACTTGGCCAGAGCCTGGTTGTTTTGGTTTATGATCGATCAAGATTGTCACGTAGAATGCATTTGCCGATGCTGATGGTTCCAAATCATCCACTCTCCCGTCCCCACCAGCTACACCAAGTGTGGTTGGACAGTCCGCTGCTCCGTGCGGTTCGTCCACTCGGGCCATCCATATTCGACCACTGACAGGTTCCGTGCGGCACTACCGCAAACCTACCAGCGATTGACCTTTTAGACTCGGTTGAGGGTACCGTGTATGGCATGTCTCGAGCGATAGCGCATTATGACTGGCTGTGGGCTCTGGTGTTTCATCTCCCGGCAGCTCGGGCGAGCTGGCCTTTCCTCTACGGTTCATTAGACCCTGACGCGCGAAAAAGGGAAAAATCAATCCTAGATGGGGAAAACAGGATCTACTGAGGATTTTCTTGCGTATTCGTGTTTAAGTCGGACGGTGGGCGAGACTGGCACATATAGGGAGGATCGCCCTTGAATGTTGCACACTTCCACTTGTACTCTTCAATCCTCCATATTTGTTCACTGGCTCTATACTCCCATCATCTCCTTTCCACCCTTCTCCGGTCTATTCCCCCATACCTGCCATGGCTGAATACCCAACCCGCCGCAGCCTGGCAAGACGGCTGCTAACCGCCTTCCTGGACCATCATGACTCGAGCCTGCCCACCACACACCCGCCGCCGCCCCCTGGAGTTCCCCCAATGCTGCAAATGAACAATGAGTCCTGCGACTCCCGACCAAAACTCCTAACAATTGCGCGCACCGACCAGAGCACCTTGATCCCACCCCAGGACAAGCTGCTGATGTTCCGCGCGCTGATGGGCATCGAGAACGTGCCAGCGCTGACAACATTGCACCACTACCAGCGCACCATCCAGAACGTGGGCATCTACACGCGTGTGGTACGCGCCGAAGAAACCGCCGCCCAACGTTATCGTCTATTTTCTATCCTGATCAACACATGTCTGGGCGTTCAGATCGTAGTGGCAGCCGCTCTGACAGCGCTAGGAGCGGCCGCGGGCCCCCATTCAGCTGTCACGACCTTCGGCGCAATCAACACAATCGTGGCCGGCGTGCTGACCTACCTCAAAGGCTCAGGGCTACCAGACCGACTCAAGCACTACCAGAACGAGTGGGGGAACATTCGCGAGTATATTGAGCAGCGCGAGCGCGAACTCTGTCTGGACGGATGCATTTTGGACGTCCATGAGGAGATACTGTTCATCGAGCATCTGTACGAGGGCGTTAAGCGGGAGATTGAATCGACGAAGAGCGGAGGAGAGAATCGCTCGACGGCGCAGGACAGACACATACAGCGATCGTTTCTCCCGCCGCAGCAGCGACAGCAGGAGCAGCAGCAGCAATCACCCGATCCCAACGGCCAGGTGACTGCTCCGGACCCGGCGCTGGTAAAGGAGAAGAACTGACTCAGGTGACATGATTTGCGGTTTTTTTCCTTGCCATTTGATATTTGATGTATATTGTATATTGCACTGTATCACGCTCCTCTTTATATGTCTGAACTTCACCTTAGAAGCTGTTCACAAAAGCTGTGTCCCCATCTTGTCTGCATATATATATTTGATTGCTATTAATGTACTGAACCTGAGTCTCATTTAACAAGTTATCAATGGTTATTTAGCTATAGCCAACACTTTACAACTAGTGGACCACTTGTTGTTAAAGTTGATTATTGGTGGAACTTTGTAGATAGAATGTCAGATGTAATACGCATGAACCAACAAACGGACAGAGACAATAGCATAGTCAATTGATAGATTTGGAGTTTGTACTACCCCAGAAAACCCAGATAGTAAGTACAGCAACTATACTTCTAGCGTAAATAAGTTGCAATAACAAGTACACACAGAGATAGGTGATCGGAGAAATAGTATAGTAGGATCGTCTGATTTCTTTCCGAATTCTCCACCCCCACTCTGACTTTATCGGTCGATTGCAACCATCATATTTATCACTTGAACACTCTCTCTACACATTTATCCAAGTATTATTATATCTTTCATCTGTTGTTAATTCTAGATTGAGTGCTCTTATCCATTGGATATCTACAACACGACCTATCTACAGATCTCAGTCCACCAATCCTCAACTCAATCCCAACTCCAACAATCCAGCCCAAAGAAAAGAAAAAAAGAAGAAAAAAACAACCATACATATAGACCAAATCGAGAAACCAAATATATAAATCAACATGCCAGAAATCCGCATCCACCCCGCAACCGAACCCGACGCCACCACCCTAGCCACAATCTTCACAACAAGCTTCACCACTGACATCGACCTCGCCATGTTCCCGCCCACCCCCGCCGTCCACAACTGGTGGACCCGCGTCTTCGCAGCCGACATTGCACGCACACCCAGCACACGGGTCTTCAAAGCCGTCGACGACGCCACCGGCAAGGTCGCCGGGTACGCCGTGTGGGCGCTACCGGGGTGCGCGCACGCGGGAGACGACGAGATGCCGCCGTTCCCGGCGGAGTGTGATGCGGGACTGTGCGAGAGGTTTTTTGGCGCGATGGATGAGATGATGGATGTTGTGATGTGTGGAGTGGAGGGGTTTTATTGTTTGTTTTTCTTTTCCTTCTTTTCCCCTCATACTTGTTTGGTCCTTTGTGGTGCTTGTTTTGATACGATGCTGACTGGGGTTGCTAGATTTGAAAATGCTGGCTACGCGGCCTGAGTACCGCGGACAGGGGATAGCGTCACGGCTGCTGCGGTGGGGTATGGAGAGGGCAGAGGAGGAGAAGGTGCCTGTGTTTTTGAGCAGTTCGCCTGCTGGGAAGAGTGTGTATGAGCGGGCGGGGTTTGAGGAGAAGGCGATGAGGGTGCTTGATGGGGGGTATCAGCAGAGGTATTTCGTTTGGAGGCCGGATGGGTGTTGAGTGTCTACATATATGTGTATATCTATTGTATGCGGATGAGTTTTTGATCTTGATTTCGCGAGATACTTTGTATATTATACTTTGAGATGGTCTCTAGAACAGTCCCATTGTAGGTTTTGACTGCTGTCACCGATGCAGATCTGATCTGTATGGCGGGTTGATGCAGAACGCATCATGCATGTCGGGATCCCCTATACCACTGCTTTCTATACCACACGAGTCTATCCAAGACGATCAGGGTGAACCATGACCGATTCCTGTGCTGATTGCGCGATGATATCGTGGGCAGATATAACTAGACTAGTAGCCTCGGCTTAATAATGCGGAGAAAAAATCGCTGATAAGAACCGCAAAAGCCCCACGTTCGCGATTCCTACCAGCGCCTCTGCAACATACAATATAGAAAGACATAGAACAGTTCCCCGAATATACCATAGCATTATCACAACCATGGGCGACGCAGCGCTGCCAAGAGAACACCTCCTGATCGCCTTCTTTGAGCCCCTCCCGCCGGGCATGGAAGAGGACATCAAGGCCAAATTCCCCAATGTCGATACCTCAACCGTCATATTACCTGGAGGGGCAGACGTCCCAACTGGTAAGCCATTGTCTCACGATGTCACAAACAGCAACTGAGAAAGAGCCAGACGCCATCCAACACGCAACCATCCTCGTCACCTTCACGAACCTCCCGCGCCCCGAAGACGCCCACAAGTACGCCTCCACCACACCCCCCCTCTCCAACCAAACAATCCAACACCAACACTAACACTAACACCAAACAAAGCATCAAACTATTCCACTTCTTCTCCGCCGGCATCGACCACCTCATCCACCACCCCACCCTCCAAGACCCCGCAACCGCGCCACCACCAGCTCCGGCATCCACGGCCCCCCAATCGCCGAATGGACCCTCATGAACTGGCTCATCTCCTCCCGCAAATTCATCTCCACCTACGAGAACCAGAAGAAACACCACTGGGGCGGCATCACCTCCTACATGCACGGCATGCACGACCAAGTCGGCAAAACAGTCGGCATCCTCGGCTACGGCAGCATCGGGCGACAGATCGGGCGCGCCGCCTCTGCGCTCGGCATGCGCGTGCACGCCTTCACCGCGTCGCCGCGCCTCACGCCAGACTCCAGACGCGACAGGGGGTACATCGTGCCCGGGACGGGCGACGCCGACGGCGCGATCCCGGCATCGTGGCACCACGGGACGGATAGGGAGTCCGTCCGTGCGTTCCTGAACCTGGGCCTCGACCACCTCGTCGTGTCGCTGCCGTTGACGCCGCAGACGACGCATTTGCTAGGCGAGGAGGAGTTCCGCATTTTGTCCGATGCTGTGTCGCCGCAGCGGCCGAGGCCGTTCGTCACGAATATTGCCCGCGGGAAGGTCCTCGATCAGGATGCGTTGATCGCGGCGCTGACGACGGGTGTGTTGGGCGGTGCGGCGCTTGATGTCGCCGATCCGGAACCCCTGCCGGCTGATCATCCGCTGTGGGAGGCGCCCAACTGCCACATTAGTCCGCATGTGAGCTCCCTGGGGAAGGAGTACTTCCCGCGGTCGTTTGACGTGCTGAAAGAGAATCTGGGGCGGATGGAGAGGGGCGAGGAGCTGGTGAATGAATATAAGAGGGGGAAGGCATATTAATTGCTGACTCACGACACACATAACGAACGCCCCTTATTATTACTAGTATATATTTTTATGGTTACTTTTGAGTACATACATACCGCAGACATGGTTGGAACAGTAACATTCTGGTGATCAAGATCAAGATTGAGATCAAGACATGACCCATCCTCGGACGCTCTCCTCAACGACAACTCCGGCCACTCCACAGCCGAGCACAACCCATGACCACGGGTTCGAGATCTCGCTCAGCGCGGGCCAGAACCGGTTCTTCTCCTGCCGCCACGCCTGCAGCTGCTCGTACTTCTCCTTGTCATACTTGGTGTATCGCTCCTCCTGTCCGGTCTCGTTCTCCTTGTCGCCGCCAAACAAGCGAAGGAACAGGTAGTTGGCCACGGGACCAAGGAGCACCACGGGGTTGAGTCCGTTGGCGATGTTAAGCAGTGCGAATGAAGCATGGACGAGGGCATCACCCAGGTAACTACACATGTCAGCACATCAAGAAACCACGGGAATAAAACGAAAAAAGAGCCAAGGAAGAGAAGGAAACAAGGAAAAAACCTACTTAGGATGTCTCACAACACTCCACACCCCCTCGCGACACAAATCCCCCCTCTTATGCTTATACAACCCCAACTGCAAATCCGCCAACGTCTCCAACGCAAACCCGACCCCAAAAACAGCCACCCCAAGCGTCCTCGCCACCCCCGCAACATCCACCCCCCCACAGCAGCGGCTCAAATCCAGCACGCCCTGCCCGGGCAGCCGGAACGGCACCGTAAACGGCAGCGAGATGATCGTCAGCGCAGCCGCCTCAGGCAAGAACACCTTCCAGAGCGCGTTATCCCAAAAGCCAGGATCCTGCTTCTTCATCTCCTCGTAGCGGGCGTCGTCCTTTCCGCGCTCGACGGACCGCGCAGCGATGTGGTACAGCAGGCGCGAGCCCCACGCGGTGACGCAGCCCAGGAGCACCTTCTGCGACCAGGGGAGGGCGCGCCAGGTGGTGCTCAGCGAGGGCGAGGCGCGCGTGATGTTGTGGCGGTGGGAGAAGATTGGTTGGCCGAGGGCGGCCCACCAGGCGTTGAGGACTTGTGTCGCGGGCCAGGCGCAGTCTTTGAGGTCGGCTCTGTTGGCGGTGCGTGCGGCGACGTAGGTTGCGACTGAGATGGCTGCGTTGAGCGTGAAGGAGGGGAGGATGGTGGACTTGACGAGCCCGATGTCGCTGAGGTTGCTACCGCTGCCGGGGCCGGATCTGGGGACGCCGGGCCTGTATGGTGTTGTTGTGTCTTTGCCTCCCTGTGAGTAATCGTGGAGGGAGTGGCTTAGTTCGCCTAGCGGCGTTGGGCTGGCGCTGTATATCTCCATGTTTCTGGGTTGCCTTTGCCCTTGATCTCACATGGTATTGGGAAGGTTGAGTAGGGTTTGGATGGGAGCTTTGTAGTTTTGTGAGAGAAGTCTGGGGCGAGGAAAGGTTGATGTCACTGTTATGTAAGGCGGTTGGCTCCATGTGACGGTGGTATCTTCCCGATTAGGAAATCCAGGGCCCGGATGCGAGGGTAGATTGAGGTGCGGAGCATGTCATGACATCATCATTGATCTATGTACTACCTCTATTGCGATAAGGTACAGAGTAGTATATGAGAAAGATTCAAGTAAGCATCAGATAATGATGGTAACTACATCAAGCAATTGATAAACGGCAACCCGGTCTTGTCTTGGACCTCCTTGAGTGCTTGTACAAGCTTGTCATCCTCCAGTCCTTCGGAACAAGCTGCAGGCCAACAAGGGGTCTTCGTGCCTGGCCGTGAGTGTATTATGAAGCCTTGGGTAAGTACTAAAGGTAAAAATGGACCGCTTGTGATTGTAGACATGCAAAAAGATGAAGCAGCAGAGCACAACGCTAGTTCATGTCGAATATAAATATAGGCACATAAGATATATCTCAATATATAGTCATTAATCGTTATTGTTCACAAGTTCGTTCAGGGCAGAGAAATCAAATGTCAGGTTAGGACTATCAGATTCGTTCTCAGTCCGATATTGTGTTTTGGTCAAAGCTGACAATCGACGGGTCCAGAGCCCGATCAAGTCAGGTTGAAGATCGCCGTCAAAGGCTTGAGAATCGTGACCATTACTAGTGTATACGTCAGAAGCAAGTGCTTCGTTCGATTTCGTCGATATAAGGGACAGATCAGTAGGTAAGATCAAGCTAACATCATGCAAGTCACATCCATTGGGGATTCTCTCCAAAGGCAGTTTGTGGGTGGTCTTCCGTCGTAGATTTTTGTTTCTAGATGGGTCATCTTGCCGAGGGATACTTTGATATCGCATGAGATATGCCCTTGGGTCATGCGGATTGATGACAGGTCTGGTTGTAGATCGACTCGGTCCCTCGTCAGTAGCGGGCTCCGAATGAAGCGCTGCTCGTGCAGCAAGATATCTACTGAGGTGCGGTGAGCTAGAAGGTGTGGATGGCTCCACACGATCCCTGATCCGCTCTCGATGTTTTTTGATAGCTTCTCTTTTTCGATGCTCGAAATCCAGTGCCTCTTCTAGTTCTGGGTTTTGGTCAGGTTTGGCGGATTCATGCAGTCTAGCTGACCACTTTTCAAGGACTGGAAGCTCACGTCGCTTGCCAGTGGTGGCTAGAGCTGGTGCAGCGGATGATCCGAGTAGATTAGAGCGTGGAGGCTCTGCTTCCGGTGCTGGGGATGTGTGCGACCTTGCGCTAGTGGTACATTGGGCATCTTGCGTTGCGCCCTGTGATGCCGACGAGCCCGATGACGACGCATCTCCGGATCCAAACCGACCACGCGCTAGTCGGCTCAAGGATGATTCCGTCTGGGTATCATCTGGATTTTCTTCCGCGGCGCTTTGAGAAAGCGAAACCTGCGTTGTCCGGGAAAAGATGGTATCCAGAGCACCGTTCCCGTACCGTTCTCGATCAAAGTCCCTAGAGGCGCGTAAGGATTGTCCTTGCGGCGATCCTGTTAGGCGCGACTGTTGAACTCGTGACGACGACATTCGTGGATTTGGGGAAGGATTCGAAAGAGACGTGTCGGTCGAAGATGGGCTTGGTGGGAACGATTTTCGACTGTGGTCATTCTGTTTCCTTTGCGATCTTCTCTGCGTAGGGGCTCCATGGTTCGAAGATAAGGTCACCACTGCACTTCCAGTCCCTTTGGTCCCATTTTCGCGAACTGGCACGTTTAATTTGGTGATTGACCAAGGGTTGATAAATTGCGATTCCTTCGAGTGCGAACCTGGTGCCGGAGGACTTTCAACGGCCACATTATTTTCACTTTGCTCGGGAGATTGGCATACACTGCTGGTCGTATTGGCACCAGATGATGGATTGGTGGATGAGCGAGCAGGGGTATATCGCGATGATTGGTAGCCGTCAGGACTCCTAGGTTGTCGGACGGGTTGAGGACTAGTCTGTGCAAGGAGGAGGCCAAACCCGCCTTCTCGTATAGGTTCTTTGCCCTTGGGCGGGCTAGCTTTTTTCTGTTCCATTTCCATATAGTCTCCATATACATTCGCCATAAAGTCTTTTAATACGGACAAAAACTGCTCCCGATCTTCAAACAGTATATCATCTTTAGCTGGCTCAATGTTGACGTCGTACCGCTCTTCCAAGCTTTTGACGTGCAAGCAAAGAACCGGATCTGTGATCGTCGGGACAAGTCCCTTGCGAGAACAAGCCGACCGGATATATGATTTGTAGATTTTTGTGACGTCGCGGCCAAGCCCTCTGGCCGAGGACAATGGCCTACCATCCACGCTGATATGTTGCCCAGCGTTGTTTGATTTAGCGATATCTGCAATCGTTAGACGAGTAAATCTTTTGAAGGAAATTTCACATTACCATTATCAGGGTTGAGAAGAACCGCAGTCAGCACGAAATCAGTATTCTGCTCTGAAGGTACTTCTTGAACTGCGACCTCGTCCGGTGGCCACTTCTTGACGATGCAAGCAGAAGCCATCTCCATGCCAACGATTTTGATCGCTGCATCCATGAGTGTTGGATCTGGTCCCGGGGCATACATGAAATTATTCTTCTCATTTTTTGCCTTCAGTACTCTGAAACACAACCTCTTCGAAGGTTGAGCGATGGCGTAGGCTTGTAACAATTTCTTGACTCTCCCTAGGGTTTTGACTGTGCTTCTGAGTGTGGTTTGTCTTCGAACGGGTATGTGTTTGAAAAGGTCCACGACCCGAACAGAAGTTCCAACTGGATGAGATGCGCGTTGAGTGCTACACAGTATCGTTAGACCTTGCTCATCCAGTAATATAAGAATACTTACCTAATGGGTACACCGTCTCTGCCGTATTTGATGCTGGATCCTACCAATTCTGAGTCCACCCTAGTACTAACAGTCACTCCACCCGAAATTTCGGCCATACTGGCTAAGGCCTCGCCTCTAAAGCCGAGGTGTTTGGACCCGACTTCTCTCAGATCCTCGACTGTTTCGATCTTGCTCGTGTAGGCACGTTTACAAACCACAGGATGGTCACTGGAAGGTATGCCATGGCCATTGTCTTTCACCTGAATGAGGTCGACGGTATTTGCAGAGATATCAACAAATATCGACGTAGCCGAAGCATCCAGTGCATTGTCTACAAGCTCTTTGACCACCGAGCAGGGGTCAGAGATGACTGATGTTGCACCAATCGCCCGAATGGTGGTCGGGGGGAGGGCCGTGATCGGCATTATCAATGGTGGCCCTGCAGGCGGCGAACCATGGTTATGGATTGGCCTAACAGGGATGCCAGATATCAATCGAAGGAGAATGATATAAATAAGTATACTATAAGAAACGGAACGATATCACTGATGTAAGGTGTATACGCAGCGAGCGAGTGGTGACATGAGATGTATTGAGTGGAAATGAAGTATTTCCACGCACATTGTTCGGGGATATCGGGGTCAGCCACGTGAGCTGAGTCATCAGAACTCCGCCAAGAAGAGAAGCATCCCCTCTCGACAAATCAACGACAAACATTCGTTTCTGACACCTACATGGTCACTGAATCCAAAAATGCTGTGTTCAGCCTTCTCGATATCGCAGCTGGCGATACCGAGTGTGTCTCTTCTTATTAGTTTTCTCGCATACACCTCACAATATCTCCTTCTGAACTTCGAACCTGCGCCGATCACAGACGGCGAGCTACTGTGGGTCAACGTTTTCGCGCTCTGCATATGGATATGCTACTACCGGGCCTGTTCCGTGGATCCGGGGCGTATTCCCAAGGGCTGGCAGCTCCAAGACAGTAAACAACTGGAATCCGACCGTGCAAGTGGGCGATCACGGTGGTGTCGTAGATGTGAAGCTTTCAAGCCGCCCCGAGCGCACCACTGTAAAACGTGTCAAAGGTGGACATGACCGTAGCTCGGCCTGTGACTAGTCATATATGCTGATTTTCGGATCTAGATGCATTCCAAAGATGGACCATCACTGTCCATGGACTTCGAATTGTGTCTCGCATTTTACGTTTCCGCATTTCATCCGGTTTCTCTTTTACGCGGTGACGGGCATGACCTATCTTGAGACTTGCTTATGGGAAAGAGGTGCTATCATTTGGGCTTCTAGACACCATCCGAGCGTAAGCAATTATCGCCCGGGCCTGTCGCCTTTTGCTAATCTTGTTTAGTACATGGGGCCTAGTGTCATCCAGATAGGCCACCTGTTTATTCTGTTTGTAGTGAACAGCTTGACCATATTTGTGCTCTCTATTCTACTCGCCCGAACGGCCTGGAGTCTTATATTCAATACCACCGTCATCGAGACATGGGAAATTGAACGACACGAAACCCTGTTGCGACGGGCTAAACACTTTCATGGGTACCTGACGAGTCCCCATGGGACTCGAGTGCATATCAGGAAGCAAGAATTCCCCTATGACATTGGAATATGGGACAACATCAAGGCTGGAATGGGTGGAAGTTCAAATGTGAGTCTACCACGTATATCAAAGACCATGACTAACATCTCTTGCTCAGGTCCTTGGCTGGTTCTGGCCTCTGTCAAGAACGTCCAACCCTTCCACGGGTTTGGAGTTTGAAACCAATGGGTTCGAAAGTTAGTATACAGCTGTTTTTCCCGAGAGCCGAGCTAACTCTGGTAGATTCAAACCTCTCATGGCCACCACCGGACCCCGATCGCATCCCCATGCCTGCGCCGCGAGCGAAGGGCAACCTGTCTCCCGAAGCAGAGGCCTCTGGATACGAGGACAACCAGTCCCCCTCCAGTGACCCATCAAAAACCAGTAATGGTCTGGCCATCCAGCGGCGCCGGCGCTTCCATCAAAGGATTGATCAGAAGACCGATGAAGCCGAGAACTCAGCAGAGTCTAGCTCAGCCGACAGCGATCAGTCGGATGACGGCGAACAAGCGTGGAGGAACTCGGAAGGCGAGCGGCTTCGTGATTTCGGTGTCGACGAGGATGCCGAGTTCTATGATGAAGAGGATATCCCACTGGCTATTTTAGTTCAGCAAAGAGCACAGGCGGCGTTGAAGCAAGTAACCTAATACGGGCTTTTGTATATAAGAAGTAGGAAGGATCGAAGCATTGGTAAAGCAGGACATCTCAAGGGTTTCATGATTCCTCCTGTTCATACGCAACGTAACATTAGTGGCTCTCGATATCTTGCTGAGGACGAGTCAGGCGAAAAAACTTCGTGGTGGGACCAGTGTAAGGCCCGGTGAAATTTCGAGACACCTAACCGTGTTGTATCACGTCTAGACGCCCGGGATTTTATTTGAGAGACCTCCAGGCTTGAGACTCATACCATGGTTATCGATATATTCTGCTGCATAGCCATGCTCAGCGATATCATCCATACTATCTCGACTCACTTGGCTTCGCAGTAATCTTGAAATTACTATAACAAGAACATAGTGGTCGCGAAGTGGGTACGGATGGACTTCATACAATCCAGCTCCAGGTAATCGAGATGTCTGTTCGGGGTCTTTCTGGATGATAGGTAGGGCTGCTTCCATTTAGGTAAACGCCGTACTGACTGTCATAAATTGCATAAATCATTATATGATCCCATATCTGGATAATGCCGTGCACAAAGTAAATCATCGATGGATATATGGGCAGAGCCGGTATTGGTTGCCGATGACGCCATCCCACGGAGGCCTCTGATTGGCTGCCTTATGGGCATAGCAGCGATCTTTTGTGCTGTGCCAGCATTAGCCTGTGGGGATTTAATTAGAGGTATAAAGGTAGACATTACCGCTGACATGGACCTGAGATACTTCATCTTCCCTTCCACGACGTGGTGAAGTCCCAGATGCAGCTACCGCAATACCCCGACCCCCCACAGAATGGCCGACCTGTGTGGCTCAAGAGCCCGATCCGACCACGGCTAAATAAAGACCACAGACCAATCGAAATGCAGGAATCCCTCAGTTGGCCGCGGGAATCCCCGACGTCGCATTCAGCAAATGACTGATCTCCTCGCTCATCCTCTGGGCTTCCCCGGGAGGGAAAAAACAAGGAACACGCAGGGAAACGCAGAAAAGCTGGAATTCCAACCTTACGACATACCTCGAATCTAGCCAGATTCCATCATGCTTGACAATTGCCCACCATTCCTTCGACAATGAACGACCGGCCCGATAACCTTCACCACGACCATTCTTACTCGGAGTCCACCGCCGTTTCCAGACCGCAATCTGTCGCGGTCGCCAGCAGTCGGACCTCTACCTCTCGCGGCTCGAACCCATGGGGGAACCACGACGACGCCTTCGAACTCCATCAGATTGAGACTCACGACGATGATGATCCCTGGTCGCTCTCCTCAGCAGAGTCTCGGGTTGTCACCCGCCGGTCAAGATCGATCGTGGACCAACGCTCTATACGCAGTCAGCCACCACGCAAGGGGCTCGCGGGATGGGTGCAGAAACACTGGGCTCGGAATGTGGTCATGACGGTGCCGGAGAATAAGAATCGCGATCATTTCGGTGAGTCTTTTCTCCGCTATCCAGGGATGGGCGATGGTGCATGTGGAATGCCGGATGTCTTTCCTCAACGAGGGTTGTCTTTCCCAACGAGGGATTCCGCATCGCCAAACCTAACTCGGGAAGCCTCCTGCTAATCTCATCTCGCATAGCTCTGGAACGCACGTTCCTGGCCTATATCCGAACATCGGTCGTTCTGGCAATGCAGGGCGTGCTTGTTGCTCAGCTGTTTCGCCTGCAGCGGGAGTCGACTGCCAACGACCGGCTCGGATATTATGAAGTGGGAATTCCTCTGTCGGTGAGCTGCCATGCGGTCGCTATTGCGGTGGCTGCGATTGGCGCCTATCGTTTCTTCAAGCAGCAACATGCCGTGGCATTGGGAAAGATATATGCAGGGGGCTGGGAACTCAATTGCATTGCTGGATTATTCGCTGCTGTAAGTCTTGAATCACCGCTGGGGGTAACTGTAGAGATTGGAGGACAATGTTTCTGACAGAGCACAGGTGATTCTAGTAACTTTTGTCCTGTCCCTTGTGATTGCGGTGGAAATCGACATGGATAATGACAATACAGCGCTTATGGCATAAAAGTGGGATCAATTTTTCGGAATGTTAAAATAATGTTTACTAGGGATATAGACTAATGCTTAATGCTCAACTCTACCATACACACAAATCACCAAGATACTTGGCCTATAGAACCGGGAACATTGCCAATCACTACGGAGTATATATCCCGCGTTTATTGGGTGTGGAGTGCAATTGTTTCTGAGTTATTGGGTATCTCACCGTAAAAGTCGTTCATATTCGACCTGCCACAGATATATTACCTCGATCACATGGTGAAGCTACAGTGGCAACGAGTATACGTAAGGTTAAGAGGCTGTGCGACTTGCATATATCGAGACCGAACCCACGAGCTATCTCACAAGAAAACCTTAATACTTTTCTGTCTGTCAAAATTTGCCTTTCTGTCCCTATTCGGAACATCCGATCCCTGTTGGATGCGACAAGATTGGCCGGGTCCTGCGGGGAAATAACAACACGAGGTACAGGCTCAGCCACTAACAGCCTTAACCATTCGAACCCATCGTCGGGACTCAATCTACTAGCCGAAGTGGATTGATTGATGGCTTGATTGACACCTCCGTTTTTGACCCTCAGCCTCGCGTTGCTTGAATCATTCATTGAGTAGTCCTACATATTTGACTAGCTCAAATATCCTACCTAGGCTGGGGCCCCGACCGATGATCTGGCGCTGATCTGCCCCTTACCACTGCATGGGTTGATGATCGCGACGGCATTTAAAGACTCGCTCACTCCGCATCGTGCCGTCTGCTGATTTCTTCCCTTTCTTTTCTTTCCTTTCCTTTCCTTTCTTTTTCCCTCGGAGGGAATTGCTCATAACATAAAAGTACCGATAGAAAATCACCGAGACAATCTACTAGAATGCATGCTGCACCATGCCGGGTTTCCAAGAGCTCCTTGATTCCCAGCATCATCTCACAACATACCACCTCTACCACGATGGCCCCGGACACATCCTGATCTCACCAGAGAAGCAATCAAAAGACAAACGAAAAGTGGGCAAATTAAACACCACCAAAGATGCTGGGGACACCACTACCACTCATCCCCAAGGGAGCTTCTACATGCACCGACCATTCCTCAGCTTCCACAATGCCCCCCGCACCCTGCGACACGGCAGCGCCAAGACAGGGGCCCCCATTTGCATCATGAACGACTCACCCCTCTGGGGCCGCTGGAATCTGCAATTCGGCGAAGAAGAGCTCGCACAGGCGCTCGATCCGCGCGGGGTCGTCGCATGGCAATCGCGCAGCAACGCCAACAACAGTCGCGACAACGACGACACCGCGCTAAAGGGCTACAAAGTGCGACGCTGGCGCTTATGGGGAGAGTCCGGCAAGGCCTACCACCGCGAAGTCAACGCCGCCCGGAAACACGACAAACCCGTCCTCCACCGCCAATCCAGCGACAAGGGCTCCTCGGCGGCGTCCTGCACCGAAGACGAAGGCGAGACGCACGACGCCGTGCGCGCCGCCTACACCTCGTCCCTGAAATGGGTGTCGCCCATCTCGAGCCGCACCCGCTGGTACCAGCTGACCTACGACGGAATCGACCTCGTCTGGAAGGGCACGCGCGACCTCCGACGCGGGCAAACCATGCGACAGTGCTTCATGCCGTTTCACCACCTCAAGCTGGTCGCGCGTCTGCCGCCGCTGTTTGTGGGGGACCGCGATAGCGAGGTCCTGCTCGCGCAGTACTCGAGTAGCTGGGGGAGCGAGAAGCACGGCTCGTTGGTGATTCTGGATGAGGTCGTGAGCCGGATTTTCGACCGCGGGCGGTCGTTATCGGAGTCGAGTGGGTTGCGCGGGGCGAAAAGGGCGGACCATCTGGAACGGGTGTACCAGTTGATTTTGACGACGGCGTTGTGCATGATTGTTGGCGAGGGGCAGAAACGGGGGATTCTTTTGGCTCTTTTAGCGTTGATCGCGGAGGGGGTTGGGAGTTGAATTTTGGAGTTGGTTGTCGAATCTTGTTTTTTTTTTTTTTAATGTCTTTTCAATGGACGACATGCTTGACTGTCGGTAACATGCATGTATGATGACTTCTTTCCGGGCTATCCCATATCACTGGTGGTTCGAGACCTGACTTATGCAGAATCTGTATGCGCAAGATGCAATATAGGTCCCGTGAGTTTGTCACGTTATTCTCTCCCCGATTCCATCTGTACTCAACTACTACCAACAGGCTATGCCAAGTTACAGAGACATTTCAATCAAATAAATCCACCCAAGCTCGCCAAGGATCTAAGCGATACATCCTTGTCTCTGAAATGATGTCAGTTGTATCTCATCTTCCCCGCATCCTACCTGCTTCACAGCGTTGGCCAAATACAATTCCAACAGGCTTAAACTTATGCATGAACAGTTTCGTACATCTGCGACACTTGATATGGCACAACAGACGGTTCACCATGTCTAGAAGATTTAGTGGCGTACAAATCCTTTGAAAAGAAAGCAAAAAGCCGTCTCATATACAGTATGCAAACCTAGTAGCAAACGCTACAACACCCAACTACCACTCCCAAAGCACAAAAACGGCGAAAACGCCTGTACCCCATCCCGATGCAACTGATGAACCAACGGGTTCAGCCAAACCGGCGTCGTCCACAGAAGGAACGCCACTACCCACATGTACCCGAGCGCTCGACGCCAACCGGGACTCATCTTGCTGACCATGTCACGAAAGACATACTGGAATGCATTCTCGACGATGATTCCCACAGCCTGTAACATGAAGAAATACATCGCGCCACTCTGCCCAAGCGGTACGCCGAACGCGAGGTCCATACCGAGGTGTACGAGTCCGGAGACTGCGAACGCGAATGCAAGACGGATGTAGCACGCCCATGCTGACGATGGCGGTATACCCAGGGTTGAGGCAATGAAGTTGCCGTTTGAGACGACTGTCTGGCGGAATATTTGGTGCCATGACCTCCTAGATGAACCTTGTCAGTACCTGCTCAAGTCCACCCACTCGAGAATAGAGGGTGTGGAAAGAAGAAAGAAGAAGACATACGACCACAACCGCCGCAGCGTCCACGCCTCCGTCAACGAACCCGCAATCGGCGGCCACTCAACCGGCTCATAGAACCCCAGCGCAACGACCAACATCGCATAAGAAGAATACCCAGCAAGGATAGCCGCTCTGCAGATAACTCCAAACGACACGGTAAACAAGCCCTGCACCAGAAGGCGCCTCGCCGCCCCCTCACCCCAACCCGGCAGCAGTACTGTTCTCACATCTGTCGGCAACATCGCCACGGAATCCGCAACATACATCTCATCCGCCTCAACAGTAAACATCTGCACAGCCACCAGCGCAAAAACAACCTTCACAGCAGCGAGACCCACATACCGCAGCCGACTCGGCACATAGGCCGCATCAGCAGCATCAAAAGGCGGCAACTGATCAATCTGCCAAGGCGTATCGATTCGACGATAATTGAACATGGTATTAACGCCCCAGACGACACGATGGAACAAGGACCTGTGCGCCGTCTTCTCGCGGGTCTTTTTCGCCTCCCATGCGACCTGCGCGTCGTGCGACGCGCGGCTTAGTAGCAGCAGGTCGAACGCGTTGAGCACATTCACCCAGCACATGGCGACGATGGGGCCTCCGACGCGGATCCCCGCGAAGGCTTGTTGTATCGCATGCTGCTGGACGGAGGCTGCGAGGGCGACGACTGCGACTGCGGCGATGGGCCGCGCGGGTGAGTGCGCGGGTGCCAGCGCGACCGTCAGGCCTGTCACGAGCTGCACGAGAAGCCATTGGAGGGCGGGGATGGCCCAGGGCGGTGGTGGCATTCCAGCTGTTTGAATGGTCATTGCTTGCTGCTGGAGGGAGGGATGTGGAAGGGAAGGGAGATAGAGATGTCTCCCATCCCGTGAAGAATTCCTCAGGGGAGGGAATGCGAATTTGGTGATTTTGGGCTGTGATGTGGAGATTGTTTGTTGTTCGTGCTGGCTGCAGGATCATTTATGATTGGTTGGGGTGGAGGTGAGACGAGTCAAGAATGCGCATGTCTTACAACTATTTGTTAATAGTGTGGATTGGCTGCGGGTGTGATTTGGATTGCGATCTTTGTGCAGATCTGCCGCTGCGATGATCAGTGGATCTCTATGGGTTTTATCGAATTTCTCTTTATTCACGAGAGAGATACAATGATAGTCTATTACAAACAGACAAATATTGATTCCGGCATACAGATATTTACGACTACGCAGTCTATATCAATCTCAAAGAAATACATCAGAATACCACAGCTCAGTACCTAACCCGCAGTAGACCATCCCAGCACCACAATAACACTCTTCAGATACTGCACTGGACCATAATCTACCTAAAAGATATCACATCTCAACCCAAACGACAAACCACCACACGTGGGCAAACTCAATTCCCAGCACTGTCGTGACATCACATCCAACCGAACCCTAATCTCCGATCGCAAACAACACCCATAAGAAAAACAACCTATCCACTGCACTCATCCATCCCTCCGTCTAGATAGACAGACAGATAGATAGACAATGACATACAACCCACCTGTCAACTAAACAATGTCATAAAAGCCCCACATAATTCGTTCGCCCCAGGTGGTGAGGTCGCCATGACTTCATCGGCCCTCACCCACCAATGACACTGCAAAGCTGTAGCGTGCGTTCCCAAAGACAATGAAGTCTACTGTTTGAATGCACGCTGTCCAGACCGTGGGCGGGGTTTTATAACTACTTTCTCTATCCCCCTGTCTCTATCTCGACTGTGCTATTGACAGACAGACGGACGAACAAACCGCAGTATCAGCTCTTCAGTAGTGGAAACGCGCCAGCCACAAAGATGACTAAAGATTTGGTTCGTTTTGTTGATTTATGCTTAAAGCTACCTTGCCTACTATACTAGATTGATAGGTGGATGATACTAACTGTACTCAATCAAGACATTCGACATCCGTTACGACAACGAGCTCGCACACGATTACTACCGCGATGGGGCGGACCTCGCTGCTGTGTATGTATTCTTTCTCGTCTTTCCTCTACGCTCCACGCCATCCCCTCCATATAAAACAGTACACGGAGTATTATACAAGCTAATCCAGCCCAACCCAATCACAGAATCCGAGACATCTACAGCGACCGCCAACTGCACATCCCAGACGCGTTCGAGTCGACGCTGACTACCCCGCCTATTCACTTCATGGAGTACGTCCACCCACTTCTCCATCTCTAAATTGAAATAGTCCATCATGGCTAATCGTAAATGTAGGGTCGAGGCGCCCGAGGATATCGACGTCGAGGAGCTGAGGAAGGTGGATGTCCCACCTGGACTGAGTATTGAGATTCAGGATTTCCATGTTTAGTTTGGGTTTGTAGTATTGGGATAGTATATACTGCTATTAGTGATGGATATATGAATGTATATGGTTTGTTTATTTAGTTTGTATCTTTTTTTTATGTGTATGTGGTTATCAAAGGGGAGCCAATATTGGCACTGCTGAGGCATAGTATATTATTTATATACTTTATCTTATATGGCTTCATTGTATAGAGGGTCTAGTACTACTTTTATTTACTGATTCAACGATCAATACTTGTAATAGACTCAGACGTATAAGACAACCACTCATCCTAATCAATAGAGACTTGAAAAAAAAAAAAAAAGAAAAAAAAGAAACAAATATTAACTAACATATGGCGCACGCAAAAGAACCGAGATCCCGTATAGTTAGTATATACGGGAAATATATGTAAAAAAACAAAAAGAAACGACAAGGGCCGGATTCGAACCGACGACCCCGAAGGGATAAGATTTCTAGTCTTACGGATTAACCGCTCTCCCACCTTGCCGGTGTATATTATCTGCTTTTTATTTTGACCTCATGTAGAGTGTACATTTTGTCAGTGCTTAACGTTTGTGGTCACTTCCAAGCCTCTCTTCATGTATTAAGATGACTACTTACTACCTAGACTTCTACGAAACTATCTGGAGGCCATGAGAATGAAATACATTTACTATTATACTAAGAAATATCTACCAGTATACTACTACTGAGTAAAAAATTAAAGTGAAAAATCATATTATCAGATAAAGAAACATCATTATTAAACCATGATCATAAGAACTCATGTACGTCTAAGGAAATTCCATACATTAGAAAAATCATTGCCATCACATCACATCACATCACCTATCCCCTCCGCCTAGTCATCGCATAAAATAAATCAAAGAGATGTATGTTTTTGTGGGTTTTGTTGGTTTAAAGCGACTTCAGCAGAGCATCCAGGATAGGCAAGGCATCGGTGACATCATCAATCAGCAGCGACGTCTCGTTCACGAACTTAGGCGTAAGCAGATCGTGGGCGTTGGACAGCAGCGAGGAGACCTCCTTGATAGTCGAGGGCTCGAGCAGGGGCTCGATGGCCGGGATGAGCGGCTTGACCTTGCCGAGGAGGGGCTTGAAGGCGGGCAGCAGCGGGATCACGTCCGCGAGGACGTCCTCGAGGGTGTCGACCACGTCGGGGGTGAGCAGCTTGTCGGCGCCGGTCACCAGGTTGGAGGTGGAGTTGACGAAGCCCGGGGTGAGCAGCTTCTCGGCGTTGCCGAGCAGGCCGACGATGCCCTCGATGCTCTCCTCCTTGAGGAGGGGCTTGAGGGCCGGCAGGAGCGGCACGCCCATGTCGATGAGAGACTTGAGACCCTTGACGGCTTCGGGGCTGAGCAGCTCGTCCGCGTTGTCGATCAGGCCGCTGGTCTTCTTGACGAAGCCCGGGGTCAGGAGGTCCTCGGCGTTGCCGAGCAGGCCCACGATGCCCTCGATGCTCTCCTCCTTCAGGAGGGGCTTGAGAGCGGGGATCAGCGGCACGCCCATGTCGATGAGGGACTTCAGGCCCTTGACGGCCTCGGGGCTGAGCAGCTCGTCCGCGTTGTTGATCAGACCGCTGGTCTTCTTGACGAAGCCCGGGGTCAGGAGGTCCTCGGCGTTGTTGAGCAGGCCCACGATACCCTCGATGCTCTCCTCCTTGAGGAGGGGCTTGAGGGCCGGCAGGAGCGGGATGGCCATGTCGAGCAGGGACTTGAGAGCCTTGACGGTCTCCGGGGTGAGGAGAGTGTTGGCGTTGGAGATCAGGCCGTTGGTCTGCTTGACGAAGCCGGGGGTGAGAAGATCCTCGGCGTTGTTCAGCAGGCCCACGATACCCTCGATGCTCTCCTCCTTGAGGAGGGGCTTGAGGGCGGGAATGAGCGGAACGGCCATGTCGATCAGGGACTTGAGGGCCTTGACTCCGTCGGGGCTGAGGAGCTCGCTGGCGCTGTCGATGAGAGTGTCGGTCTTCTTGACGAAGCCAGCAGTCAACAGGTTGTTGGCGTTGTCGATGAGAGTCTCGGTCTTCTTGACAAAGCCGGCCGTGAGCAGGTTGTTGGCGTTGTCGATGAGAGTGTCGGCCTTCTTGATGAACTGGGGCGTCAGGAGGTTGTTGGCGGTGTCAACCAGCTTCTCGGTCTTTTCACCGAACTCGGGCGTCAGGAGCTTGCTCGCGACTCCGACGATTCCGCGGAGCTGGTTGTCGACGGGAGGCGCCAGACCGGTGGACAGGTACTTGAAGGTGTTGGTCAACTCGGCGAGGAAGCCGGGGTCGAGGAGGTTCTTCACACCCTCGCCCAGCTCGCCGAGGCCCTCGAGGAAGGGGCTCTTGGGCTTGTCGTCCTTCTCATCCTCGCTGTCCTCACTGTCGTCGCTGGTCTGGCTGTCCTTGCTGCTGTCGCTGTCCTCCTTGTCCTCGTCGTCCTTCTTGAAGGGGTTCAGATCGTCGAGGGGACCACTATCAGAGCTCGAGGGGGCCGGGGCAGAGGAGGAACTGGACGAAGCCGACGCTTCCTCCGTCTTGGCAGGCTTCGTGGGCGCCGGCGCGGGAGCCGACGTCGGTTCTTGCTGACCCTCATCGGTGGATTTGGCGATAGGTAGGTCAATCAGGGGAGAATGGGACTCCTCCTCGGACTTGGAAGAGGTGGGCTTGTCGTCCGAGGAAGAGTCGGCCACCTCGGGGGCATGTTGGTCTTGCTGCTGCTGCTGCGGGTGCGGTTGGGCGTGGGCCGTAGGCGCCGGCTCCTGGGCACTTTGCGCGACGGCAGTGCTGCTGGGCCCATCGTTCTTGTCACCAAAGCCCAGGTTCTCCAGGATTCCGTCCGCCGGGATAGCACCCGCACCATTGGTCGCGACCAGCAGCGCGGTCGCGAAGATTGGCGTGAAACGCATGATAAAGGAGACTTTATTGAAAGAGTTTTCCTTGTTTTTTTTTTGTGTTTTCTGTTTCTTGGGGGTTTGTTTATAGTCGTTCCTTCGTGTTCTCTTCGCCTCAGCAGCAGCAATGCAATTGATCGCAACAGCTCCGGTATCTTGTCTTGAAACTTGACGGGTAAGACAGAGGGCCTGGTCGTTCTGGGGATCGAAGAAAGAGCATCTCCGCGAAAGGGAGACAGCTCTATATGTGGATGCAAACTGATGACGATCGTCGTCGAGTTGAGAAACTAGTTCCCCGCGATCCGTCCTTGGGGCGACACTAAAACCTGCTGGCTGCTGTTCCTCTCCATATCCAGCATAGTAAATTGGGTCTAAACCGAGGTCGCCCCTCCACTGTTCCCCCCATGTGCCGCCATGTGATGAGATTGTTATATGGGACCGGACGATGCTAATCACAGTCCTGCCCAACGGACTTAATTTAGCCAGTGCCTAGGCAGACAATAGCCCAATCGACTATCGTCCAGCGCGATCGTATCCCTGTCGCTTGCGAGCCCCCTCTCCCCATGGGGGAAGTTATCCAATCCCCATGCTCCGCCCTCCGCATCTGGTGCTTACTTTCTTGGATCATGACCTGTTGGCTCCGGCCGGTATCTCCTGAGCCTTGGACAGGGTGGTGACTAGTGCGCCTCTAGCTACTGACGAGGTGGGTCGTCCGGGATAGTTCTTGGTTCCAGTCCAATTGACGTCAAATACGGTGACAGCCTCGCATTGGCATTTTGTATACGATGGGAGCTGACCGTCGTTGGACTCCTTGGAGTGCCACAGGACATCAGGCTCCGCACCGTACGCGATGAATATCCGTTAACCTTCACCGGGAGGAGCCGCTTTCCTATCAGGATAGATTCGGGATGGTGAGAGAAAATCTCCAGCCAGTCGAACCCACAGATGCCATACGTACTCCGTAGACAGAAGAGATTCTCGGTGAGAGAGACGCACTGGGGGAACAATGTAACGTTCCTTGATCCCAACCGACCAGAAAAACCGCAAAGACGAGATAGTTAGCCAGTGGAGATGGCTGAAGTAGTCGGGGGAAAACATCAAGAAAAGGGAAATTGTGATGTCGATCGAGGCGCCGATCCCCGTGCGGGAGAGGGTAATGTTGGTCGGTCAGTGAGACATTGTTGAGGGGGGAAGCTGGTCATGAGTTATCCAGCTCCGATAAGTCTAATAGATTAAAATTATGTCACCTTTTAATTTAAAAATGCATGGCACGACAATTGGCCTGCAAATGATGCGGGTGGCGCGATGCTTATCAAATGGTGGCGGTCTTGACCGTATTAACCCTGTCGACAAAGGCGAAGGAGGAGAGGAGAGAGAAAGGAAGGAGATGCGACTAAGGGAACCTGATGGAATGTCGTGGCTCTGTTGTTGGGGTTGTGACTCTCATTCCTTCTCTGGATCCACCATACTCAACCAATGCGATTGATGGACCCCTGATGAAAACCCCAAGTCTGGTTAAATCCCCTGCCTATCTTCTCGTACACTAAACGGCTTGCTTTTACGGACCATGGAAAGACATGGTAAGCGAGAACCAACTTTGATCAGAAGATCCTATACTATACAAGTGTTCGAACAGTGGTGACTGTACTGGTGCAACCCGCGTGGGATCAACAACCACCTGCATGTGAGATCAAACGATCGCGTTAGCAGGGAAGACAGGAACAAGTTCCAACAGCATCGACCGGAATGTCTGGAACTGAGTTCTGGCAGGGTACCCAAAGCATCGGAGCATATGAATACGCCAGACTTTCCCCCCGTTCCTGGGGGGGGGGAAAACACCAAGACGATAAACAAACACAGCCTCTCTCTGGCTTTGGAAGAATGGAAGCAGACCCCACATCGGATGGATGCTTTGGATCCACCGGGAAAACTTCTCAAAAAAGCAAGAGGCCCACCCGACAGTCCCCAGTTGTCCCAATAATCCCATCCCCATACTCGTCGCCCACGATCCTCTTGAACCACTTCCCCGTGGCCGCGATAGGACGCGGGTGTCTCAGAAGTGGGAAGTAGTAGTATGATTCCCCCTCCACCGCCAATTACTGGGGTACAAGTCCTTCCACCCCACGTGAATCACGAAGCTGGAGCCGATAACCAGTTACTGGACTATTATGGAGGCGACATATTAGTGGTCCATTGGCCAAATGGACCATACCACTTCCCCAGAAAATAGCCGAGGGTCTATCCCGATCAGCGGCGACGACGAGTAAAGTGTTAGGCGATAGATAGGTCACTCTGCAACTATTTACTGTATTTAGGACCCCTCCCCGACTCTCTCCGCGTCGTATCACTCCAAACGGAGCACATCCCCGATGTCTGACGTCGGAGGGGATCCTCAGATCAGGGCGGGGCCCCGCTTCATGCGCCTTTATCTGGAGTCGCTTGCAACGCGGGGGTTGTGAGGTGTGCCGTGTGCGTCTCTTGCTTTGCCACCCGCCTGTGCCATGATCTAGATGGCGTCATACGGTCTGAGTTAATTTATTCGGTTATGGATTCCTGTCGTCTTTATTTGGCTCTGAATAAATTAAACTCATAAATTAAAAAAGTGGGGGAGGTGATGAACCTAGGTATCTGGCCGAGTGTTTCGATCGTGCATATGACAGAAACTCTACTTCTATTATAGTGACGAGATGTTTATGACTAACCTAGATCACAGAGAATTCTGTAGAATCAAACAAGCTGACTAAATAAAGGATTCAGTGGATGATAAGGATGGGTGATACATAAGGAATGAGCTATAATAATCTCGAGCAGGGTCATTGATAAGACACAACGCTACTGCGTGGACAACGCGAGACAATCCCGTTGAAAACAGCCAAATTCTTGATGACATTGTGTGTTTGTTTGTAGAGTCAAAAAGAAACCCGCAAAAACTGGCTGGGAAAGAACTTTGCTCAGGTGTTGGTTGCATCACTGGTTCAAGTTGCACAAGCACGGAAAGCCGGACCAGTTATTGAGGAGCCACTGAAGCTGTCCGGTCGTGTCTTTTGGAGCGATTGCAACGCTGGTATTATTCAGCGGAGATGTCTAGATGCTCTTCAAGTGTCTCTGGGCCGATTAATATCTCGTCCATGGCTACTATGCAGAAGTGTCGGTGTTGCCATAATAACCTCTCGGTCTGTCGCTGGAAAATTGAGACCGAGTTGATAAACCCAATCTCGGTGACAACTGAAGTCTGAACACTTCTTTTGACAGCATGTTCTTGCTTGTCGATTATCCACCACTGCTGGATGATTAAAGACCATCTTGAATCCAATGGTATTGTGTTGTGTTTGTCTTCCTCATCAAGGAACTCATGCTGGTCACCCATGCGGTGCAAAATCAATGATGAAATCGATCATAGCACGCCGGTTGAGAATATTGTACCCATATGGAGCAACAAGCATATACACGGCGGAGACCGACCGTCTCGCGTGCCTAAGTTGTGAACGGCTCCAGTGGTGGGGGTAGACATTCCAAAATGGAGAAACGCGACTAAGAGCGCATGCGAGTGCTATCATTGTGGCGAGACCCAAGTGTCGTCGGCATGGGAATCTTACCGACATATATATGTCTAAATTCCCTGCATATCCCAAGACCTGAGATTGCCGATGATCACAAGGACTATCTGTGTCCGGCTGAGCGCCACGTTGAGTCGGTTCTTTTGAGTCGGTTCTTGTCTGCTATGAACCCAACTTTGCGCGCATTGGGAATGGCTTGGTCATGGAAAAGACGACCAGAGGTGTCTTTGGTTTTGAACAGCGCGAATTGTAAGATCAACAGTTCGAAAATACTTCGGAGGTCAAATCTTCGCGTTTCGTCGGACCGAAAGCTATAGACGAATCCGCTTAAATTGGGCCGTATGATATCTCGATACTATCATCGATGGTAAAGTCGAGAATCATATTTCATGCAGGCTGTGATTGAGGCCGTAGCGCTAGCTCCCATCTTCAAAAGACAATGGCATCAATTAAACCATCTATGAGTCTTGTGGCGGGACAAAGCACGTCAAAGCAGGTTCCGTGAACTTTGCGGATATATATATATAGCTTGGCGTATCTCAAGCAATAAGAAGAAGGAGAAACTGTGCGAATCATGGCCTGCGCTGCATGGCGACAATACCTTTGACGATGATACTAACGCAAGTGAGTACCGTTGACGTCCCAACCAGGTGGCGCCAGATGTATTGATTGTTGAACTTTCCATTGAGATATCAATCATATCAAGCCCGACCAAATACTGGTTCGTTTTTTGGTGCGGTGGCTGACCTGACAGAACTCTTCTAGTGTTATTGCACCGATGCAGAGGATCGGACGATGTACTCTTGTAGTATCCAGCCATATCGCTGTTATGCTCGTTGTTCCTTTGCCCACCACGTGGACCATGGTTCCGTGGATCTGGTTAGTTCATGTCTTCATGTCCGGGGCCTTCTTGCTGAGCACTTGGACGTTCCATCTTGCTGCTGCGCGAGTCAAAGGGTCGGAGGAGCAGAGAGATTCTCCCATGTCTGCTTCAGCGCGTGATTTGGTGCTGGATGGTGGAAGGTCGGATCAATGGCATGCTCAATATGCGTCAATCTGAGCATATTACTGAGATTCCAAAACCTTTAGGGGCCTTTTGTGCCCATAATACGGTCAGCCGATTTATTGGTTCGATGTGTGAAGCATGCCGCCCGGGCCATCATTGGCGACTGCTTCAGTATACTGCTTCTTCATGAGAGGATATCCTGACGACCTTGGCAATTTTGGTGTTCTTAGCGATTTTTCGAGGAGCTCGTAACCTGTGGCGTGCTGCACCAAAATACTGAATCAGTATTTGGTCGGGTTTTGATATGATTGAAATATATTTCTGCTAGGGATCGAAGTGCTATCGTTTTGTAGGCACTGGCCGCTGGTATAATATTGGGATTGCTTTCCATGATTCGGGGACCTTTATAGTTCATAGCATAAAAGCTGTTGCTTGTCCTTGTGTCTGTGCATTCTTTGGCAATAGTTGTTGGTTGATATTGGTTCTCTATAGAGTTGGCTGGTTTAATCGGTGCCGTTGGTTGAAGGATGTATAATATATGTATATGGACTGCCGGGCGAAAGTGGTTCTTGAGTTGGGGATTATGAGAGGGGAAGAAGTTGGAAGAGGGATAGAGGTCTTATATCTCTGGCGTGTCTACTATTCTGCTAAGACAATGAATGAACTACGGTCAATGAATGAAGTCGAAAGTGCTTTGAAGTTATTGTTCACGTCATAGAGGCTGTAGATTCGCCAATTACTTAGGAATATGCCCAGCCACATCACTGTAGTAGCCTGTCAATACAATGAACCGTTTGATCACTTAAATAAGTTCCTGGGTAGGACACAGGTCCCAAGGTACCACAGATAGAGTAACTCATCATGTGTAATGTGATTAGGGTTGAAGCTGAACAGAATGATCTATCCGTGATGGCCACATGAGAAACCACCACATGATGAGAAACTTAGTAAATCAATGAACCGTCCCACAATCATACAAAAAGCCACACCACAGATCAAAGCAAACACTCAATCAAACCCTGTTAGCAACATCCACACCCAGCAAACAGTGGTGCAGTGGTCAGGTCAAACAGGAACCACCACAGTGGTGAGGTCATCCACACGACCCGAGCACGGTCAATCCCACCCAATGTAACAGTCTCCACGTCATGGTTATTTGGCTCATATAACACAGTACCTCTCTCCTACCTAGGAACCATTCACAACTTTTCTAAATAAGGCGCAAGATCGAGTCAATTCATCAAAATGGTCCATTTAACTAGAGTCCGCCGCGACACCGAGGTACAGCGTCGTCGCCGACGCCAGGCCGACGAGGAGCGGTCGGAGGCCGCCTCGCCGTATATTTATAGCACGAAGTATGCGGTCGAGGAGTTACCAGAGCACGCCATGTGCGAGCGTCAGATGCCGGCGGAGGTGGCATCGCGGATGATCAGGGACGAATTGAGTCTGGACGGGAATCCGCTGCTGAAGTATTTCCCTCTTGGTTCTACCTTAGTAGAGGGGATAGGGCTAATTGTTTCCTAGCTTGGCGAGCTTCGTCACGACATACATGGTAAGTCGTTCCCAGCCAATCACCGGTACCAGGCAGAAACTGAGCAGAAACCAGGAAGACGAAGTCGAACAACTCATGACGGAGTCCCTAAGCAAGAACTTCATCGACTACGAGCAATACCCGCAGACAGCACACATTCACAACCGCTGCGTGGACATGATTGCGGACCTGCTGCACGCACCGACGACCGACAGCCACGGCGCGGACGGAGGCAAGCACGACGCGATCGGCACCTCGACGGTGGGATCTTCCGAGGGGATCATGCTCGCGACGCTGGCGATGAAGAAGCGCTGGCAGAACGCGCGCAAGGCAGCGGGCAAGGACTGGACGCGGCCTAATATCGTGATGAGCAGCGCTGTGCAGGTGTGCTGGGAGAAGGCGGCGCGGTATTTTGACGTTGAGGAGAAATACGTTTACTGTACTGAGTCGCGCTATGTGATTGACCCCAAAGAGGCGGTTGATTTGATCGATGAGAATACCATCGGTATCTGTGCGATTATGGGAACGACGTATACGGGTCAGTATGAGGATGTGAAGGGGTTGAATGACTTGTTGGTCGAGAGGAAGATCGACTGTCCGATCCATGTGGATGCTGCCAGCGGGGGGTTCGTCACACCGTTTGTGAACCCCAAGCTGGTGTGGGACTTTCGCCTGGAGAAGGTCGTATCGATCAATGTGTCGGGGCATAAATATGGTCTGGTGCGTCTACCCTCTCATTGTCTTGCTCCTTATCATGGCATTCAACCCTAACGACGGTGCAGGTCTACCCCGGCGTGGGCTGGGTATTCTGGCGCTCGCCCGAGTTCCTCCCCCAAGAACTCATCTTCAACATCAACTACCTAGGCGCCGACCAAGCCAGCTTCACGCTCAACTTCAGCAAAGGCGCATCGCATGTCATCGGACAATACTATATGCTGATCCGGCTAGGCAAGCACGGATACCGGTCAATCATGGAGAACCTGACGCGCACAGCCGATCATCTGGCCAAAGAGCTCGAAAAACTGGGATTTATCCTGATGAGCGAGACTGGCGGGCGCGGGCTGCCGCTGGTCGCGTACCGGCTGCCCCCCGACGATTCCCGACTGTTCGATGAATATGCACTGGCTCATGTGTTGCGACAGCGTGGGTGGGTGATCCCGGCTTATACGATGGCACCGCATTGTAACCAGCTTAAGATGATGCGCGTGGTGCTGCGGGAGGATTTCAGCTTGCACCGGTGTAATCTGCTGGTTGAGGATATGCGCGCGGCGTTGAAGTCGTTGGCGGATATGGATGCGGAGATGATTGCGCGGTATACCGAGTATGTCCTTTTTCCTTTTTCCTTTTTCCTTTTTCCTTTTTCCTTTTTCCTTTTTCCTTTTTCCTTTTTCCTTTTTCCTTTTTCCTTTTTCCTTTTTTCTTTTTTGTTACTGTAACTATCGTTTGACGTCTGATTGGATGATGCTGACAATTATTGAAGATATACCCAAATCCACGGCGCTCGAGCACCGGACAGACCGGAAGCATACAGCGAAGATCGGCACTCATTGCAGGGAAAGACAGGAAAGACACACCTGGTGTGTTAGAAAGTCTCCTGCATGGGGTAGTTGGAATCCGCCGAGAACTGTCAAGAAGATGCAATAATGTGGCTATATACATATAACTATAAATCTCGTGCTGATGTCAGACGCAGCCCCTTGCTTGGGCCCTATTTCGATAGTGCGATGATCAACAGGAGTAACATGACATGGCATGACATGCCCTGCTGTGTTATGTCCTCCAGCTTGGAGGATCGCCGGAAATGTCGGTGGACAGGTCTATGCGAGATCGACATGGTTGACTTCAAGGGAATCATCGATCAGACTGCTGATCGGGTTCGATGCAAATGCCCCCTGTATTGTATTAAGACGCTGGAGTGAAAAGCACTGTCAATGATAATATTGGATGATCCTTGTACTCTTCTATTTCCTAGAGAACAATAAGTTGAGATAACTTCCCGTGGGCCACTGTATGTATACCTTCAATAAAGCGGTAAAAGGCTTCACCAACCTAGCCGATACCATGGCGAAAGGACTAGTAGATAGTTACGTTCCAGACCCACCCCAAAACAATAAAAAGGGATACAAAGCCAAAAAAGCACTAGAAACTGTAATCCAAACCCTACCATGCAGGACCCCCCCCCCCCCCCCCCCCCTTTCTCCGATTGTCAGCAATCTACGGAGCAAAATGCCGACGAACCCTCTCCACATGATACGTCGTCTGCGCAGAGCCCCGTATGTCAGACCCACCCAGTAAATAGTCTGGATGACACCGCAGGTGCTGTCAGACAGTTAGCTAGTTGATTAGCCAACTAGTTATGCATGACTAAAGTGGCATCCATTGTTCTCGCGCCGCCCAGAGAACCCCGGGTGTTCGTGCGTATGTCCGTGCCCGTTGTCTAGTCCCTTTCCCAATCGAGGCTTAAAACAATCGATAGCGACTTGCTATCATGGATCGATGGAAGTGAGCTGACCGCTCATCACAAAAAGAACGACATCGAGCAGTCGGGCCCAGGCCATGTATGTGTCATGCTAGCCGGTCAAAATGCCTGAACGAGCGCAGATATTGATCGGGAGAAGAGGCCATGAAAGGCCGGATTCCAATTTACGACGGCAAGTCTCAAATCTTAGCTTTGATATACCGGATTTCTCATTGCGGCGCAGACATATCATATCTTTGTTATGATTTTGTTATTATTATTGGTTTTTTTTACGACTGACCCCTCCCCCTTTTCTCCTAAACGCCGCTGTCAGAAGAGGTATGTATACTCCGACGGGGCCCAGTCCGACTGTAGTAGAGAGACAGTGAGCCCGCACAATGTATCGACTTCTCCTGCTGGTCACAGCTCTGCTGAGCGTCTGCCGCGTGCAGGCCAAAGGAGTATTCGCTCATTTCATGGTAATCCTCCCTTTGATCTATACGCTATAACAGCGAATAGCAGACAAGACAAAGAACTCACAGACAATAGCTCCAAAACGCAGTCAACTACACAAAGAACGAATGGAAGCTAGACGTAGCAGCCGCAAAAGCAGCCAAGATCGACGCCTTCGCGCTCAACACAGGCTTCCAGGAGACAGGCAACACACGGTTATTCAACGACGCCTTCGCCGCAGCCCAAGAGCACGACTTCAAGATGTTCCTGTCGCTCGACTACTCAGGCGATGGACACTGGCCGCCAGACCAGGTAGTCAAAGTCCTGAAGAAGTACACGAAGCACGAAGCATACTACAAGCACGCGGGCGATGGCAAGCCGCTGGTATCGACGTTCGAAGGCGCACAGGCATCAGGCGACTGGGCGCAAATCAAATCAGAGGTTGACTGCTTCTTCATGCCGGACTGGTCAAGTGTGGATCCGAAGAAGACTGCGCCGAAGAAGCACGTCGACGGGCTGATGAACTGGAGTTCATGGCCGAACGGCACGGACGCGATGAGCACCGCGCTCGACAAGGAGTACATGGACGCCCTGGGCGATAAGCCCTTCATCATGGGCGTGTCGCCCTGGTTCTACACGAATATGATACGGTGGCACAAGAACTGGGTGTGGCAGGGCGATGACCTCTGGTATACGCGGTGGCAGCAGGTGCTGGATCTGAAGCCGGAGTATGTGGAGCTGATTAGCTGGAATGATTACGGGGAGAGCCACTACATTGGGCCGATCCATCCCGGCAGCCTGGATGTGTTTCGGTATGCACAGGCGCCGTTTAACTACGCTGAGAACATGCCGCATGATGGGTGGCGGGCTTTTCTACCGTACTGGATTGACCAGTTCAAGAGAGGGAAGCACAATGATGATGAGGAGGCTGAGATCGACGCGGGCTTGGTGGCTTGGTATCGCGTGAACCCGTCGTCGCGGTGTGAAGATGGGCGGACGACGGGGAATACGCGGCAGCAGGACCAGCCGACAATGGCGCCGGAGAAGGTGCTGAAGGACCGGGTGTTCTTCTCTGCGCTGCTGGATGCCCCCGCAGAGGTGACCGTTAGCATTGGCGGCAAGGACACGTCGCTGTCGCGGTGGCAGTATAAACCTAAGAAGGGCGCCCGGCAGGGCCTCTACCACGGCAGTGTGCCGATGAATGATCGCATGGGGGATGTCGTGATCACGCTGTCGCGGGCTGGGGAGGAATTGGCGCAACTAAAGGGACACGCGATTAGTGACGACTGCACGAAGAACCTGACCAACTGGAATCCGTGGGTGGGCCATGCATCAGCCAAGGGAAGCAAGAATGCGTCCGAGAAATCCTCATCGGACGAGGCGTCGGCAGCTGGCCGGGAATCCATGACGTTGACGTTAGCTGGGGCTGCACTGGCCTGGATAACATACCTGGTGTTGGCATGATGCCAGATCGAAGGGAACAGGAAATCGGAATAATGGAAGGATAGGGACCAAAAGCAAAAGGGCAATGCAAATTTGGCGCCGGTACAGTGTCGGGACATTCATGATTGCGGGAAAAGGAATATGTTCCATGGACCAGGAAAAGCATACTGGTCCTATCTTAACTTACGATGTTATACCAAACTAATAGATAATGCCTAATCGTCGATCTCGCCACCGGCTACATCCGTTCCCCACAGGCTATCGGCCCCGATCTAGACTGCGATCGAACGTACTCTGGTAGAAAACTCCGTATGAGGGGATGGGGGGTTCTAGCTCGCAAACAACGGATATCCCCAATTTGAAGCCATGGGTGGTGCCATATCAGCCATGTTTGACACCGACTTGGCCGGAGATTCAAAAACCGCATGCGAAAAGAAAAACTTATCTCTTGACTAACCCTGAATCTCGACTTATGCCGGGGTTAAGGGTGGCCAATTAATGAAACCCTTGATCTAGATCGTGGTGACATCTAATAATGCTATTCCGGGATCGGGCTCGGCTTGACTGCAAAGTCCATGTACAATCATTGCCAAGTTTCACTAAAATTCATATTGATACCGTTGATGACACGAGGGTTATGCGAGTTGATGTATTCGGACGCGTTGTCATATACGGTGCCACTATCCCCAGCATTAATCGAGGAATGGCAACTAGGCTATAGTCCTAATAGTAATAATTGTCACGATTATAGGAATGACAACCAAATGCAATGGGAGACGTATCTTCCCTAGGAGTTTACTCAACTCACGATCTACCATAGCGCCCAGACTGGTTGGTATACGGATGTAATCGGCGCAGTATTTGGTTCGTCCCGAAACCACCCGACATTCCTAGGAAGAATGGCATGGTTCTCGTGGTGCCATGAGATGACTTGAATCAAGAAGCGGCGGGGAAATGCAATTGTCGGAAACTCCCGAGCGAGGCAATGCGTGCTGTCTCAAGATCGATGCCGCGGAAGTGTCTCGCAGCATATCTCCAACGGACCAGACCAAGGAACCTGTGATGAACAGTGTCTTACCACGGTGAGGAGGACATCCCAGCCAATCTGCAGTCGTCAGAAGGCCCACCCAACGATTCCATTCGTCGAGGATCTGGGTGAGGATCTGCGTGATTGGGGTGGGACCTAGTCAATGACACCATGACTTAGGGACTCCCGATCGCCACTGCAGCTCCCTTAACCCTAACTGCCAGTCGGCCCCGGGGTGGCCGTCAGTGAGCAATCGCTCCTGATTAGCCCGGAGTGTCCATGCTGGGTTCTCCTCCCCCCCACATTTCGGTCCATCGGTCGTCTGGACCGGGCTGGTTTAGATCGGGGGTGAGCCTGAGTTGATAAGGTGACAGGAAGACAAAGAGATATAAGATGTGTCCGATTTCCCGTTTTCGACAAACCCCCTTGAGAGACCAGACGCTGTGAGAACTTTCGCACAATGTTCAAGTCTGGACAATTCTTCCAGGACTGCTAGCACGTCCCAAGACATTTTTCTTTTTATACATATACATACACACACACCCACACACACATACATACACATACATAAGAAAATGTCCGACATAACAGACTTCCTCCACCGGACCTCCTCCCGCTCCAACACTCGCATCCCCCCCATCGTCGCCGCGCACCAACGATCATCCTCCTGCAAGATCTCCTCTTCTCCACCCCCATCTCATATGGCCGCTCTCTCGCGCACGAAACTCCACAAAGAAACCTCCGCGCGAGATCCCGACCTCCGCCGCTGTCTCGGCCACCACCGCCTCCTCCGCCGATCAGTCCACCTCGCGCAAGACGACATGCAAAAGGCAATGATCTCCTTCCAGACGGGCCCAGACCCGGAGTACGCCTCTGACTCCGACTCCGACTCCGACGACGAGGAGTTCGACGACTACTACCTCAGCAAACAGCAGCCTACGAGCCACCCGCGCGAGGGACCCCCCCTCCGCGATCAGATCGCTTCGGTGGTCAAGGCGATGGTGCGGCGCAAATTGTCTACTTCTTCTACTGTCACTGCTGCTGCTGCGACGGAGAAGGAAGACGCCAACGTGCCGTCGACTTCGGACTGGGCGTTCGCGAGTAGGAATAGCGCGGAGGTGTCTGCGCAGCCCGGGAAATTTGAGATCAAAGCCGATGGCGGGCTGTCAGCTTCGGGTGGGATCTTACGGACTACTACCATGGCTGTCTCGTCTGGGGAAATGGGGGAAGGGAAAGGTGATGAAGTCGAAAGGGAGGAATCTCTTGACGTGGAGGGGAAAGAGAATGTGGAGCCTCTCACTCATAAGGAGTTTGGATGTCCTCTCCAGCGACAGGTGTGCCAGGATGAGCAACACCGAAACGACTTCAGATCGTGGAGAAAGAGGCGACGGTTTCCGCTGGGGCGGAGACTCTGGTCGCCGAATTACGAAGTGCGGGCTGGGGCTGCTTACTAGATATCCGGGTTTCTTGTTATATCCTGGGATAGATGATTAGACGGGCTACGATTACGACATAATACCCATATAGTTGCTATTGCTGCTATTTTTTCAATTTAATATACTATTTACTTCCTGGTGAAGATAACATGTCTCCTACTCGCGTGATTCTCAAGTAATTCCTAAGCTGCCGAGCATTCTTCCACGTCAGCCACTACCTAGAGTTTATTTGCGTTTTGACACACTGTTAATTACAGCACAATATACCTCACTAGAAAGCCTGAATTACGTTCGCAGCTGGGAGGGTCCCTCCTATCATGCTTCGTGGACCCATCAAGCCGCCACTTTCGCGACACGGGCCCCACCGTAGATCGATCGCTTGATGGCAACCCCATTGCTCGGGATATATTCTCCGAGATGCTGGCCTGTAGATGGAAACCAGCCAATACGACCAAGCACACGGCACCACGGCATGAGGGAGAGTACTGTACCCTTCGCATTACAGCCCTGCAACGACATGACCTCGACGGAGAGTAAACTTCTCTTCCATGCTGATTTCAAAAAGTGGGAAAGCGGGTCTGGATCCCATCCCGCCACTCCACTCACACTTTGGGTGAGCGGAAATTGTCATCATTGGGCCGATAGACTCGATACTGATAGGCGGGTCGGGAGGTATGCCACGGCACAAAACCAGGGTACTATTGATGGCCACTGTGGAGCGGTCGCCCGCTGGAAGGGATCAGTAGAGATCTAGACCTTGTCGAAAGTGAAATGTTTATTCTTTTTATTGATATTAATGAATTGAAGTTGGCTGTACTTGCAAGAAATACTTATGTTGCCTTGAGATAACACTCGAGTCATCCCGTTTTGGGCTGTGCTCGAGAATTCGAGGTCAAGACTCTTATGTAGATATTCGGGGTCTTTTTTTGGAACTTGTTTTAGTCATGAGAGGCTGGTGAGCATGTAGATTACATTCTTGTGGACTCTAGATAAGACATTCCCAGGATTACTATTCCGTCCCGTGGAGACCTGTACCAGGTTATAGAACCTGTTCTTCTTAATAGCGAGAATCAAGTACAGACCCATATCTTCAGCCAAAGCTCAGACGTATTTTCTCAAGACCGCTACGCCAAAACGTTGACCCAACAATTGGTATAGGGCTTAACCTGACTGATATACCCCAACATATTTTGACTGTCTGTCGAGTCTTTTCCCATACTAAGCGTTAGGAGTTTGGTTGTACCATACGCTGTTTCCTCGCCACTCTCTCTTGAACCCGTCAAAGGGTTTTTAGATAGAAAACAGGATGTCTTTCTTACCGTTTCCTAACTCAGCACGGCTCAATGGATTGTGGGTGAGGGGGGTTGGTCCTATTCTCACGTGGATGGGCGTGCGGTAATCTTCTAGAGGTTCAGTACTTGGAGACCTGGCTACTAGGGAGGGTAATTTGATATCACCATTGGAAGTCCCGCTTGGACGTATGCGAGCCAATGTCTTATTCAGAGTACTTATAGTTGCCAGTAATATATTACCGTCTTAATGGGAAGCTCAGGATCAAAGACTCCAGTTTGTGAGAGGATAGATATGAGACTGATCAAAGGTCTGACGAAATCCAGAAAATTATGAAATATTGATGTTCCTTTTGGAAAGTTCCATGTCCTGCAGAATATAGAAGAGTAAGGAAAGAAAAGACAAGAAATCTAGTCTGTGACTTCCAGATGATTGACCAAGTAACTAACTGATTGGATTCACCCTCTACATCAATCGGTGAATACAAAGTGTCCTGAGTAGCTTAAATATACCCAGGAATGGACTGTCTATGTGAAGTCTATTCCTGGTAACCATTGTTTTGAGAGGAAAGACACGATGATATCAATAAGATGGATACAAGGAAAACTCTTGGTTACTCTACGAGAGTGTTAAATTCGTCAAGGGGATAGTGTCATGCCTATCGCTACACGGGAACTAAAGCTATTTTAACATAGTGAAATCATGCAACAACAGCGAAATATGATATAAAGTACGAAAGAAAACAATTTAGGACATGATCAAACCGATATGGATAAAAAATGATAACGATTTAAGCTTATCTTTTAAGCTTAGATAGGGAACAAAAGCCATGAGCCGCAAGTCTATTTTCTGTATTCAAGATATCACGTGGCATGAAGTGAACCGGCCGCACCACTGCCCACATGTTTACGGATATCTGATGAGGATTCTTTTCTACAACGGATTTGGCTATAGATATACGGAGCGATATGAATGATAAACAATGGCAGTAGTAAAGCCGAGAAGTGCTGTCAGACAACACTTCTTCCTCAAATTGCAAATGGGGTACTCTCATGATAAAAAGATTAACAAACGCAAGCAGCAATAAGCCACTTATGCAGAGTATGTCATGTCATGTCATGACCCTGTCAACCGACAGGTAAAAGGTTCATCAAACCAAAACACCGATTCATGCAACGCCAAAAGCACTTTTTTAAAACATCATATCAGCAGAACGCTGAGAGCAGATTCGTCCAGACGAAACCACGACAATGCAGATGATCAATCAAACAAGCAACTGATCTGAAAACTCAACCTGAAGATAAAAGACATTACAACAGAGTAAAGTGAGGGGATAAAACGAAGATAGAAGAAAGTGGAAGAAAGTGATTAAGCGGGAACGTCCCAGAGGGCATATCCCCACTGCCACCCGTGGGAGTTGCCCATCGTGCGCTCATGCGATTCCGGCGCGTGGACCACACTGTCGACGGGTCCCTGCGCGCCGTACCAGTAGTGGCTCCAGCCTGTGGCCGGTTGGTCCATGACAGGGAGACTGGACAGGAGGGCGCCGACGCCGGAGACGTCGTAGCGGTCGGCAGGGTCCAGCATGGGGGTGCCGCGGTGGCGCATGATGGAGACGCGGCTGTCGAAGGAGCGCTTGGCGGCGATGGAGTTGGCGGCTAGGAGACTGTGGCGGGCGTGCGCGGTGGGCTGGGCCAGCACGGTGGCGAGGAAGCATGGGCCGAGGGCGACGAGGTGGTTGCAGTAGTCGTTGTAGTCTTTGTTTTCGGGAGCTGGGTCATGTTAGTTTACTTTTCTTATTTGAAAGGGAGGGATAAAGGGAAGGGGAAAATAAAACATACCCTCTTCATCGGCACTGCCATAGACAACCTCCACGGGCATCCCATCGGGCCGCAGCGCTTGCCAAGCGGGTCCGTCACGCGGGCCGACGTCGCGGGCGATCTGCGCAAATAACGCGCTATACTCCTGCTGCAGGAAGGTGGACACGCTGCCGAACTCCTCGACTTCCCAGGGGGTCATGGGTCCGAAGAAAAGCGCCCACATGTCGTCCAGGGTGAAGTTGCGGTACCATGTTGCGGCGCCACGGCGGGAGTGCGGGTCGGCCGACCACTCGCGGGAACCAAAAATGTTGCTGTAAGTTTGGAGACGGCAGAGAGCACGGAGGATGCGGGCACGCTCCGCCGGGGAGACAGGCCCTGGGGCGCGCTGGAGGAAGCGGGTGAGGAGGGGCTTCAGGCGCTGGTAGAGATGAAGGAGGCGGAGAGAGTCGTCGGGGGAGAGGATGTGGCGTTGCGAGGTGGTCTCCGCGCGGCGACGGAGGTGATCCAGGAGGGAAATGATGTCGTCTCGGTGGGATTTGACCTCTGCCTGCAGATTGGTGGAGGTGACGGCTGCGATGGGGTCTGCCAGGCCGACGTGGCCGTAACATTGTCGGACCACATTGTGTAATAAGATCTTCTTAGACTGAAGATATGTGTTGTGGTAGGTGGGAGAGGCTTGGATGAGCTGGCCCAAGGAGGGAAGGTCCAGGTGCTGCAGAACCTGCAACCGGAGCTCTGTAGGGAGGGATTCAAAAGTCGCCTGTTTTCGAATTAGCATATTGGTTTCAGTTTCATTTTATTGGTTTTCATCCTTTCTCGAAAGAAATTCAAATGGATGTTCTATCCCCTGGAACGGGAGGGGAAAGGGCAAGGGGATCAGATAGGGCTGGGTAGGGATATAGTTAGGGTCGGTGATGTCATACCATATTGTAACAGACGGAAAAAAAACGAGAAGCAATCAGGAGTCAAAGGGGAAGGAGGATAGAGCACAATTCATAATTGTTTGCCTAAAGCGTCCCGGGGGATCTGGGTTCATATATATATGAAACCCTAAAAACGACCGCTCAACAAAAATCTGGCCAGACGCTGGTCCATGGTTGAAGGCGAAACTGACGAAGGCTGTAGAAAAAAATCAAACAAAAAACCACGCAATGAGCGATCACTTCCTCTTGGCAACCCCGGCTTTTCCTCCTTGCGGGGGATCTGACTGGATCAGAGCCCAGGCGGTCATTCCTACGGCGCACCTAGTCGGTCCTATTGGCACGCCCCGCCGGGTCTCACTCCACATGACGCCGTGGGTGAGTTTCCCTTAGGTAACGGTTAGCTAAAACGGGGGTTGTCTGCTTGCGGCATTTATGCACGCCCGGCTAACGTGATCATACGGAGCAAGGTTACTGGCTGATCTTAATGATTCTTTGTACCTGCTGATCTCTTGAGTTCAAGGATATGTCGGTTTTTTTTGACTCAGGGTGGATGCGAAATCGATGGGGGTTGTTGTGCAAGAAGTGGCATCATTTAGCACCATTGCAGACCATCCTGAGGCAATCTGGTCTGCCCCTGGAAGTCATTATGACAAGAAATGGCATCATCGTGAAAAACTTCCATTTGCATCTGGACCTTGACTCATCATCTCATCTTCTATAAATATCTTCACCGCTCGCTTATTGCCGGTACATAGATGAGTCAGCCGGCTGAATTTAGCCAATCAACCGGGTACCAACCCGGCTCGGCCTGTAGCGGGGAGAACTATCAAAAAGCCAATCCACTGACTAGTCAGCTAGTTTTTCAGTTAGTTTTTGCTGGCGGTAAGTATGGGGTGGTTGAGTTTCACCTCGCAGAAGGCAAAAAGCAGGATATGTTGTCCACATTGCCATAGCAGCATCTATTAATGCAGGATTAATGCATCCTGACCCGGAGTCTAGAACTATGACGTCAGCCAAGAACCGGGACTCCTCCCGGTAGTCCCTCGGTTCTTGCTCGGCACATGTATCCACCATTGCACTCAGCTATCACGACATCCGACATACCACGGTCAAACTCTGTGTACATTCCAGGCACAGGGGAGAAACAGTATCATCATATGCAATTTGCAGACCGTCCCGGATGTTCTCGGAATTTCAGTGTAGTGGGCCGGCAAAGATGTACACTCGACAGGGGTTGAAACGAAGACAATCAGGGTCATATGGATGCGACATGACAGTAGGAAAGCTACTATCACAGGGTTTATGGAATAAGAGCTTTCACAAAGTTGAATACATGTCATTAGTTATGAATCTTTTGCAGAGCACGGAATCTGTCGCTATGCAATCTGATAACACAAGCCTTGAGGTGGACTTCCTTTCATCGCCAAGGAAGCCCGACGTGTTCTCCACAGTTCAAAACATCCAATCATACAGTCACAAGTCACACCTGGAGCACCATAATACGTACCGCGTAGATCTATCCATGTCCAGGAAGATGGCCAGTCGGGATAATAAGTATGTAGTTTGCACAGGGTGGTCAAAATAAGTGTTCCACAGCCGAGGTACATAGTCTCTTCCAGACTTGATATTTGGTGGTGTATAATTTCATGTCGGGTATTGACTTCCCTTGTCTGATGGGAGATAATCCGGGATATCCAATACTAGGTAAATGGTGATATCTTGATATATAACTGGAATCATATACTACCCTCCAACCCATAATTCGTCTGGCTTCTACTACTACAGCCATGTATGACCCGCGAGATCACCGGGGAAGATGTTCTGCGTACGGAGTAGACGGCACTACTTTATAAGAAAGAGTGCACATATGGCTGGATGTTCTCCCCATGACAGTCTGCAGGTGCCCCTGTCAACGCCATGAATGAAGAGTATAGCAGCAGGTGTTTGCTTCAATGGTACACGGGTACCGGCAGTCTCAAGGACATTGCTGTCTCTCATGCTGGAATATTGCTTCTGTGTGTTGTAGCAGCTAAAGGGACAACAACCTGGGTATGACCAAATGTCAACTTCAACGGGAATCGATCCGTATGGACGCGAATTCTCCGTCTTGTGGCACTTCGACCCGGGGTTGTTTCGTCGTCTGGCCAGCTATCTGTTTTCAGTCGAGGTATAGCAGTTGATCGAGTCTGTCGCGTTGTTACGGAGCCCAGGGTTCGAGATGAGGTAGAATAGTTGTCATCAGTTTTTTAGTTGAAATATTCTTGTACGTGAGTTGTATTGTCAGTGAGATATGTGAAAGATAGTACTGGATAGTCAGTGGTTTGAAATTGTTAAAATGAGTGATCAGTCACCTGATTACTGATAGTCATCTTTCCTGCAGTTCTATAGTTGTGAACTCCTCAACACACATCTCACCGTTATCCTTGTCATCGACCTCATCAATTTTGTCAAACTCATCAGCTCCGATGGGTTCAGCTCATCTGTACCATGGTAGACTGCGCTTCAGAATCCAATTGAAAGATATCTAGTGAAGAAAACTCGGGGATAGAGCGTACACAGTTGATAAAGTATACGTGTTTGCCGACCTAGCCACGATAATACCGCTCTTAGCTTACGCTTACAAGAGATCATTGGAGGTATACAGAAGGAGAGCACGGAAGTCATCTCCGTGACTGCTATTAGAATCTCCTATGAAATAGGAAGCCGGGGGCCAAAAGAAATATGTAGAGAAACATGCAACAAAGAAAAGAAATGAAATGAAGACAAAAGAAAAGGAAAGGAAAGCTTCGCTGACTTCAAAAATTTAGCCCAGAAACATGATGGAATGCATTTACAGCGTTATTGAAAAACAAAGGGGAATCATTATAGCCAAAAAATATCACATCACAACGCCATCTCATGCCGAAAGACCGATGCACACCCAGACTCATTACCTCGCTACCAAACCTCAAACTCCATGATGACAGCCCAATATTATAGGTAGGAAGGCATCCGTCATACAGGGAGGAGGCTCTTAGCCGGCGCTCGCGTCCATGCGCGATAGAACGAACCCCCGATTGCCAGGAGGAACATGATCAGAACACACCAAGCCATCAAGTACGTTGCCTCCGTTGATAAAAGCTCTGGCACAGACCCTCCGTCAGCGCCATAAAGTAAGCGGGGCGCTTTGAGTGACTCAATAGGTCTTGCGGGGCTGCAGAAGGGTGTTAGCCATGCACGCATAAACGAATGCGCTGGTGAAAACTGAGAACAACTTACAGCGCTTCATAGACTGTGGTGCGCGTCTTCTCTAGAAAGCCGACCAACGCTTGGACGGTGGATGCATGATCTCCTTGCGAGCCCGATGGTGAGACAACGAAAAGTTTGTGCATATCGTATTGGGCCCAGCGCTCGACGGGTGCGCTTTTGTGGATTTGTTCGAAAACGGTGGCGACGGGAGCCATTGCGGCGGTTATGGCTATGTACTGGATATTCGCAAGGAACTTATGTCGGTCGAAATATAGGTGGCACACGCGCTGATTGATGATTGGTTGAGTGGACAGAGACAAATCGAGCTCGTAGCCCTAGCAGCTTGAAAGGCGCAGAGAAATACCTCGTTGGACGATTGAACTTCCACGAGGGCGACGCCTTATATATCATGATGCATGATGTGGCCCCCAATTAGTGAGCTATCAGCCGCGGGGCTTGGACAGAAAAAAGACACCACCAGCAGGGACCATGGACTGATAACGGGCAGAGCCAGGCAAAGTCGGCATAATGATACAGGGCACCGACAGGATCCCAGGATCTGGTGGACAATTTGTTAGCCCGGAAAATACGAAGACCCAATCGGACAGGGTGCCAAGGCGCAAAAAATCGTGTCCATTGGACGATGGAAAGAAGCTAAGGAAGCAAACCGTTTGGTAAGATGTGGCTATGGCAACTTAGCTTCGCATTCGACGAAGGGCTTCAATGAGATTCCAATTATAAACTTGGGGCTTGCAGTTCCAGCCGCTTATCATGTTCTTAGGAGGGCTAAAGACAAGGAGATTACCATACCCGCCCATCGCTATAGACATGCTTGTGTCTTTAAGGTGTCATCGCTATAAGCCCGATGGCGAGGCTGTGTTCTATTGAACTGTTCAAGCTCCCATTGCTGTGGGGACACGATAGGGGCTGCCTTGCCTAATTAGGTAAGTAATCGGCAGGCTGACTGCCCGGCTGTCAAAGGACAACTGCGCTAGAGCCAGCGAAGGCTCAAATGGTTCTCTATGGTCTGCTCTGGTCTACTCCGTATAACAAACACCACGAACTGATAAAGAGAGAATCTCGATATCGCTGGATGGCATGTCTGTGGAGTGGCCATGGCTTCAACTTGCCAGTCCACGCCTTCTGGAGCCCTGATGTTCAGGATGGTCAAGTAAAACGGCACGAGCCGCTCGATCACAACACCCTGTCACATTGGGGCCGAGAAAGTAAGGGCTAGCAATTCAACCTTGAATCCAAGCCCTGAAAATCTGACAACGGACTAACCGTGTGAATTTGTTTCATCGCATTCACTAGAGGATCTTCTGCACTTTTCTGAGCCAAATTTAGCGCATATGGCGTGCAGACAAAGTGAAATCTTAGATTAAACCTAGCTGACAGTAAGAGGCTACAGGCCCGCTAAGTTGCCTACACCCAATTACCCGCTTGGGCACAGCGAGCTAGCTACAAGGGCTCTAGTGTGGAGGAACTTGAATAAGACAATTGCTCAATGCCCGCTCGATTCATCTGGCACCCGGCAACCGACTCGGCTGCAATGGAGTAAATGTGGACCCACTCTGTGTCCAGTGTGGTCAATGTTCCTCGTCTACGATCCCGTTTGTTCTGCCATCGAGAGGTTCAAATCGCCTCGTTCTTGTGTTGGATCACAGCAAATAGCGCGGACTCGGAGAAGTAGGAACAGTGGGTGTCTGGAATTCAGAGTTTTATGGAGACATCACATACCTGGAGATGACTGTTTGGATCGGTGTGGCAACTCTATCAGACAGCTACAAAGTGCGCAAGGCCCTCTGTTTGCGTATATTTTGATGATCTCTATGCGCGGACGATCTCTCTGCGCGGACGATCTTGAGGCATCTGACAGAACACAGAACATTGTTTCGGTTCCTGCATATCCCTTGCATCAGCACCACCCCCAGACAAGATCTCTCACACGGCCTCGGAAACTCCAAATAACAGATCCACCATATCTGACGGTAGGAAAGATATGACGCATAAAATGATCTTCCGTAATATTGGTTTCAAAGCGGCAGCATCTCAGATAGGCGAGATGGCAACTTGGGGGTCTCCAAATAAGGGGTCACAACCACAGCATATAACATGGACTCGATCCCATCATACCCCATCCTAAGAAGACTCAGCAACATCAACCTGTGAAGTAAAAAGAAAGCGACAGAAACAAAATGGAAACGGAAACAAGATCAGCTACCCCTTCCCGCGCCCCAGCCCCGTACCTCAAAGTTTCCTCACCCAACCTCACCACCGACTGGGACGAGCTAGCCGACACCTACTGGGAGTCATGGAAAAACCCCCGAACAGCATGGAGCGAGATCAGCTGCCCTTTCATAGGCAGCAACACTGCCGAAGAAGCGCACGCGCGGGCCGAGTTCAAGAAACGCGGCCTGGTACAGATCCACAACGACCCGAGCACGCACATGCTCAAATGCACTGATACACGGTCAGGCCGCATCATCGGCGGCGGCATGTGGAGGGTCCATCGTACGAACCCCTACCGCGCGCCTCTACACGAAGAACAAGCAGTGGCTTTCCCCGAAGGGAGCGAAATGCGGGAGTTGGCCGAGAGCGCGTGGTCCGAGCTGTCGAAGTGGCGGCAGCGATTGATGCAGGATGCGCATATCTGTATGTATATCATATCTTCTTACTTTATGCATTTTTTCTTTTATTCTTCCACTGCCCATTTCAAACACCCTACGAACGCAAACTCACGATATCCAGCCGGAGAAGAATTTTGGGCTCTCCCGGAGTACCGGTCCCAAGGCGCAGGAAACCTTCTCCTAGACGAGTTTTTGCGAATTATTGATGACCACCAGCTCGAAGCCTTTGGAGAGGTCACACACCTCAGTCGTCATCACTTGGAGAAGCGCGGGTTTGTGGCTATCGCGTACGCAGACGTGAAGTGCCCGCGGGCGAATCCGAGCGAGAACTTGAAGCGGTTGGTGAGGAATATGCAGCAGCACCCGCTGTGTATCATTTGGCGGCCGGCTGGAGGGGGCTACGTCGAGGGGAAGACCATTCTACCCTGGGAGGGACAGCCGCGGCGGGCGAGGTTGTAGGGGTGGACCAGTATTAGGTGGATTCAGTGTGTTTATACTCGGGTATGGCGTTGGGCAGTTCTTGGGTGGGCCTGTTTTGGAAGCAAGCCTTTGCATTATAATACGCTATAATAAGCATCGGCATGTATAATAATACACTAGCAAATAATAAGCTTACGGAGTACATTTGAAGCATTTCAACAAAACCCAGTACTAAAATGAACATCATGTGATCACCCAACCCTATATCCAGTGAACAGGCCTACTAGCAGACTCAAAAAAAAGCAGTCAACATTCACCAGCTACAAACTACGACAGTAAGAGCCCTCCTAAAGCCTAGCATAGCATCCAAAGTCAACCCTCCCACCCACCAGACATCCAACCTCAACCCCACCCAAAGACACCCCCTCATCAAGAAAGCAGAAGCAAAGAACCAACAACCAAACAACAACCAGCATGCTTCAGGAGTCCAAAGTCAACGATTTACAAAATGCACCCTACACCAAAACTACCTCAAGATTTAAAAGCCCCAAGCGCAGTCTCAAACCCAGCGTCCAAATCTTTCATCGTATCGAACAGAGTCTTTCGGTCCGCAGACGACGCCTTGCGCTGCAGCGCCAGCGACAGCGTGCCTGTTTTTCCGTGCAGAGAGCCAATATCTGCTGCGACGAGATTGCTGACGCCGAGGTTGACGAAGTGGGGTTTCTATTTATTTTATATGTTTATACCCATTACTACGCATATATGCGTATATATATATAAAAAAAAAAGAGGAAAAAGGAACATGGACAAACCTTAGTAACAATCCCATCCAACGCACTTTTAATATTCGGCTGCAATCCCAACACCAAGCTCGTGATCGTTGCGCTATCGGCAATGGAAAACGCAGCGATGGCGTCCACGTCGGTAGTGCACTGGGTCAAGCTGCTCTCGACGGCAGATTCCTTCCGCTGGACGTCGAGCGCGTTGAGGATACCGCCGGAGAAGTTGTTGACGGCTGTGGTGAGGGTGGAGAGGTCTGTGGCGAGGGTGTGCAGGTCGTTGATGACGGTTGAGATGTCGGCTTGCGGGTCGATGGGGATGTCTTTGTTGATGTCGATGGCTTTCGCGGATGCGGGGTGGAGGTGGAGGAGGAGGAGGGTGAAGAGGATGCTGAGGAGGGGGATGAAATGCATTTTAATCTTTTTTTCTTCTTTCCTAGATTATAGGGGTGGTTTATAGTGGGTTGATGTGGTGTGTTCTTGCTTTGGATTCGGTGTGGACTGAGGCTTTATATCCAGGGGATGGTTCCCAGATACCCAATTGAGGAAATTGCTTCAGAGTGAGGCTGCTCGCTTGGTATAGGCGACGGTGTAACACATTTGAAACTATCGGGTCATTAAATTGTCTGTTCTTCGTGGGATGAGATGAAGCAGTGGACATGGATCAAAGGTTGATATCATTACGTGCATTGTCTGCGTTACAAGGTAGTCGAAGAACAATAAACTATGACAAAACAGAACAAAGTACAGAACACAGTACAGAACGGAAGACAGAACAGTCTTTGAAAAAAGGAACAGAAAAAGAGAGTAAAGAATAGAATGAAAAAAGATCACCCCCAAACAGCCAACAACACAACCTGCCCATCCCCCGAAGGATAACACTTCCTAATCTGCCTCCCAAAATCGCCCCCCAACAGCCTCACTAAACAAGTCTTAACCTCCTCAATGTACGGCCTATTCCAGTGCAGCCGCACAACCCAATACACCAACGCCTTCGCATCCACCCCTCCCCCGCCGAGTCCCCCCGCCAACCCTCACCAAGCGGCCCGCATCGCGCAACACCGGATCAACTGCATGCGCCACCATCGCCCTCAACACCTCCTTCACAGCCGCCGCAAACCCACTCTCCCAAACAGCAGCCTCCAACCCCACCTGGTACCGCGCCTCAAAAGCAGCCGCCACAGCCGCAAGCCGCGCATCCGACGCTGCGAGGAACAGCTCGCCGACGCTGACCTCGTCCGCGGCCAGCAACGCCGCGTGCAGCGCGCGCACGTCGTCCTCCACAGCACCCTGGTCGAAGAACGCCGCGTTCTCGGGCCGGCTTGCACCTAGTAGCTGCGCGAAGAATGGACCGGCGGGCCCGCCGCTGCTGCGGATTGTGTCGACTAGCGCGGTGCCGTACTTGTTGACGTAGGCGTATTTGATTGCGCGGAGGTCGGCGTTGCTGCGCCCGATGAGCACGTCTGTGAGGGCTGGTGTGTCTGCGTTGCTGTTGTTGTTGCTGTTATTGTTGATGATGAAGCCATCGTGGAGGTGTGTTAAGTCTTGATCGAGGGGGCCGTCGGCGAGTGCAGCGAGTGTCGCTGCTAGGGGGCCTGTTGTTTGGGATAGGATATCCTTGGTGAGACTGTGCCCGTGGCGGGAAGCGTAGGTGTCTCGGATGAGGGCCATTTCGAGAGGGTCGGGCCCCGCGAGGATGCGGATGAGGGTGCTGGCGTCTGTGGTGGGGTATGCTTTTAGGGCTTCGTGGAGAGCGTCCGCTTCGTGGGTTGCGTCGCCGGGGGCGCGCTGGTCCGGGTCGTAGCCAAGAGAGGGGGCCGTTGAGACGGCCGGGGGCATTGGCGATCGGTAGGTGTTGGTGCCGCTGGGGGGTCGGGGCTGTTGGGTGTAGGGTTGGTGGGGGTGGCCGTAGGCGGGGTTTCGGGGGGATAGGATGCCGGGTTGTGGGGAGCTGGCGCTGGGGGTCCATGTTGGTCGTGGTGTTGAATTGGTTGTTGGTGTTGGTGTTGTTGTTGTTGTTGTTGTTGTTGCTGCTGCTGTTGGTGTTGGACTTGTGGGGGATATCCGTGCGGGGGTGGAGCTCGGCTGGTGCTGTAGTTTGCCTGGTGGGGCGGCGGTTGCTGGTGGTGATGCTGTGGAGACTGATGCGGTGGAGGTTGGGAGGGAGGGTAGGCGGTTGGATAGCCCTGTTGAGGCGGATAGGAGGGATAGGGGTAGGACATGATGAGGTTGACGATGTGAAGAACGAGTGTTGCACAGGGGAAGAGAGGGGAAGAGGAAGAGGAACCATATTTATCAGAGAAACCGGATCTAGTGCTGCATGTGCTAGCCTCCTGCAGTGTTAGTCTGCACCGCCACGGAGGCGATATCTGGCGGCGTCGCTGGATACGACCCAAAGTACTAGATTCAATACATCGCTAAATGGGTAATGTACATACAAAAAGGACATCGAACGACTCTATAACGAACACCTCATAAATCCTCTCTCAATGGCATCCCATTCGAATCCAACCCCTTCCTATCCAACAACGCATGCCATCTCCGAATCACCTCCGCCCGTTCATCCGTCGACGCAAGACACATCTCCTGCAAGCCCTGTGAGATGCGCGAGGCAAAAATATCGTGCGTTTTGCTCCGGGACAGCGAATTCCGCAGCGACTTGTGCAGTCCGTCGAGGGGGTAGCCCGCTAGGCCCCACATCCCTGGAGTCGTCAGAATAGTCTCACTCGGATAAAACAGCTGTAGCTGTCTCAAAATCATGCGGGAACCCACCTGCAGCAGGCTTGAGGAATAAGCCCCCCACGCCCTTCCCGATCCCTTTACAGAGTCCCCCCCCGCCGGAGTCGCGGAATCCTTGTCGTGGTTGAAGGACAACGCCTGTGATGCCGTGGTAGAACCCACGTGTGAATTCCTGACACGTCAGTGATGTTAACCATTATTCGAACCTAATTGAACGAAGAGGCGAAAGGGTAACGAAAAGAGGGTGTGAAAGACGTACAGTCCCCGCCGCTCGAAACCCACTCCGCCACCCCATCACCTTCGGCAAATCCTCTACCGTTGTATCGTGGTACAGACGTGGGGCATTGTGAAACCCCTTCGACAGGCTCAATGTCAAGTCCGTCGGGATCGTGATCGTCCAGTTAAGAATGTGCTTCCCCATGCGTCGGGCGCGGTACCCCTTCTCGTGGAAATACTTGCGCGACCGCCCCCTCTCTTCTTTCTCCCGCCGTCGGGTTATCGTTTTTTCCAAGTCAAGGCCCTCACCCTCGAACATGGACTTCGAGGCTTCGCTGCTTTCGTCGTCGTTCTCGTTCTCGTCGTTGAGCCCAGTGCTCGTTGATACTGATGGGCTGCTGTTTTCGTTGTCCTGTGGCTCTTGCTGTTGCGGTTGTTCCTCCTCTGCGGAGGCATATGTGCTATCACCGTCGGAGGCGGCGTGCTCGGCATCCGCGTCGTTGGGTTGGCGCGGTGCGGTGGCTTGAGTAACACCGTTACCAACGCCGGAATCGTCAGACCCTTGATCTGGGGTCTCGTCTCTATTGGGTTTGCGGTTGGCCTTGTGTTTGAGCCAGTGGGGACGGTGTCGGTGTCGATGCCGATGGCGGGCGTGGTGGTGTTCAATAATATCGGAGACATCGCCGGGTACGCCTGCAACCCCTGCGATGAAGTCACTCACGACGCCGTAGAGGACCTCCGCGCCGGCGGAGAGGGGGCCCCTGGGATTGCGCGTGGTGTCGTATTCCTGGGAGCGGTAACTAGATTCTGAGCACGGTTTCCATGTCAAAGGGCAACTGGGGAAAGGACATACAGAACAATGTGATGCGACTTCAGCAATCCCGTCTCAACCAGCACAGCAGCCGCAAATGTACTCAGTCGAATTCGCGAGTGCTTGATCCACCACACGGCCGGCCGATCAGGGCAGACATCACAACACAGCCGATCGAGCTTCAGATGGCGATGGAAGCTACAAGCGGCATTGCACACACCGTTTTCCTTGCGCATCATTTCGCCAATATCCGCTGCCTTCCGCCGCATCTCGGGGCGGTAAGTCTGGCGCAAAGCATCCGCCAGGTTCGCTGACGTGAGCGACTTGTATGGCAAGGGCTGCGGGCCTGCGCCGGCACGCGCCACAATCGAGCCCCAAAACGGCTGGTCGCCGAAGAAAGGGACGACAATCGTGGGTCGGCCCAGCACGAGCCCTGCCGCGGTCGTGCCAGCGCCGCCGTGGTGTACGACGCTTGAGACGTGCTGGAACAGCCAGTCGTGAGGACAGCGCCCAATCATGTGGATGTTAGACGGGATGGATGCAGCGCCGCTGCCGATGTTACCCCATCCTGCCGAGACGATGGCGCGCACGCCCGCCTGTGCAATCGCCTCAAAAACGATCTCGGTAAGCCGGCGTGGGTTGTCGACTACGATGGACCCGAAGCCGATATATATGGGCGGATCACCGGCATCGATGAAGGCCTGGAGATCGGCTGGGGGAGTGTATGTGCTGGCGCGGTCGAGAAAGCAGAATCCGCAGATGTCGACGCCGCTGGCCCAGTCGGCGGGCTTGGGGAGAAGGGCGGGAGACCTTGTACATATATATTTGTTTATTCATTTCGTTCTTCTTTTTGGCTTCCTTAGTCGGAACTAGGGATGAGGCCAAGGACTTACCAGAAGTATGTGTAGGGAACGTCCAGGCGTTGCGAAATACTTGGAGCTCGGATGGCGTCGAGCGGATCGAGACCGAGCTCTCGCGTGCGAAACTTGTTTATGAGATCTCCTAATCCCTCCCACATCATGATCTCCACAACAGCGTAAGAAGCGAAGTTCGCCGCCGAGGGTTTGGAGCTTCGTGACCGGATATTTGCGAGGGGGTGGGGAAACGATTGCGTCGGGGTCCATGGCATTCTGCGCTTATCAATCTTGTCCTAGTACGGAGGGGAGGAGGCGGGGGGAGACGGAAACAAAAACATACGTAAACATCATATTAAGCGGCACACCCAGCTTCTCCGCGCAGCTCAGATGGGCAAAACTCGGTGGGTTGGCGATGATGGCATCCGCGACAAACGGCTTCAGCTGGTAGTCCACCGTGTCGCTCCACGGATCCTCGGGGATATGATGCAGGCCGGTCCCGTCACCCGTCTCGTAGCAGCTGCGCCAGCAGCCAGAGAAAATAGCCTTCATCTCGCGGCGACGCTTGGGGATGGCGCCGCTGCGGAGTGTATCCATACTAGGGATCAGCCCCTCGTTCTTGACCATGAAGGCCATAAGCTCTGCGGGGTCGCCGCCGATGTTGAAGAATTCGAGACCCTGGTCGAGGATGGATTCGCGGAAGGCGAGGTGGGTGGCGAGGCGCACGCGGTGGCCGCATTTCTTGAGCATCTTGCCTAGCGCGATGAATGGCTGGACATCGCCGCGCGACCCGACCACTTGAACGACGATGTTGAGACGCAGCGGGCAGCTCTCTTCTTCGCCGGCGGGTGCGATGGCGGACGGGCGTCGATCATCGGCGGTCGGCTCGGGGGGCAGCGCTTGGAGATGACTGGCGAGCCGGGTGATTAGGGGTTTGCGCTCGTGGAACTTGATATCCAGTCGGCCATCCTCTGCAGGGTCAGATGCGGCCTGTTAGCGGTGCTCGCCGTGGTAGATTGAGGAGAGAGGTATACCCAGCACCCGCACCCCGGTGTTCAGGTGGTCGCGCAGAGAATGCCGACGCATCTCCGGCTGCGGCTGCATCTCCGGCCAATCCTCCGTAGTGATAGCTTCCGCCATGATGATTGTGGTGGAGGTTGTTGGAAACGGGGCATTGTGCCAATTGTGTAAAGAGATCCGATGTACAGAAGATTGAACTGGTGATGTCACTATGCGGATGGTCGGCCCACCGATTTGGATCATATCATCGGGGGTCCATTAGTCAGAAGGCATGTTTACACTCATCTGAATTGATGTTGCGGTTCCATGGTTCATCTCGGGTGTTTAGGAGTATCCTCAGTATAGAGCCTGACTTGTAATAGATCGCCTCATTCCGCCCCAACCGCAGATACGCCTGGACTGGAATCAAATCAGTCAATGTATCCATTCAATGTATCTATCTCAATGAGAGGAGATAGTCAATTCATGTCCTGTATTTGTTCAGTTTGGGGAAATCACCAGCAGCCTAACAAAATAACCTCGAGTCAAGCATGTTCTCATCAGGCGCAAGTGACCGAATGGCAAAATCATGGATGGGTGGTTCCTGCAGAGGATAAAGGAGAACAACTTTAATGGAATTTTCGATGGGATCCGAGCGCCTAGAGAATCAGATCCACGATCACAGCGATGTGTGAGAAGGAAAGAAGGATGGATGAATCTGCAGAATATACAACTGGTGCAGTCAGCTGACACATTCAACCAGCCATAGCAGCACCATCAGTCTACTCTACACTTATCATTCTAAGGACATACAAGGGAAGAAAAGCATCCACCAAATATCAATCCACATGGGATTCGGAAAATATATATCAAAAAATATAAATACACACACAATCCACCATCTATGGTCGGTCTAGTCACATCACCAATCTCGCACTTCCAGAGTACGCATCCAGAGGCAAGCCGTTTAAGCCTGCACACACTGGTGGTAGTACTCGTTCCACTTCTGGCACTTGAGACCACTGGCACAGCTGGCGCTGCCAGTGTAGCCGACACCGCCGCAGCGCTGGTAGATAGCGACAGCGCCGCCCTCGGCGGGAGCAGTAGTGCTGGGAGGGGCAGCGGTGGGCTTCGTGCTGGTAGCGAAGGTGGTAGGGGCGGGCGGGGCGGGGGCGTCGGTGGGAGCGGCGTCGGTGGGAGCGGGAGCAGCATCGGAGGTGGTAGGGGCGGGGGCGGCCTCAGAGCTGGAAGAGGTGGGAGCGGCAGTAGGCTTGGGGGCCTTGTCGCCGCCCGCGTCGGCGCCGTCCCAGACGGCGGGGCCGGGGATGGGGTAGTCCTTGATGTCGCTGTAGATGTCGAAGAGAACGCCCTCGTCGTTGGCCTTGTAGGCCCCGGGGATGGAGACGCCCGCGGGGAGGGTGCTAGCGCCGTCGGAGGTGACCTTGAGCTGGACGCACTCCATGTAGAACTGGGCGCCGCCCTCGCGGTTGCCCTCGTGCAGGCCGATGATCTCGGGGCGGAAGAGGTAGTCGCCGGCGGGGACGTCGGGGACGGTGACGGAGTGCTTGCCCTTGTTCTTGATGAGGGTGTCGACGGCCCAGACGCCATCGGTGTAGCCTTCTTCGGCGATCTTGACCCAGCCGTCGCCGGCGGAGCCCTTCTTGGTGGGGGCCATGTAGACCATGACGGGGCCCAGATGCGACGAGGCGATGATGTCGTCCGAGGCGTCGCGCTTGTCGTGGTGCCACTCGAAGGTGACCTTGTCGCCGGCCTTGACGGGCAGGGTCTTCGCGGCGGCCTTGTCGCCGCCGACGTTGCAGGTCATGTCCTTCGAGGTGACGTCGGTGACGGGGCTGTTGCTGGGCGGCGAGCGGATGTAGCCCTCGGCGGAGTTACCCAGGCCCTGGTCCTCATCGTTGATGAACACGGCGAAGACGGTGGTGTGGGCGTTGACCAGTTTGGCAGCCGCTGCCAGAGCGAGGAGGCCAAAGGAGGACTTCATTTTGAAGAAATGAGTGTGGGGAGAAGTTGAAAAAGAGTGTAAAGAGTGACGGAAAAGAAAGAAGAATGCTCAGCAATCCAGGCTGGTTAACAGAAAATAAAGATAGATAGTCCAGCAAAGACGGACCTGGAACAGATTTATATACTTCCCCCACCACCCGTCCGATATACATCTATCCAGAGACTCGGTTGACCGGTGTAGAGAATGCCTCGAAATGAAAGCACTGCCAAGAAAACGCGCCCATGCTAGCGGTTTCATCTAGAAAATGACATTTCTTGGCTTCGTCCACTCCCACGCGCTTCTATTTACCCGGCGATCCACAGGTGGATCTCGATCGACCTATAATCTCACCCGTTGGAGCAACGGCCAGCCTCTGTTTCACGCGACTGTTTTGTGTGCACTACCGGTTCCCTGCCCATCACTGGGATATCACAACATGTGCTCCTCCCTCTGAAACCTCTCCACCAGGTTAGCGGCTTGCAAAGTGCACCCAGACAGGAGCGACAGACTCCATTCTGCGGCGCCTCCACCGATATTCAACCGAAAGCTCCGGTCTGAAACAAGTTAGGGGACAGGAGCTTGGGTCCGGCCGGAGTATGTCGTGGTGCGCTGATTGGATCTGCATGCGCTGGTCATTTCCACCGGTCGAGGGCTATCCACCCTGGGGGGTATATCAACCAGGATGCTCCAGGAACGGGTTTGATAACCCTATATCGACCATATTAATCGTTCCATGGTGCGATAAGCCGTGTTCCAACTTCCAACAATGCCCCTGTTCTTCCCCCCCACCGGGAATTCGACCAAACTAGAGCTATCACTCAACTAGCTAATCTGTGGAAATGAAAGCGCCGGCTTCCCCTCTCGTGATATGGGTACTTTCGGTTTAAGATTCCGGATGTATCTGGACTGTCTCAGCCACGCGAGTGAGTCGACTCGGCTTAACAATCAAGTTATGAGGGGCCCGACGGGTCTGATCAATCTCGCCATGGGATGACAGTTGCCTACCGGTTCGAATGATGGCTAGATCAGGGGTGACAAGGTGGTTAGATATTTTCTTCCACATAATCAGCGAAGTAGTCCCAGCCGAAGTATGCCGCAGGACATCTTTCCGAACAAATTAGCCGATCTGTCACGCAATGAACCTAGGCCATTAGAATTCGACGTATATGCCGTGGTATGTAAACAGCGCCAACGGTCTCTGAGAGTTATACAATGGCAATCTTCCAATCCTCCAATAATCTTTGACCGGATGAGTGGTTCCACAAAGTACCGTGCTCTGTTCTCACTTGGCTCTCCCGAAAGTCTCTTCGCAACAAGATAACACGGGAATGATCACTTGAGAACTACCGAGCCACCGTCTCCCAGGATATCCCCCTGCCCACGCACTGTCCCGTTCATTAGCCAGGGGGTGGAACGACGAGGTTCTGGCCCTGGGTCTGCCCAGGCTCTAACAGGTAGTGTGGGGTTCGTATAGCCAGTAACATGGCCAAGCCCCCTTGTGTTTATGTGACATATGGTATTGATCTTCTTAGTGATGCTGACTGGTTCCTGTAGCTGTTTGGTAGGTTAGGAAGGTGAAGCCTACCCATAACAGGGGTACTTCTCGCCGGATCGGCATTCGAGAGCAGTTTCTCTTTGGTAGAGAACAGGGACCCTTCTGGGTGGCTGATAGGTAGAAGTATACTGCGGAAAATTTTGCAGTTTGTATTGGTTTCAGCATACTGCTTGCTGTCTTTTACGGTCGATGTCATGTTCTCCGTGGTCGTAGGTTGCCATCGGCCCCTTTGTAGACAGAGAGAGTCGTCATGTCGAGATGCTTCTTCTCTGCCTGGATGCAAGTATTCTCTGCTGGCTATGATATCTCAGTTCGCTTCCTATCTCGCCTTTTCAGTTTGAAAATGTTTGAAGATGGTTAGATGATGAATATATCCAATGCTCACTCATTCTGTGGCTGTCGCTGGTAGACTAATTATCCAAACACATGAGTCATCACCGTTACTTGTCGATAAATCTATCGATCCTCGCCTGGCTGCCCAGCCTGTAGAACCAAAATATTACCAACGATCCGATTCTCCGTCTGCACCATCGCCTGTGCCATCGCGCCCAACGCCTGTCCCGTAATCGCGCCAATCTCCTCCTGCGAACCCTGTCCCGACGCTCCATTGACCCGATTATTCCGGCGGCCCACGACCACCAGGTTTCCAGCTTTGTGGGGAGACTGGCCGAGTTCGTCTTTTACGGTAGTAGTGGTGAACTTGACGACGTCGGTGTCGGATGTGGTGGGCGCCACACGCTTAAAGACGACGCGAGACGCAAGGAGTTCCGGCAGCGAATCCCGCAGGGTCGTGAAGAATGTGGCATCAGACGACTCGACCTCTGCGGTGGCTATAACACCTTGTGTTGCGGATGACTTGGGGCTTTCTTTGCTGCCATCGCTTGGTCCGGATGTGGAATCGATGGATGACGGTCGCTGACGGGCTACGTCTATATGAACGATAGTGGCTGTTACCTGGTCGTTTTGTGCGAGTTGCAGCACGAAGCGCAATGCGTAACGGTCATCCTCGCCGCCTAGGAAGGGTAGCACGATGTGATGCGACCGTGCGGCGGCAGGGGGGCGGTCCCAGACGGAGCTGCGCACACTCATGGCGCTGATGGATCGCTTGCCGGCGAGTGTGGGGCGGCGGGTGTATGTGCTGCGCTCGATGAGGACACCGACGTTACACGTTGTCTGGTTCAGAACGTTGGACGCAAATTCAGTGTATGGTCCGTTGGCAAATCTGCTGGCTTCGTTGATGCCCAGCCCGCTCTGGTGCTCGCTCATCGTGCCAGTTTCGCTCCATGGGAGCAGTAGCAGGTCGGTTGATTCTTCCCGTGCCATGCCTACAACCGTGTCTGCGTACGAGTACTCGGGGATGACGGCCACCCCCGCGATAATCGAAATGTCGTGCCACTGCCCAAAGGCTCGGAACGTGTTGACGACGGGGTCCCACAGCGTGTATTCGTCAATCTCCGACACCTTCATCACGCTCGAGTCGCGATCCGTCAATTCCATCAATCGCACGCCGTGCACCTGCAAGGCGGGCTCTGCCTCCGCCTGCACCGCAACCGACTCTTCCGCATCGGGACTGGGTGACAACGTCTGCTTCTTCTCGGGATGAACTTTGGGGGTGGGTGGCTGGTCGAGGCGGCTGGGTCCCAGCAGCGCAGCCAGGGTGCAGATGCTGGACAGGCCGTCGAGTCGCAGGTACACGAGCAATTTCCGCGCGGCATTCGTTTTCAGTTGGTCTTTGGCCGCGGTGACGCTATTGTTGCGTGAGTCGCTTTGAAGGGGGTTGCCGTCCCAGTCAATTTCCCCGCGACGCCATCGTTCGACTTTGATCTGGTACCATTTCGGATACAGAGCGACCGTCAACGGAGTGGTTGCGAACGTGGTTACAAGGGCCATGACGACGAACATGGTGAATGTCCGCGTGCTCAGAATCTTGGCTTGCAGTCCAATGTTCTGCTCCGGTTAGCTGTGCCATATCGACCGGGGTGGAAGGCGTACCAAAACAATAAGCTCGACTAAACCCTTGCAACTCATCAACACCCCTATGGCAAAGCTCTCCCGCCAAAGCAGCCCACACAGTCGCGACGCAGCCGCACCGCCGGCGACCTTGGCAATAAAGGCAATCGCGATCACCCCCACAACGTAGCCCCACACGTGGCCGCTGTCCAGCAGTCCCAGGTTGGTTTGCAACCCCGAAAGCGTGAAATAAAGTGGTAAGAACAAGGCCGCTACGAGGTCTTCGATCTTTTCAGTCAATTTGATGGCGAAGCCTCCCTCGTGCGGGCACAGCAGACCAATCAGGAAACCGCCAAAAATGGCGTGGACGCCGATGACTTGGGTGAAGAATGCCGAGGCGAGTGCGATCATCAATGTCAGCGCCACGACGGATTGGCTAGGCCCCTTCTGCAAGCTTCCCGTCCTCTGCAGGAAGCGCAAGAAAACCGGGCGGAAAATGAACGACAGAAATAATACGTAGCCGACACAGACCAAGAACACCCACAGGGCTGTCAGTCCGGTTCCCGCGTTCACCAGAGCCACGCAGAGGGCTAGGAGCACCCATCCCACGACGTCATTGCCCACGCCTGCGGACAGCACGATGACTCCGACATTGGTACTCAGAAGCTTGAGCTCGGTCAATATGCGGCAGAGCACGGGAAACGCCTACGGAAGGTCAGCTCCGACCACAACGGTCCAGGGAACAATACCTACCGTGATAGCCATGGCGATACCAATGAACAGCAGGTAGGTGCCAAAATTGATCGGAACCGTGTCGGGTTCATTGCGAAAGGAGTTGTAAAGACCGTAGGAGATGGCGCAGCCCAAACCAAACGGTAAGACCATTCCCGCGGCGGAGACGCTGACCGCCACGCGCCAATTACTGACCAAAAAGCGCAGGTCCGTCTCGAGGCCGACCAGGAACAGAAATAGGACCAGCCCCAGATTGGCCACGAGATTCAGGTTCGGAAGTGATTCCGTGGGGAAGATCGCTTCGGTAAAGCCGGGAATGCGGCCAAATACAGAGGGACCCAACAGCACGCCTGCGATGACCTCTGCGATGACTCGCGGCTGACGGATCTTTGAGAGGGGCCAGTGCAGCAACCGGCAGAAGACAATGATGATGGAGGCCTATCGATGTTGGAATTTCCGCTACCACCACATTGAGCAGGGAATTATACCTGGATGATAAATATGACGATGGGGTTTTTGGGATCGTATTCTGACGGATTACCTCCCTCGAGGATGCCGCCTTGAGGAGCAACGGCACGAGAATCGGAGGACGACATGATGGCAGCTTACCGTGATGGCCACCTCGCCGGACTATCCGGCCGTAGATAGTGAGATGAAGCAGTTGTAGCCACGAGAACAGAACGGTAGATATCCGTCTGCGAAGAAGATACGAGATGGATAGGGGAAGAAAGACAAAGAAAAGCGATGGCGCAGAAGGATGCTAGTAGGAAACGTGACCGGCGACGTCGTGGTCGAAAACGGCCTAGTGCGGTTGGTCCCACGTGGAGAATCCGGAGGATAAAATAGTTGATGTGCACAGGTGCGACTGCTGTAGAATGTTAGTGATTGTTTATAGAACTCACTTGAAATTTGATCATCGAGCAAAATCACAAATTTCCAATATCAGTTGTAGACATATCCTATCTCAGCGTTGATCAAATCCAAGCTACCATCACTTGGCGATGCTCTCCCAGATGCCAAGCCGTCACTCCAGACCCATGACTCCACCCCGTGATCGACTCCACCAAGTTTATTGTTTGTACGGGGTATATCGACCTCAAGCTCAGAAACGAAATTCTACCGTTTTGAGTTCGACTATCCCACCATGGCAGAGTTAGACCTGTCCAGGTCCAAACGCCCGCATTCTCGTATTCCGGCAGCCACTTATTGGATGAACGGTGGTAGCCGCGACTATATCTCTCATATATTGAATCAGACCAGCGCTGTCATATGCCAAGTCTTTACGGTGTATGGTGTAAAGTGGTTGCCCCATGGCGTCATACTGCTTATGTTCATGACCAGTCATATTCACGCTACCGCGATAAGCTGTTGGTGAATTCTGGTGGTATAGGACTACTCCGTACCTCTTAGGGTGTTTTACCAGGAAGCTTGCACCACTGGGTTGTACTAGTAGCCTCTGGTAATCATGTAGTAAACGGAGCTACTAATAACAATCACATCAAGTATACCTCATAAGTATAAAAAAGGACATAGAATATGATAATCAAATAGTATCAATATATAAGCCTAGCCGAAATGAAAACTGAGCTACAGCCACGTTCCTGCGTTTGCCTCCAGAGGGGTTGGAGGTACTGAGGTAGGTTCCCCCCGCTTTCCCCTCTCAGGTAGTATCTCAGCCTTGCCCTAGTCTTGTCCCATCGCAATCCAGATACACCGTTGTCTAGCACATTCGCTCTGTGGGTTACATGTCAGACTTAAACCCAGTGAAAAAGGAAAAGCAAATTTCTTCATAACTCTACACTATTGTGCTACTACTCATTCCCACCGAGGGCAGACAAACACTTGGCTAACCATATCAAAAATCTCAATTGCTAACCTCCCGCCAAATCTAACCCAAAATCTTCATACAAAGTCATAATCACATCCCAGCCTCACCACAACCATCACAGTCAAGTATCCAAAATACAGCACAGCACCCAAGCTGTGCACCATACCACCTCCAACCCCTTCACCACCCCACCTCACCCAGAACTACGCCTTGAAATCAATCCCATCAATCTCCTTCGCATGACTCTCCTCCCAAGGCGCCTCTACCTCGACCGCCCGAATAAGCGCCTCATGCGCCTCACTCCGCGGCGTAATCTCGTACTTATACGGCGCAGGATGGCTCACCACACCGGTCGTAAAGTCAGGCTTCCCGATGTCTTCTGCCGTCGCGATATTAAACACAGCTAGGGATTGTGCGATGCTCAAGAAAACGGTATTGTCGGCCAGCAGGCGGCCGGGACAGATGCGGCGGCCGAAGCCGAAGGCGATCGTGTGTGGGTCCAGCTCGGGGGTGTGTGTCTCGGTGGCGAGGAAGCGGTCGGGGTTGAAGGCTTCCGGGTTGGCGTATACTGAGGGGTCGTGGAACATTTCCCTGTTTGGTTTGTTATGGTTAATTTTTGTCGTTGGGGGGTGGGGGAAGATGTGGGTCTTTGGAAGAGAGGATAAGGTATGTAGGGCTGATTGGATGCATACCAGATGTTGGGCAGGACGATCGACCCCTTCGGGATGCGATAGCCTTCGTAGACATCGTCTTCGGTCGTCATGTGGGGAAGCCCGATCGGGCCGACAGGGTGCCAGCGGAGCGTCTCTTTGACGACAGCGTCGATATAAGGGAGATTTTCGCGGTCAGCGAAAGAGGGCAGCTTGTTCGGGCCGAGGACGCGGTCGATCTCCTTTTGGGCCTTGCGCTGAACATCCGGGTTGAGCGCCATAGCGAGGAAGAAGCATGACAGAGAGGAGACCGTCTACGCAAATGTTTAGTGAGTAAGTAGGCACACCGAGAGGCTAGGAATATTGGCCTACCGTGTCTGCGCCTCCGGTGTACAGAGATCCCGCTGACCACTTCGCTAATAGTTCGTCGTCGGCCGTCCACTTGTGCGCCCCTTCTTCTACCAGGCTAGCGAGATACGACGGCGGGTAGCTGCCCTGTCGCATTTGTTGCCGGACGAAGATGTAGGGTTTCTCGATGGTTTCGATGAGTGTTTTTCTCCATGCGTTGGCAATCTTCTTGAAGCCCATGCCAGGGAGCCATGCCGGGAGATTCTTAACTGGTCGGTGTCAGCAACCTAACCCAAGACAAGCACTGCAAGGACATCTTACGAAATGGAACAGTATCAACGATCCACTTCCCCGGCGCAGCAGCCAAAGAAAAATCCTCCATCGCGTCATTGACAAGAGTGACGAGAGGGTCGCTCCCGTGCGGCTCGATGTTGTAGCCGTACGCAATCTTCAGAATGACAGCTCCGGCCTCCCTGCATCCACTCGTCAACATTTCGCACTCAATAGTTCGCAGAGCAAGAGTCAAACCTACGTCCGAAGATGCTGCACCAAATCGTGCGGCTTATCCAAAACCCGCAGCAAAAACCGCCTTACCTCAACGTCCTGCAACGAATTGAAGCGCGCAGCAAGCGGCTTTGTTCCAAACGCCTTGTGGATCGCTTTGCGATAAGCGCGGAACCGGTCCGAGTACGCCTGCATGGCGACGGCATTATCCCAACCCACCCTGTCGCTCTTGTCAGCCTGGCATTTTTTACTTGTGCGCGAGTCACGGTGTCTACGCACATTTCTCCGGCGAACGTCATACGCGGGCGCGACGAGTTGATCGACGAGCGCTTCTCCATCAAATCGAAGGCCATCTGACGATCATTGACCATGATGATCGTCTGGCCGAGGATGGTTACCGAGCTGATCGGACCTACATATCATTGATTATCCACGGTTAGCACCACCCAAGAGGTCGGAGGGTGGACGGCGCACCATAAAGCTTCTTGAACCCCGCCCAGTACTCCCAGTCTTTCTGCCCCGGGGGTGGCAGATCCGCCAGATTCCCGATAATGGGCTTTCCCTTGGGGCCTGGCGGGAGCGGGGCCAGGGCCCGTTTAGGGAACAACGCGAGTTTCAAGACATAGAGGACAGCAACGCCCACGAGGGTGCTGACAAGGAAAGACAGCCCCATGACGACTAATCTAGTTGCAGAGGTTCAAATTCGTACGACTATCTCAATCGCACCGGAGGGGGGCGCCCTTCTTTTTTATCCACACCCTGACCGGCCTAATCGCGTCAGGTTTGAATTCCCGGTCCCCACATGGGGTTGGTGACTAGGTCGCTGTTGGTGCGCTATCCGTTCAAACCGAGGCTACTGTGGTAGTTATTTTAGTACAGGGTAGTTCCGTGTCTGTTGTTTAGTAGTTAGTAGTACCCTTGACTAGCGGAACTGCGATATTCAATGTGGCTGGCTGGTCGGTGTTCCGACACAAGCAGTGATGCCCTATCGCGGGTGGCCTAGGGCTGTCATGAAACGATTATCGACGGTTTTTCCATTGACAGTCTGCTGCAGGATGCGCTACGAATATGCATGTATGAAATCTTGGGATTTGGGGATCAGTAGTCTTTCTGTATTTCGTTCCCAGAAACGTGTCCACTCCTGACATTTCCGGTCATGTCCTCTGGTCGGCAAGCGGACGCATCGAAGTCGAATATCCCTACAATGAATGGCTCCCTCGAGCAAATATCTATCTACCTACCTACTTGCCATGACTGCGCAAAGGCCATTTTTCAGAATTTGTCGGGCCGTCTATCTCAAAGCACACGACCCACTTTGGAAGAGAAAAAAGAAAGACATCCAACCTAAAAATCCTGGTCTTTTTTTCAGCTGGCATGCTTCCTCCTTATTTCGGCAATGATCGCCGCCGTTGAAGCTATCTTGATATCGACAAAATAATTGCGATTGTTATGCTTGCGTTTTTCCTCATTTGGCAGTTTGCCCAGCAACTCTAAATTTCGTAAATTGAGAAGGCAATAAAGAGTTCATGTATGGCAACCCAGGAGCTATATATATACTAGAACGAATAGGGTTGTTTTATGCATGATTCCAGAGCACACGCTAATCATCAATGAACTGCCAGGGCTTGACGCCATCTTGGCAAGGTACGCTTATTCCCTAGTCAGATGGCAGAGGGGGGGGGGTGGTCAGTACTCTATCATCAATTCTGATATTGATTGTATACTTGGTACTATAGCTAATCTCAACTTAAGATAGGGAATCCTTTTGGTTAAAAACAATCCTTCTTTGGTGACCAAACGTCCACACTCTCCATTCTTCATAGTAGAGTTTTTCAGTAGATAGGCCGACGAAGCCCAAAACGATCATATCAAGATCTTGTTTGTGGCCGCATCGTAATAGCCGCTGTTTGTGCGACGTCAACCCACCCCAAACATCCATTCCAAGATAATGTATCACATTCTTCCCCTATATTCTACATACCTGGCTTCACGATCTGAGCAAACAACAAAGATATATTTCCTTAAAACAACCCCCAACACCCAGCCCCCTTTCAAACCCACCCCAATGCCACAACACTCACAATGACATTCAACGCCCAGCTCGACATCCCCGCCCTCACGGACAAAGTCATTCTCGTAACAGGCGCCAACGAAGGCCTAGGCAAGCAAACCGTGCTCGACCTCGCCCAACACGGCCCGCAAAGATCTACCTCGCCGCGCGCTCCCTCCCCAAAGCCGAAGCAGCCCTAAAAGAGATCCAATCGAAGGCCGGATCCAACTGCGCGCCCATCGCCCTCCTCCATCTCGACCTCGCTTCCCTGGACTCTGTCGCCCGCGCCGCAGAGAAGATCAAAGCGCAGGAGTCGCGGCTCGATATCCTCATCGCCAATGCAGGCGTTCTAGGCGCAGAAGGCACCACTAAGGACGGATACGAGATCCAGTTCGGCGTGAACCATCTCGGACATGCGCTGCTTATCCGGCTTCTACTACCACTATTGATGCACACTGCGCAGCGCGATGATGTGGCTGTGGGTGAAACGCGCGTGGTGATCGTCGGCTCCTTCGCGGAGAAATTCGCTGCCCCTGCAGACGTGATTTACCCGTTTGAGGAGCTGGAGCGCGGCGGGGCGCCGTCGATGATGGGCATTATGGCGAGGTATGGGCTGAGCAAGCTAGCGAATGTGCACTATGCGGCGCAGCTAGCGCGGCATTACCCTGAGGGGGAGTCTGGGGTGAGGTTCGTGGCCCTGCATCCTGGAGCTGTTAGGACGAATCTTGGGGAGCTGTTGAAGACGTGGCCGAGGGTGCAGAGCGTGTTGCGTAGGTTGATGGGCTTGTTTGTTGGGATGGTTTCGGTGGAAGAGGGCGTTTGGGGACAGCTTTGGGCGGCGACTTGGCCGGTTGGGAGGGTGGATGGGATCGGTGAGCCTCGGTCTGGGGTGTTTTATCATCCTGTTGGGGTGGAGGGGGGGGGGACGCCGTTGGCTTATGATGAGGGGAAGGCGGCGGAGCTGTGGGAGTGGACGGAGAACACCTTGAAGGGGTATTTGGAGGGTGCATAACGAGATATAGGGGATTTAGAGGCTCGCGGGAATGGAAAGGTACTATAGAGCCCGGTCCTGGGGGCATCGGGCTTACTTCTCTGGCATCCTTGTTTGGTGTCGATATGGACAGGCGAGTGAGGATACCATCTAGATATGCTCTAATGTGATCAGAATATATACAGATATGTTTCGTAAGATGTCCTATAGTACCAGCGGAGAGAACGGGTCCATATAATAAGTCTAACACATGTCAATTATGCTCTAGTAATAACCAACTACGACTAAAACCATCCACTGTTTAGCCTGTTTGTTGAATATATATCAAGAACACAAGGAAGATCGCTGTCCATGCCTCAACTATGGTAGCCTAAGTAATTGATTCAATGTAATATTTCTGATTTCTTTTGTTTGATCTTCGCATTTTAGTTTAGTTTGTACTAATTTATTTGTTGTGATCTTTCTTCTTTCATAGTTAGCTATTAGCCTCTCACAATGGTCTTGGCTGACGCTGCAGCTGCATCCGGTAATCATAGTAAGCGGCAGTAACCACTTTGACCTTTGCCACTATCACTGGCTCCTGCACATATGAAAGACTTGTGAAACTCTTGAAACGTACGTAACAAGCACTAAAAAGTAAAGCACTTGAGACATGATCTGATTAATGGACCTTGGAAAGCCGAAGATCCAAGAAGGATAAAGAAGATCGTCCGGGTAGAGATTCACCGCGTTGCCTGATCCCAGCCTAGCCTGCCTTCTTTTTCTTTCTGCCGGCCTTGGCACGGTCATCCATCCCATTTTATTATCGATCCTGCATTCCCCTCCTTCCATAACTCTTCGGGCATTCCTCTCTTCGTCATTTCGCCCGTTGTACGGATTTCATCTCTCCTATTGCCTGTACACTCTTGTCGCGGGTTCGGACTGTCCGTGATCTCGACTGTTGAAAAAGCCCGGCATACCCTTATCGTTCTTTTTTCGCGGAGGCTCGCGCTCGGTGGCGCGCCGCAGACTTGACCGACGATGGGTCTCTCAAAAACTAACAGGATTCTCATCCTGTTGGTGATCGATACTGCATTTTTTCTCCTAGAATTGATTGCTGGTTGGTTATACAGTTCATCGCTATAACTATGACTCGCTGACCGTTGCATAGGTTATTCCGTCCATTCGTTGGCCCTTGTTGCGGATTCCTTTCACATGGTAAGCTTGGTCCCTGTCCCTCCCGTTCCTGGCTGCAAGAACCTCCCTCTAACCCACCCCTGATAGCTCAACGATGTCCTCTCCCTCCTTGTTGGTTTATGGGCCGTCAAAGTCGCCAACCGTGAAACAACCTCACAAGTGTACACATATGGGGTAAGCATCGACTCCGCCCTCGCAGCTGGGATCGCAACTGACCGCGGATCTCTCGCTAGTGGCAACGCGCGGAAACATTGGGTGCTCTGGTGAACGGTGTCTTCTTGTTGGCGTTGTGTGTCTCGATCTTCCTGGAGGCGGTTCAGCGCTTGTTCGAGCCTCAGGAAGTGAAGAATCCCCGGTTCGTCTGTATTGTCGGCTGCCTGGGTTTGCTGTCCAACATCGTTGGCCTGGTCCTATTTCACGATCACTCTCATGGCCATGGCCACAGCCACGGACATGGGGAGATCGAGGAGGCAATCAGCGATGAGGATACCGCGGAGCAGGGTTTCGCCTCCCCTCAGCCGACAACCCCGGCGAATAAGCGTAAATCCATTGCCAATGTGAGACCACCCATCCACACAACTTCCGGTGAAGTGTCTGACTCTTTCAATAAGCCCGAGGGTATCGCCGCATCCGAATCTTCAACCTCCCCTGCCCATCGGATCCGGTCCTCGGACGGACGGACGCGTGGTCGCCGATACAGCACCGCGACCAGCCGAGGATTCGGCGTGGAGGATATCCAAGTGCACCCGGCGACCTTGCGCCAGGAGATCATTGCCGCTAGCCGTAACAATCGTTTCATTGGCGAAGAATATGATTCGGACCTTGACCAGCCAGAGGACGAGTTGGATGGGGCAAAACCGACGGAGCGGTCTGGTCTGCTGCGGCACAAGGATCGGGCAGCCAACTATACCGATGAGAGCGATGACACGGTGCTGAGGTCGGAGGAAGCTACCGAGGATGATATCCACAAGTTTCACAACCACGCGCAGCCGAAACCGAAAGGGCACAAGCACGGGCACTCACACGACCTCAACATGCGTGGAGTCTTCCTGCATGTCATGGGTGATGCCCTGGGGAACATCGGGGTGATCGCCTCAGCGCTCATTATTTGGCTGACCGACTACTCGTGGCGATTCTACGTGGATCCGGGCATCTCGCTTGTGATCACCATGATCATCCTCGCCTCCGCCATTCCGCTCTGCAAAGCCGCATCGCGCATTCTTCTCCAAGCCGCGCCTTCCGGATTGAGCATCGACCACATCAAAGAAGACATCGAGGGATTGCCTGGTGTCCTTGGCTCACACCATCTGCACGTCTGGCAGTTAAGCGATACCAAGATTGTCGCTTCTATCCATATCCAAGTGGACACTGAGATCAAGGGAGAAGGGTCTGAGCGATACATGCGCCTGGCGAGACAAGTGCGCAATTGCCTCCATGCGTACGGAATTCATTCCTCCACGATCCAGCCCGAATTCGCCCCCGACAGCGACGCCGAAGACAACAACCCCGCTTCGTCTCACGTCAGCAACAGTGGTTCCCCGGCGCCCAAGCAGCCGAGCCGAGCCGCTAGCATCCGCGACGCGGACCCCCAGGCGTGCCTCCTGGAGTGTGGAGATGAATGCGCGCGCGGAGGACAATGCTGTCCTAAGAAACCGACTTAGTTCATACCCCTATCTTTTCCCCATTGATCGGTCGTTCCTCAAAGCACTATCTCGACTATCATCCCATTCATACCCCTCCTATTGTATTATTTAACCTATCTCTTCTGCGACATGATACGCGTTCTAGATGATGGCCTCCTAATAATGGTTCATGATGCATCGCATGACATTCGGTCGGTGGGCTTGGGCGTTACCTATTTTTTTTTGTTGGCATATGTAGTCCAATCCATTGCATGATTTCATAAATCAAACTCGTAAACGTTATCCTGTACGGAGTAAAGACGGACAGTATCCCATGTCACCCGTAGTGGACACCTCAGGCAACAGCCAAGATAACACCACGTGATTACTCCGCGGATCGCCTCAGGTGAATCCACTAGACTAGGGGCGGTCGATCTGCTCCCTGCCCAGCAGGGGCTGAACTATGCTGACGTTCCTGTTTTTCCCCGACAATTCCTCGCTCGTGCCAATCGTTTTGGAGCCTTGCTCCTGTCAACCACCCTCTCCTGCATGATACCTCCCTTGCGTTGTCTGTTCCGCTCCATTTGAACGCCGTCCGCAATGCCGCGGAGGCCATAGCAGCACCATGCCGAGTTACTCGTACCCTCACACCGCCGGTGCCAATCCGTACCACCCCCGCCACCGCGATTCCTTCACCGAGCCTACGACCTGGGAGTCTTTAAGAGAGATGCTTCCGCTGTGGGCTACGCAGTGGATTATTGATCTGCACGCTTATCGGACCCGATTTACTGCGACCGGAGAAGAAGGGGTTAGGAGTCGCGCGGCCATGAACTCGTCATTCCGGGCGCTGCCTGGTCGTTTGTTTACTATTGTGAATGCGCTGGTTGTTTTGTGGCTTTTCACGCTGTGGTGGGGTGAGCGGACGGTCTTCCAGGAGAGCCTTGAGTCGTGCGAGTGGGGGAATTGGGAGCAGTGGGTGAGTGATTCCTTGTCAGACGAATCTATACACCGATCTCGACTAACGGATGGTTTTTGGTCAGCCTCAAGATGCCACGCCGCACCATGTCGCCTTCGTCGCCGATCCGCAGCTCGTCGACCCGCATACCTACCCCGGCCGTCCGTGGCCTCTGTCGACGCTGACCGTCAAGTTCACGGACCAGTATCTTCGGCGGTCGTTTTCCTTGATTTCGAGTCGCCTGGGTCCCGACTCGGTGTTGTTCCTGGGTGATTTGTTCGATGGTGGTCGGGAGTGGGCTACGGAGACCACCTCCAGCCCCGAAGAGCGGTACAAGAAATACAAAGATGGGTTCTGGAAAGGTGAATTCCATCGCTTTATGCGCATCTTCGCCCCCCAGTTCAATGAGGGTGACGCGGTGTCCAAGGACCCGCTAGGTCACACGATGATGGCTAGTTTACCTGGCAACCATGATCTGGGGTTTGGCACTGGCGTTCAGGTACCCGTTCGCGATCGTTTCCAGGCCTTTTTTGGTAAGGGGAACCGTGTGGATGTCATTGGAAACCATACGTTCGTCTCCGTCGACAGTGTGTCTTTGAGTGCCATGGATCAGCCGGACCCGGTGACAGGGAGTATGGGTGTCGGATCGGGAGACGGCGAGCAACCGAACGCGCAGATCTGGAAAGAAGCGGAAGATTTCCTGAATAACATGGGCATTCATCGAGGCAGGGCAGAGGCAGAGAGATTGCGCCTGATGCGGAACGACAGCGAAGGCATCCTATTCGACCACCGCGTCGTTGATAACATCGCCACGCCCACCGTCCGTCAACACTCCAAGAAAGAGATTGCCGGCCTCCCCGCCATCCTCCTCACCCACGTTCCCTTATACCGCGAACCCGGCACACCCTGTGGGCCCTTGCGCGAGCACTACCCACCCTCCGAGCCGGGTCTAGAAAAAGACGACCGGAACGCACTCACCATCGCCGGCGGCTACCAGTACCAGAATGTGCTGACACCAGCAATCACAAAAGACATCGTCACCAAAGTCGGACCCAACCTCGTACACGTATACTCCGGCGACGACCACGACTACTGCGAAGTCGCACACCGCGAGTTCAGCGGATCGCCCAAAGAAATCACAGTCAAAAGTATCTCCTGGGCGATGGGCGTGCGCAAACCAGGAGTAGTCCTCACCAGCCTCTGGAACCCCATCGACCCCGAAACAGGGAAACCCACCACCGACCGCGCCGGTCCCGCAACAGTGCAAAACCATCTCTGTCTACTCCCCGACCAGCTCACCATCTTCATCAACTACGGCCTCCTCTTCGCATTCACCCTTATCATCCTCCTCCTCCGCGCCGCTATCCTCGGCCTCCGTCCGCCCCAATCGGACCCCAACTCCAGCCCCATCCTCCCCCTACAAGAACAACCTCCCCGCCAAACATTGCACTCCAAGTCACCCTCAACCAGTACATCCAGCTCGACCTTCGCCCCCGGCGGTCTAGCCAGCCGCGCCATGAACACCAACCCCCGCCTCTTTGATCAATCCTACAACGGCGACACTGACGCTGACACGTATAACTCCAAATGGAAAGGCGTGCACTCGTCGCGCCATCGCCAAAAACCGGGTCTGTCTCTTGTTAAGGATGTTATGGTTGAGTCGGTGATGGGCGTGGCGAAGATTGTTTTACCGGTTTATTTCTTTTTGATTTGGCGGTGGTAAATTTAGCGGGTTATATGCATATATGTATAGGACCGGATGGTCGGATTTAGATTAGTTATGTTTGCAGTGCATTGAATAATGGAGTTTTTGGTTCTGCTTGTTGGTTATAGATTTATGAATGTTGTTTCATCTTTGTTCTAGTATCTATGGATACAACCCCAATTCACATCGACCAACATGTAGGGTATTCTCAGGATGCATGGACATACAAAGTGAAGGAAGGAGTCCTCACACAGTAGAAAATCAATGATTGTTGGGCCAATGTAAAAGAATAAGTAACCAAACAAATAAATACATGGATTCATAAACAGCCCTAATCACTACACACTAAACTTGCTTTACCAGGAAGAGAACAATAACATGATACCTCCATTCTGCCCGTTAAGTCTAAATATCATATAACAGTGAGTCTGCTACTCTTAAGCCTCAAAAATCCCAGCTCGCCAGTCATTTCCCGACAAGCCCACCCTTGACAGGTCGCAGACCAGCCAATCTACCACACCTAAGCGCCGCCTGATTCGTAGCAAGTTGCATCCTTCTATTTACCACCTGGCCCAAATCTCAAAGAATTCCACCAGTTTAACCCCTGGTCCAAAGACAGTGTTGATTTGCTTCAATGAGTTAAGCCAGTCGATGTATGCGACTACCTCCATTGCATGGTTTCCGAGGGTGTCTGGGATCTTGTGGAGTGACTTGGATGTCTCAGTCAAGGCTGGAAGCCATCCTTGGTCTTTCGTCAATTATTTTCCCGCGGGCATCGGCATGTTTGTATGTTGTGTACTAAGCACGATTACTTACTGGTTTCATTCCACGCTCCGGGTCCATCCATGGGGCCTAATATCTGGGCCAGGCAGAGAATCGTTACTCTCAGTCCGGGTTCTCCCATTCTTGCTGCCCGGAACAAGATACCGCGAGATAGTTGTCTATAGCTGCGTTATGGTATATTAACCGCGGCGGGCAGACAGGCTGACTCCTTGCTTTCAAAGAAAAAGACTCAAAAGGATGTTGCTCAGTGCCAGCACGCGCAAGGAATCAAATGCACCAACGAAGATCTCATCATCATCATCATCTGTATATTCCCGATCCGATGATCCCAGACACGCACGCAGAGCCGCTCTTACCATCCCCTCGATACCGGCGAGACCAGTCGGAGCATCAACACCATCGGATTTACGAACCATATGCTCATCCTGGATCACCATTCTGAATGAGCGCTCCGTCGCTGGGTCTATGACACTGCCTGTGTCGGCACTCCACTCAATGTACTCCTGGTCTCTCGGTTCTTGCGTCAGGTAGTTGGGGGCGTTTAAGAACTCCGTACGGCCAATGCAGACTTGCAGGTTGGTGAGTTGTGCGGTTTGATCCCCGCAGGAGCGCGCCAGTGGCGCATCGCTGTAGGAAACGTAGTCAAGCGTGGACAGCGTCTCGAGGTCGTTTGGCATGTTACATATCTCTTCGATAACTGACGGTGTAAACGCCGCTGCCCTTGGCTTATTTTGCATGAATGCACTAATCAGGAGATCTGTCGAGGCTAGCTGCCTGGGGAGCAATATGGCCAAGGGGCCCTGGTGGCAGATGGAGTGGACTAGCACGGTAATTCTCATGATGTGGAAAAGGGGTAACATTGACACCGTCGGCTTTGGAGCGAATAGTTCGTCGTGCATGTTTAGGCGGCCGCTTGGAGCGGACATGGATGTGGTGGTGTTCATGGCTGCCAGTGCTCCGGTGTAGATCAAGATGGGCTTGGGAAGGCCGGTTGAGCCGCGAGGGTGTAGGATAAGTGCGATACCGTTCTCCCGAGGACGGCGAAAACTGTCGTACAATGCTGAGGAGGGTTCATGATGCAGAATATCGTCCAGCCATAGAATTTCAACGGGGTTAAGCTCTGCATGGGACATGGCTAGGGCTTGCATCTGTGCCGCAAATTGGGGAGTGTCAACGAATTCAGTGCACCGTGTCAAATCGAGGAAATGGACTTGCGCATCCTGGGGATTGTGCGGCGATGTAAGGTGGATCTTGCATCCCGTCTTCATTGCAAAGATAATGATGGGATATCGGACATAGCTGATTCCCATGTACGCCACTGTCTCGTTCTCTGCTGTAGGTCCATGTCGAGTTTCCATCCAGTGCAAAACGTAGTCAACTGCCCTGGCTAGTTGGGACCAGGTTATAGGGTTCCAGGCTAGAACACCTTTGTTTGATGCCCCGGCCCTCACCCACAGACCGTCTGACTGCTCAGCGGCCAGTTGGTTGACTACTTCGGTAAACGTCCTCATGATGGTGTTGCTTTTTAATGAAAGTGACTACGAGCAGGGAGGTTGCACATCGCGGATAAAATCGACCTTATAGCCTCCTCGAAAGTTCTTTCTACCTCCCCATGAGGCCGCCATCAGACGTCAATCTCATACTCTTCCAGGGTGTTGAACAGCTATCGGGTCGTCGGCCGACAGGTCAGCACAGTCCCGAGTGAGTGCTACAATATTTGCCAAATCTCACGGATTACAAACTGAATAGTCTTCCAACAATACCCCAGGTCAGCTCGCACATCACTGGTAGGCAGAACATGCGGTGCCCTAGCCGCTCGGGTGGATGCCCGACACTAGCGAACGCTATAATTTGGTGGATGTGACCCTGACAGGGGTGATTTGCAGTGAATTGGGGAGGACCTGGATTAGATAAGTAGATAACTAGCAGTCCAAAAGGATCATCTTCCCCGTATTCACGCCCCTCATTCAAGAACCTCATTATCAATCTCCCAGCTCTCTTCACGATGCCAATCACCAGCGATATCACCCTTGACGTCTCTAAGTTCCGCCCGGAGAACGCCACAGAGCCAACAAAGAAAGCCGCCGCACATCTGGAAATTGTTTTTAAGAGCTGGCCCCGATGGTGGGAGGTAGGCATCGAGAAATATCGTGAGATGCGGGAGCTCGGTAATTCGCCGCTGTCTAAGCCTGTCTATCTCCCGGGGGCTCTCGATGGCGTCCTTCCTTCACGCGACGCTGGCCGTGAGATCCCCATTCGCATCTACAAGCCTGATAACGGCCAGCCCAGTAAAGGCGTCTTCTTGCATTTTCATGGGGGCGGTATGGTGCTGGGAACGCACAAAGAGTGAGATTGCACCCACCCTTCTGGAGCCGGTGTGATTTCTCCTACGCAAATATTGATGCTCGTTTCTTGGACAGCTCCGATAGCATCCTCCGGGAATATGCCAACAAGTGCCAACTAACGGCCATCTCAGTGGGATACCGTCTAGCCCCAGACCACCCCTACCCGGCAGCGCCGAACGACGCCATCGATGCCGCCGAGTACATGGTAGACCACGCAGAGGAAGCATACGGCGCCCCTCTCCGCTTTCTAGGCGGGGAATCCGCCGGGGGCTATCTCAGCGCCCTATCAGGCCTACAACTAATGCGGTCACGGCCGTCTCACTACCTGTCGGGACTTATTCTGTCCTACGGCTCGTTTGATCTAGCTTTCGGGCTTCCCATGGTGACGGCTCTGGCTAAGCCTCTCTTTATAGATCCAGAAATCATGGAGCGCTTCATGGGCGCGTATGTGCCGGGCATGAGTACCGCCGAGCGCAGGAATCCTAGCGTGTCTCCGCTGTATGAGAATCTGCCGGCTCTGGTTGCGTCGTCTGCTAGATCGTTGCCCCCCGCGCTCTTCCTCTGCGGGACGGAGGATCCGTTGCTTGATGATACGATCTTGATGAGTGGCAAGTGGAGTATTGCTGGTGGCGAGGCTATAGTGAAGATCTACCCTGGTGCCATTCATGGGTTTACTCTGCTCCCGGGTCTGCCTGTGGCAGAGGAGGCTACTGCGGTGATTATGGAGTTCATGCAGGAGAAATTGAGCGGCTCGGCGTGATCAAGTACATTCCAGATATTTCTGGATAGAAGTATATATCAATCTGAGCAGTAGTACAATAATGGACCTTTTGGCTTCGCTTGCACCATCAGTAGTTACCTAAACATAATATACCTTTAACCCCTTGGTATCCTCATATCCCCAGTCCTGGGCTCCGAGTATGGCCCATATTTTACGAAAATCCGAAAGCGGGCCTAAACGCCCCCCGTGAGCACTTAAGCATTGTGCTATTGGCCGAGTCGTATTTGTGATCTGGCGGGGGGGACGCGCTGGGACCAAGTTCGGGGCATTATTCGTATCGATCTCATCCAACTGCATTCGGGTATATATGTTGGATTGAGGCTCCACCGGATTCCAGACGCCTCTGGTTAGGTATCAGGTCGGAGACAAAAAAACAGAAAGGGGTCCGTAGCGACTCCCGCAAATTGCGAATGACGTGGTTGGTACAGCTGAGTGAGACTGATACGGCCGCAATCTTCCAGCGACGTGCTGATCTGATAGGATGCTGTACCTCAATTCAGAAAAGCAACTGGTTATAACCTGATTGTGTGGCATTTGAGACAGAAACTCAGTTTAAGTAGAAATCTAGTTCTAGCTAGATACTCCTCCACCAGCCAAGTGGATGTGTACATGGAGAGTTGTTTTTAGTCCTCATTCACTAAACGAAACAGTGTAAGATAGGGTACGCCTGTCCACGTGCGGGTCAGAAACTCAAGTCTTGGCATAAGCGGCATAATCATCGCAGGCGTGTGAGGAAAGTTCAGGGACCGCAGCCAATCAGAGTATGAGAAGGCTCACCCCGTATGTATCCTTAAGCAGGAAGTTGCCAGTTGCCTGTGGTTGACGTCAGCTAGCGATACTAGCCCTAATCAGAAAGAGGCAGGATTGAAGCCTAAAAGCGCCATGATATCTTTTGTAGCCGAGTGGTAATTCTTACGATAGTTATGAGCCCGTTCAGCACTTCAATACATGCTTGATCCCCTAAAAGACCACAGAATCAAAATCAAATCCCAGGGTCCCAGTACAAGTAGACACGGAGTATAGTATTATCACATAATCGTAAAGAAATTTCTTGTAAAGCTGAGATAAGAGGTTGACTAATGTCGTCATATCTTTATGAAACCAAGATAGGAGACTCGTACATGTCAGATTAGAGCTATTAAAGATTCAGCGCTGGCCACGGTCTGATATGTGAAGATCTAGATATGACGGCTACAAGACCCAGAGGGATTTATTATCTTGTGGGTCCCAGTCATATCTGGACAGGCAAACATATCATCCGACATTTTCGATGCAGTTGTAAGAGGTTATAAGCCCGTTTCAAGAGGTCATAATATTGATTCTCCCTCGGAGTAGAGATCTGAATTCCTGTGGATTCGCCTAGTCAGTATCAGCTCATAGGGGACCAGATTTACTGCCAAGGCTAATTAGAGCAGTTCAAAATGGACTGGAGCTAGTATCAAATAGATAGAAAGACTGTGCCTGAGACTTCAAGTCTTCGGGCTTGAGGAGGACGTTGAAGATATCATTATATCCAGACTGGCAGAAATGTCGCCCTGCACATTTGGCGCAGTTGTAGGATATTACGCCGAAAATAAGATTACTTTTGAAGCACAACAATGTCATGATATCTTTTGTCGCCGGGTGGTAAGGTCAGACTGGATATGACTGATATCCCGACGGAAAATTTGGACATGATAGACTGCAATACCTGGGGTGATGTATTACACCGAGGAAATATTACTCATGAAGCCCAAAAGTGTCATGATGTGCTGGGGTTATCAGCAGTTCAAGCCTCCCTAAGTGCTGCTCAGCATTATGCTGTACTGGATGTTCTGATATCTTTTGTCGCCGAGTGTTAATTCCTGCAACACCACCTAACTGCACCACTTCAGCCAATGTACACACCTAAAATCATCGTGCATTCTTGCAACAAATGGCCGTTTTATCTACCTTCCAATGTATCCCTCATCCCTCTCGACCACCTCCCCCATTGAACCCGCCGTGCAGATATTCACAAACCCGTCTTATCTGAAACGCACCACCTGCGATCTCTGCCGAGAGCGCAAAGTACGTTGCGACAGGGGTAAACCCCAGTGCGGCCGGTGCAAGAGGATAGGCCAAACATGCACGTATCCGTCGGCCGGTGGGGAGGTGGCACGCATCAACTCGGAGCTCAGGAGTTTGCAATCACGCCTGCGTATATGTCCTGGCTACACTCTACTGGGGGCTCTACTAACTTCTCATAGGCCATGTAGAGTGCAAGTTGGAAAAGCAAGATATCTCTTTCCCGGTTGAATTCGTCGGGCCTGTTTTGAATTCCAGATTCAACGACAGCGCTCCCTACACGCCACAGCTTTCCAGCGACACTACGCTAGGAGATATCGTTATACCGTCTGATCTGGAATCGTGGTGCGAGTGTACCAACCTTTCTGATTTTGGATCTGGGGCAAACCGATACTGACATAGTTGACATGTGCTAGGAACCATGCCATGGACTTTGATTCCCTAGATGGGCTACTCGACCATGGTATCCCTACAGAAAGCAATCACCAGTGCGAACCTCTAGCCCCTGACGAGCTTCCATCCATTGCATCAGATCAGAATAACCCGGCAATATGGGCCGTAGAACGGCCTCATATAGACCAGTCAAATGTGCAGCAGAACGTGCATCCCGACCCGAGAAACGAGATGGTGGAGATATCACCAGCAACGATGGAACAACTGTATGTTTTTTCTTCCCCAGTTCACAATTGACATTGCTTTCTCACGATGTCAGCTTCCACAATTATCTCGACTTCGTTCACAGAAATGTGCCACTGATAGATACCACGGAATTCTTTCGTAACACCGCATATGCCACGCCACACCAGCATCAGGGATTGAAATATGCCGTCGCCATGGCGGGGGCGGGTTCACACAAAACAACATTACACCTAGAGCAACAGTGCTACGTTGCCGCAAGGTCCCATCTGGAAATGGCGGAGATGCACATGGGGGACTCTACTTTCTTGAACCTTGAGACAGTGCAGACATTGATCCTTATTGCACGCTACGAATTCACCCGGACCCATGCCACACGAGCCATACTGACCATGGCCCGACTCTTGCAGCTGGTTCGTCTGCTTGAACTCGATAACCTCGATCGTGGAGAACAACAGGGCGGTTCATCCCCACGTCCCGCAAAGATCGACGAGTCCCGAAATACGTTGTGGATGGCGTATGCCTTACATTGCCACTCGTCGACCATATTCCCGCGCTGCGAGCCTCTCGATGTAGAGACAGTATGCGCTACCTCAAGTCTCAAGCCTCCCCGTCAAACCTAGCCTAGCTGACGATACACAGATCCACACCGCACTACCCTGCGACTGGCAAGAGCGCAACGGGGATACCCCCCTAATCTTTCTCTCAAAAGCAGTCACACACCCTCAAAGCGACGCACTCTCCACGCTATCCATCTTCGTTCTCGCCATGCAGCTCGCCGCTTCCACCGAGAAACACCACCGCATGACCACAGCAAACGTGTCCGGCACAGGAGCCCCAGACTACAACTTCTGTCTCGCGCACGAACGCATAGAGAACACCATCAGCATGATCCTGTCCGCTCTATCCGGACGTTCGTTACAGACAGACCCCGACAAGGAACTGCGCGTGCTAGCGCTAGTCATCACCTTCGGCGCGCGCATAACCCTATACAAGGTCGCCATCGTAAACGCGCAAAAGGCGTCCTTCCTCGGCCCTGTGGTGGGAGAGAGCCAAAAGATAGGCGTCTTGGCTGCCAATGCTATGTGTGATGTGCTCCTGCAGGCGGAAGTGTTGGCTCCTGCTCATGTACGTATCTCGTACATTTCCACACACCAACTGATCTACTGTTGGTAAACTCGTTTTAAGTTGATACTGATAGTTTCGTTGTCTAGATCCCCATGTACCGCGCCACAAGCATGTTCATCATGCGTCCTCTATCTCTGGCAGCCGAGATCCAACTCTGTGTTCTGCAAAGTGCCGCGCAGGGCAGTGGGGTAGGCATCTATTATATGAACCGGGAGATCCGCCACTCGATGGAAGTGATATGTCGCGCCATGGAGGCCTTCCAGGAAGGGATGAGTCAGTATGATGATATCATCCGGGCGTGTCGGGAGTACTTGGATCGCACGCAGTTTGGGGACCGGTTTTCGACCGATTTTGGGAATAAAAGGAGGTCACTTAGGGCAGCGGCGGATGAGTGTTTTGAGTGAGGGTGGGAGGGTTGCTTATAGTTGCGTTTGGTAGAGGGATGTTTGTGGCTAGATTGAAGGGCCTGATTAAAGTTGGAATAGGTTTATATGATACGTGGAAATCCATTGTAATTCATTTAATTCTGGCTGTTGACTAGCGTTGACCAATCTCAAGAATACTGCCACCATATGTTATATAGATGAGCAAAGCATTCACCCATATCATTGGACTTCACTTCAACCCACGATCGACCCCCACGTGAGCTTGGTTGCCCTTGAAGACGCTCAATTGCACTACTCCATGAATGACCTGTTAGGGAATCTTCTCGAAAGAGAAAGACCACTCCAGTAAATACCACGGAATATAGTGTAGTTCATTCTTCCCGAAAATACGCCGACCCAGACCCTCCGCGACTCCACCCCAGGGCAAAGGACGATAACGAAAAGGACCAAGCTGAGCATGAGCAATACAAGCTCTACGACTACATATCGCTCAGCTTTCCCCCATGCTAAACTACCACAGCCCCTAACTATCGACGACGGCTCCGCTAACGAAGAACAAGGCTGTGCGCCGTCAGCTTTACAGTCATTATCCCGTTCCTACAAGCCCGCTCGCTCGGGGCATCGGCCGAAGACGCGGACGCTTATGATCAGATACGCTAGAGGACGGAGCATGGACATACTGTTACATGACGCGGGGTTTATGGAATGGAAGAGGTCATCAAATGCGCAGAAAAGTGTTAATGTCATATTGTGCAAATGTGGATATTCGTGCAGTCAATCTACGATTCGCTATGCAATGTAGTGTCGTCGTCTGAAGAGCACAGCCTAATTTGAATATCACCGTCGTAGGAGGGTGAGGTTGATGACTTTGGGAAATTGTTTCTCCTATTGCAACTGCTGGGTAAGGTCGATTGGGTGTATAGCGTTCATTCGTGATACCCAGTGGAGAGTCGGGGTATACACAAGGCCAAGCATAAACCGTCTCCTACTTGATTTTCTACTCAATCATCCACTCAATATTCCACTCGGGTATCTTGATTGACTCCCCACAATCTATATAATAATTCCAAATAAGAAACTGTAAACCAAAACCATCCATCATATTTTCCAATACATAACTATTCCTCCAAGAAAATCCAAGCCCAACAACCTCAATAAGACTCCGCAAACCGACTCCTCGCCCGCAGACTAGGTCCAAAACGCCACAAAGCCACGACACCCAGGAAACAGCCCGCTGTCAAGCCGCCTAGCACACTGCACCCCCGTCCAATCCCGAGATGCTGGAACAGAGGCTGCGAGAAGTGGATGGCTGTGGAGGCTAGGATGCTGCGGAAGAAGGCTGTACTCGATTAGCTGGTGCTTGTTGGCTTGTGCGGATGGATGATACTTACTGTTTGCTGCGAATAGACTGGCTGCGTAGCGGGGATAGCTGGTGGGGAGGTAGATGAATATGACGCTTGCGAGCTTTGTGAGCCTGTTAGTTTTGTTTTCACGGTGGATGGGTGTGGAAAGGAAAGGGGAAGGAGGGAGGGAGGGATAGCATACGACAAAAACACAAGATGAAAAAAGCACAATTCCGATAGTCGGCGCAATCCAGTGGATATCCGGCCGGGACGTCCACGCAAAGATGAATAACCCGGCTGGGGCTAGAGCAGCGGTGAAGACACCCGGTAGCAGGCGATGTTCGGGCATTCCGATCCCCACTCTCATGGTGTAGGGCTCGTAGACGAGCCATACGAGGAGGAGATAGGCGGATGCGCCGATTATGCAAGCTATGATGAGGCAGAGGAAGACGACGCCCATCATGCCCATGGAGAATCCGTGCATGTTGACGTATACCAGGGGGAAGGATTCGAAGAATGAGTACTATGGGTGGTTTGGGTTAGTGGGGGATGAAGTTGGGTGCTGGGGGTAATGACGTACGTAGATTCCGTAGATGAGAGCCGTGTACACGTTGATAAAGGCGATGGATGGGTCTTGGATCGTCACGCGGAAAGGCGTCGTGAGGTAGCGGGCTAGAATATGCATGATGTGGATCCCCTCCTGCTTGATCTCGGACTGGGAGCGTAGCTTCAAATTACCGGTGAGCATTCGCAGACGGCGAGCCCGGAGGAGGAGGATGGTCTCTGGGTTAGTCTCGGGGAGACAGAAGAACAGCAGCACGAAGGTAGCGCCGCTCAGTATCAGCAGCTCGTACATGGACCATCTCCAGGTGCTATTTGTCACGGAGAAGCCCGAGAGCAGAGGACCGAGGGCTGGGCCCCCGTAGGCGGCGCAGGTCCAGAAAGTTAGTGCGTATGGGATTTTGAGAAAACCGAAGATGTCGGCGGCTGATGCCCCGCCGGTTGCGAGAACGGGGCCACCGAGAAAACCTTGGAGGAATCGCAGGACGACTAGACCGGGGTAGTTTGATACGCGACTTGCGGCTACTGTCATTAGGATGAAGAGGAAGAAGGATGTCATGTAGGGGATGTTGCGGCCCACTCGAGGGACTTCGGATAGAGGGCTGAAGAACAGGGGACCGATTCCCTGGCTATAGTCAGTACGGCGAAAGAAAGGAATTCGTATACTATGGGAAATGACTGACATATCCAAGCACAAACATCGACATTACCAGAGTAGACGCCTGCGAAGAGATACCAAATATCTCGACAAACGTAGGTTGCGCCGGGCTGATGATAGCCGACCCGCTGTATACTGGAGATGGTCAACTCGTTACAACAGCCACTACAGCAGAATGCTAAACCGACATCCCCCAAAAAATCACAGCAGCAAGGGTCGAGATAGAGACAAACCAGCAAAAGTCAAAAGACAAATCTGAAAAAACACAAACGTCTTCCTCCCCGTCGACCAATTCATCGGATTCTCCGGATCATCCTCCCCATTCCACCCCACCAAACACTTATCGAACTCGCCGAACTCCGCCGGCGTGTACAGCGACAGCACCCCGTTCTGTATATACGCTACTCTGGGCGCACTGCATGGGTTCACGCCGTCTTGGCGCGTCACCCATGACCAGAGCTGTTTGGCGGGGGTGTGATAGCGCACGGTGGACATGATTGGGTAGGCTGTCCGCACTGGTTGAGTAACAAAGCGGATGAATATTTTCGGGAGCCATTAAGATGAATGGGGGTGGGATTATGGGGTTTTACTTTTTAATATGATATATGGGAAGTAAGTATAAATTGTAAATGGTGGTGGTGGGCCTGTCGGCCGCGTTTCCGAGGGTTCCTTCTTTGCTGATATTACTGCATGTCGGCCGAGGCCCCGAGACTGGTAGCCCTAAATATGCTCCTTGGAACGGAACGTATCCTCGCTGATGATAGTAGTCATGGGGTTATATCTCCCCGACAGTCTGCACCTGCTTGACTGAGAAAGATTCTCTTACCTTCGATCTCACTCAGCCGAGCAGCAGACAAATTCATCAACAATGATCGCATCCTAGTGACGTAGTTTGGGGTCCTCCCGAAGGACGTAAGCTTGCTCCAGGCAATTCCCATCTTAGTAGATTGTATCAGACTCCCTTGCTTGAACTTGTGAAAGGGTCCAGTGCCCAATGTAATGTCTACTGCAAGATGAGGAATGTGGGATCCCTGTCTGATGTCAGGTTGGCCGGGGGGGGGGGGGCGCAAATGTTCAACCTAAGGTAGGAGGCTGAGCGCACGAGCGGCCGAGCGGCCGATCAAGGTATGTATGCAAGTTAGTAAGTAAGATTAGGGTAAGCATGACTTTCTGTAAGGGGTGAATGAGGAGGCGCTGTGGAGTAAGGCTTGGATTGAGAGTATGGAGTCGCTGGCGTCAATTTTATGTAGTTTATGAAGCGTGACCAGTGACTGGTATATAAATATATAGTTAGCTGATTAAGTAGTTAGGTACGATTTTATGGTCTGCGTTCATAATCTCTGTTTTTTATTGATTCAGTTAGATTCACTCTGCCTGATTATTTTCCTTCTGTTCTTCTATTTTCTTCTTTGACTGTCTCCGTCCATTAATATCCCTCTTCCCATCAATCCTCGCTCAAATATGAACCACATCGCTGATCACCCCATATATCAACATCGATCCGATCATACAGACAGTAATACCATATCATATCAATCATATCAGAATCAAATACAATATAAATCATAATAATAAAATAAGTAAAATAGAATATACAGCTTTCTCATCACACATATCTCCCGATCTTCCATCTATCTAGCTTCCATTACATCAATAATCCGAATATGGTTCGTGCGGGAATCCATATCCGCTTGTTTGGGGAGCCCAGCTGGGTTGCATGCGGAGGCGGCGGTCTATTTCAATACACATGTTAGCTTTACAATTTTCCTCTCTATGATAGAAAGAACGACCGTGATAAGGAAAAAAGGAAATACCTTTCTCAAAATCCCTCCATCTCTTCATCGTAATCTTACTACTATCGAACTCGCCCTCACCCGCCTCATGGCCCTTATCCTTAGCGCCGGCCGTCTTGCGCGTGTCGCCCCAGCTGAAGTCGTCGAACTTCCAGAACGAGTACATCGGAAGGACGAAGTTCCAGATGGGTAGGGAGATGAGGTAGATGAGCATCCACAACACGTAGACGAGACGGTGCGCGGTCACGATGATAAGCACGCCCGGCAGGCCGAGGATCAGCGCCAGCAGGACAAGAGGAATGACCTGGACGGGCTTCTTGACGATGGACGAGACGACGACGTAGACGGTGAATGCGATGGCGGCCGGCAGGACGAGCGTTCCGACCAGCTCGATGAAGATCACGAACTGCATGCTGAAGCAGAAGGTACCGCAGAGGTCGCGCACGAGCACGAGCTCCATTAGATTGTGCACTGTACTGTTGATCCAGCGGCGGCGCTGGGAGAGTAGGACGAGGAATTTGTCGGGGACTTGCGTCTTGCAGACGGCTTGGGGGACGAAGATCTGCTTGCGCTTGGGGAAGGTCCGTAGCATTAGTGTAGAGAGGTAGCGATCTTCGCCGAGGAGGAGCAGGTTCTTCTTGTGGAGTGTGTCGACGACGTTCTCCGAGTAGTGCTCTACTACGTCTGGGTTTGCGAGGATCGGGACCCAGTAGTTTTGGCCGCCTTTGGGCGCTTTGATTCGGTACATGGAGAAACACCCGGGTAAGCAGGTGACACCGCCGAAGACAGATTCGAACGATTTCGACTGGTGGTGGGAGATGAAGTATCTACTATGGTTAGCATGGCTAATCCCTTCATGAAGAAAAGAAAAGGAAAGAAGAATAACATACTCGAACACTTGGATCATCGTCACCCAGCTATCCGTCTTGTTGGCAATCTTGGTCTCTCCGCAGAGACCCATGACTTCGGGATCCTTCACCATGGCCGAGATCATATGCGTCAGACTGTCGGGGAACACTTTCGTATCAGCATCCACCATGAGCACCACCTCATAAAAGTCCGGGGAAATTCCAGTCACATTCCACAGCCCCGTGAAAATGTCGAACTCGAGTTCCGTCATGCGCTCGTCGAACATCACTTTCTGCAGGAAGGACATCAGGATGATCTGGCTGTCGCGCTTGCCGCGGTTGCCCGGCTTCGACTGTTCGCGTTCCGGGGGCGTGCCGCACTTGACGATGATCATCATAGGCACACGCTGCTGCTTCTCGGGCGGGATGACCGAGGTCTCGCCGTAGTCGTAGAAGCCCGCGTACACCTTGGCCATGTTGTGTCGCTTGGCGCCCGTGGCGACCGCCACGTAAGAGTACGGCTGCACCTGGTCCGGGGCTACGAGGTGGTCCCGCATCATGCGGATGACGATCTCGGGTGTGGAGAACTCTTCGCCCTTGCCCTTGATGATGCCGTCGCAGATGACGACGATGGTCTTGTGGCTGTTGGGGTAGTCCGTCATAGCCACCGAGTCGAGCGTCGACCGGATGCCGTCCTCTCCCTCCGAGTAGCAGGTAACCAGGCACAGTGCATGCGCGAGGGGGTATCCGTAGGGCTGCCACTCGGGCGGCGGCTGCGGTACTACCAGCTCGTGGACCTCCCCGGCCGAGCCCGAGCCATCAGGATCGCTCGGGTGGTGCGGCGGCCCCAGGCTGGTGCGGCTGCCGGCTGGGTTCGGGCTCAGTGTGCCGCCGCTACCGGTGTGGCTCTGCTTGTAGATGGAGGTCGATCCGGTGGGCGCCAGGCGGGCGGTGGAGTTCTGACTCGCCATGGTGACGTACTGGGGTCGCTGCTTGCCGCCGTTGCCGACGGTGTAGGGGCTGGAGAAGCGGGAGGTCGTGGGCAGGAAGCTGGCGCGTTTGTTGGAGAGCGCCGGGTCGGTCATGCGCGGCCCCGGCCGGTAGATGTCGTTGGACCAGTCCTCGATCTGCTGCTGACGCGATTTGGAGTCGGGCCCCATGCTCGTCCGCTGGGCGGCGAAGCGCGGCGCGAGGAACCACTGGAACAGGAGCGCAAAACCGAACTTGACGACGACGATGGAGAGGATGAAGACAAGGGAGATGTAGAGGACGACCTTGGAGGCGATGCAGCCGACGGTGTCGGTGTCGATTGTGCCCACTTTGAGGATCTGGGACAGGCACTTGCCCAGCTTCTTTTCGGCGCCAGTCTGCAGGTAGTACGTGAGGTCGACGCCACGCACGGCGGGGTTCTCGCGGATCTCGTCGAACTTGGCGGGGTAGCTAACCTGCGACGGGTCGAGCCAGCGCAGGAGGTCGAGGTCCAGCACGTTGCCCGAGTAGATGGCCAGATTCCGGCTCTTGTTCCGGGTGTCTTCCCACGTGAAGTAAACATCGCCGGAGCTAGACAGGCCGTAGAAGCTGCGGCGCGCGTCGCCAGAGGTGTGGCAGGCCCAGCCGTTGTAGTGCTCGGAGGCGGTGCGATTGGGCGAGGTCGAGCCATCCTGGTTGAAGGGGGTGCAGGGGAAGTACCAGGCGAGGTCCCCGGCGCTGTTGGTGGGGATGTCCGAGTCCTCGGCGCGGGTGATGAGGCCCTTGCAGGCGCCGTTGACTTGCTGGAAGAAGAAGCTGCCGTCCTGACCGCCGTACTTGTGGGGGAGGTCGTAGAGAACATTGGTGCCCTTCGGGATGCCGGCGGCGGCGTCGTGAGTGGACTTGGAGAGGTCGTAGGCCTGGCCGTGGAAGATCATGTAGCCGCTGGAGACCTGGTTGATCTTCAGGCGGATTGGGGGCGTGCCGCAGACGGCGGCAGTGAAGCCGAAGGTGAGGAAGCCAACGAAGGCGGCGATCATAAGGATGATGCTGATGAGACCGATCTTCTCCCGCCAAGCGCTGCGCTGGGCCTTCTGGGGCATGCCGAAGCAGCGGAGGATGAAATCGGGAGCCCAGAAGGTGAGGACGGCGCAGTAGGTGGTCCAGAGACTGGGCGGGCGCACCTGTTCCATGGTCCGCTGACGCCGGCGCTCCTCGGCGGAGAGCTTCTTGGCGATGCGACGCGAGCCCCGTTTCTTCTTGGAGTGACGCCGACTGGGGGCGCGCTCCATGGGCTTGTTGACGTTGCCATGGGCGCCATACAGGGCGTCGCGCTCCCCGGCGGCTTTGTCCTCGAGACTGCGGGAGCTGTTGGTCTCCAGCTCGGGGTCCTCGACTGCGGGCATGTTCCCGGTGGCGGAAGGATAGGTGGGCATATGCTGGGAGCGTTGGCGGTAGTGGTAGTTGGGGTGGTCCGGGTCGATGCGATTGCGCTCGGGTTTGACCATACTGCGCTTGCGCCGCAGGTCGGCGGCCGCATCCATGCGCTCCTCATCCGTGTCTCGTTTTCGGTGGCCGCTGTGCGAACGATGATGGCGGTGGTGGTGATGGCGATGGCGATGGGTCGTCGGGCTCGCGAGGGACTCGTCCTGGGAGGGTTGGGATTCCCGACGCCGTCTGCGGGATGGTTCGCGAAACGCGGAATGTGTCTCTTCGCGGCGGGGGGACACCTTACCCGGCCGTTGGGGCAGCGACATGGTCGCGATGCGATCTGACTGTCTGTTCGGACGAGCTGTGGGGGGGAGGGGGCGGAGGGTGAGAGATCCGTCCGGTCAGGGCGATCGTAGCATCCAGAGTCGTTCGGGATTCGTGCGATGCATGCGACGTCAAGGTGGATCGCTCAGGTCGACCGCTGGTCGCCGTCCGATGCGACAGCGATCGAGGATGGCAGACCCAGGGCGATCGAATGGAAGATGGAGACGACGGCGATCTCGAAGCGGATGAGAGATAGGGTTTTGATGGTGGATATGTGGTGGTTCACAGAGCGAGTGAAGAGAAGAAAAAAAAGATAAAATTAGAATAAAATAAAATAAAAACAGGTAAAGTCAAAACGAATAAAATAAAAGCAAAAAAAATAGGAAGAAGGAGAAGCAGGAGAAGGAGGATGGCGATGGAGATCAGGCGAGACCCGAGCCGAGGAGGAGTCTAGTCAAGAGAGGAATGGTTTGAATCTAGCCAGAGGACCGAAACAGAGGACCGAAACAGAGGGTGACAGGATACAAACAAATGTAAATAATAGTAAATACAGCGCTACGGGATGCTAAAGCAGTCTAGTCCCGACGGAGGGTTGGACAGGGAAGAACCCACCAGTCAGGATGTGTGTGTGGAGGAAGGTTTCATGCCGGGAAGATAGGAGAGAAACAAGTGCATTTGAAAGAAGAAAGAAGAAAGAAGAAAGACAGAAAGGAAAAGTGGGGGATGAAAGTACTTGACTAGTAACTAGGTAGAGAGAGAGAGATAAACAGACAGGCAACAGATGAGACAGGAGGATCACGGGATGGACTGATGAAATGATCTTAGATGCTTTTATTAGGATGCATAGATTGGGATAAATCAAGAGAAATTGTACCTACATGACAGTACTGTAGGTACAGACCAAGACTAGGGTCACAAGTATACAAACACTTAACGTCGCCTGGGGCAATCACTCCATTGATGGTCAGTGTGAGGGGAGGTCGATGTTTACCCTAGCCAAGAATGGTTAGACTGCCTCTATTTGATTGGTTGGAACATCCACTGTCTCAGGTCCCCTCTTTCCCTTTCACTGCACCTCTGTCACTCTGATCTTTCACTGAACTCTCACTTGGAACCTGAGTGGGCATAGCTTTAGTGAAGGGAAACTGAGCTAACCATACTGGTTACTGTAGATTGTATCATACTATGTTTGGACCTACTCAGAGACTACCTAAAAAAGAGAAAATGATAATTAGGTATATCATGTCTACAATATAGATTGATAAGGTAGTTGTCATGCACCTCAGTCCTCAGACCTATCTGCCTGAGGCTACCATGTAGAACAGACTGTGAACCGAAGGGGGATATCGAGATCGCTGCCGCCCAGGTCCCGCCTCCGCGTATTAGCGAGAATTTTCTGGCTCCTGTTAATGATGTGTGTAAGGATTTTTTTATCATGGGAATCTAACTAATGTTCTCCAGACAACCAACAAAAGATGCCAAGAATGGACGATGGAGTATATCCGACACCTGGTGCGCAAAGGCCTTATAGATGCAAGCGCGGTGGAGATCGTCCAGTCCAACCGAGACCCACCAGGCCATGGGATTGGTTTGCAACCTGCAGGGAGACATCAACCTGGGTTGTGTCAAGGTATACTTACTTTTTTAACTTTACCATTATTATTGCAGCCTACTGAGCTAGCTATTAATACCATTATGAGTACTACGTTTGAACGGCCCCAATAGCCGTAGTATATTCATTAAAGACATCGAATTCTTGCGTCCGCGGTTCTAGAAACCGATCCACCCAATCCCTCCACCACTCGCTCTCATACCAGCACGTATAAAGCGGTCTTTATATATTTTAGATAGAGGAAGCCGGGCCTGCGGTATATTGGAAAACCAGTCGTTGAATTCTGCTATGCTGTCGAAGGGGCCGGCTTCCGGCAATAAATGGGAGACATAGTCTAGAAGTCGCTGCTGATCAAACGAACCTAGAGAAGTCCTGTTAAATCATCCTACAACGAACAATATAGGTCTCGGCTAACTCTTGGACGTACCAATGTACTGGTCTGAAGTGTCTTGTTCAAGCTGGCGTAAATTGTCAATGATTTGACATAGCTGAAATAAGTGCACGTTTACTTAGGTCACTCCGCCCATCCCACGCACCCAGCAACATCTGCCCTTGTATCCGCTCCATGTAGATAAACACGTAGTTGCCGCAATCAACGCGCCATCCAAACACCTCCGGAACGGGGACCCTCCCCTGGAAGGTCTGCTGAATGAACCGCAGACACTGCGCCTCTGCGACCTTGAAGCAAGGACCGAAATTGACGAACAAGTCAAGATGGTCGAATACGAGAAACCGGGGCTGAGGACCTCTAGGCGCGTCGTGAGATCGAGCCCTTACTTCTACTAGGGTGGGGAGGTGTCGGTTGGGAAGGCCGAAAAAAGAGGAGCCTGGATAGTCTTTCTCTCGTTGGTCTACGGGATGTGGACGTATTGTGGCTCTTGAGTAGGACATTGTGGAGTGGGTTGTGGTGTGTTACTGGACGGTGGATGTTGTTTGAGGAATTGGTTTTATGCAAGTGCTTGAATTGCCTGGGCCTCTTTGATGATGGTGTTGGGTTGTGGAATGTAGCAGTACTGCTGTAATTTTGATCCGGGAAGGATTGAGAAGATCCATTGATCCCATTTCTGTAGATACATGCTGACTCGGATTGATTATAGACTCTAGATCTTGAACTGATGAAGATATTAATTTATAGAATGTACAGTGTTGGAATAGATGAACAGATTGATCAATACATTTTGATAAGATAAGGCACAGAATGGGGGAGGGACTACAGGCATCATAGAATAAACCCCGGCTAAGAACACTACTAAAACAGCCCAATACGATTAATATAGAAGAAAAAAACTCTGCAGGTCAGGTGGTGCATAACTGCAATACACCAAGATGGAAATAGATTGAGGGCGGGCGCCGTGTCTCGTCCGGCCGTCATTTCGCCGGGCTCGAGACCCGCCACGATGGAGTTCGGAAGAAAGGGGAATTTCCTGCATATTCGGTATGATATGGTGTGATCCGTTTGATAGAGTCAAATAAGAAAACACCCCAACATCAATTCCTCGATGGTCTAACGGTCATGATTTCCGCTTGTCATGGCTTCGTCCTTACAAGCGCGGGAGACCTGGGTTCGACTCCCAGTCGGGGAGATTCTTTTTTATATTTTTACTTTCTGTACTGAGTTTACTTTCCATACTAAAGCAGTATCATGAACCATGGTTGATAGCTCGTGGGTCAACCCGACCGTGGCGGCCCTACGAACCACAACCCAATCTGACCATCCTTCCGGCACGGTTCTCCTGATCGTGTTATGAGGCTGAGAGATCCGCGATCGTATTTAACTTTATTGATATTTGTATGTATTCGTTGGACATACTCCGTATAACTGTATGATAAATCGTATCTTATAGAGACGGAAATATTTGGTCAGGTTCGGTCCGAGTTGCCTGATCAGACAAGGTGAGACATCGGGTGGACAGCCTACCGGATTAGGAGGGAGGCAGATACTTTGGTTCAAGTCCCTCTCGTTAGTTCGTGATTCTTGAGACATTCCGAAGTGGCTGTGGTGTATTTTTCTTACTACCTGAGGGGAGTCTGGTCAGCTCGTGTTGGACAACACATTCATCCCAGGCGTCTGACGCCCGGGACATGGGTCCACCCGGATCTGGGGATCAGGCATGAGGGTTCCTTGACTCCATGTCGTTCCAGGATGCTATAATTATCCTGGGAGAGGATTCGTTCCGCTCGGTTGATTCTATCCTTTATTCGTTGTTATAGAATTGTGTACCTAATATTGATCCTGGATGATCGGGACTAGGGACAGATCTATTATCACTAAGATAACAAGATAAATCAGATAAATCAAACAAAAGAGAAATAAGAATCAACTGATCTGCAGGCATTGACAGAATACAAATACAAATACAACCAAAAGAACGCGAAACTGATCTAACCCAACCTGATACGAGGCTCTCTCCCCCCTCCTCACTGGTCCGTCTGTCGCTCTCTTTGCCGCTCTCTTTTCTTTTCTTCTTTTCTTCCTTCTCTTCTCCATCTATCTGGCTTTCTATTTCTCTCTCTTTCATCCACTTCTCTCCTCTCTCTTCATCTCTCAACACCCAGGAAGAAGAAGAACGACTCAACAGATACCAGAGAAGAAGAAAGATAAGGCAAAATAACCATCACTCCAGACATCAACATCCCATTACAATCTTTCCCCGGTGGAACCCCGGATTCCAGTCGATACCACTTCCAATCCAATCTCGATTCCAATTTCAACTTCAATTACACTCTCAAAAGTCAATTCCATCTTCTGCTTCATTTCGACTGTTTCATATCCATCTCCCTTAATCCTGTCCATCCGCCGTTACACCAGGCGATCCATCGGCTCCCCCGCTTCCTCCATGTCCGCTTGACCCGTCCCCACCCCGCCATTACATCCTGGTCGGTCGCGGACTCTCGCCCGTAGACTGTCGCCGTGAGGGGTGTTGCAACATGGCCATTTCCATGGCCGCCAAATACTCCCATCCGCTACCCTCCCCGCCCCCCGTCTACAGCCGCTCCTCCCCCCCTCCGCCCATCACCCAGCGACGGCCCAGCATGATCGCCCGCAAGCCATTGCCCGCCCACGCCTCACTGCCCCAATCGCTAGCCACCTCCTCGGCCCCGCCCGCGGTCCAGCCGCCCCACGACCAGTACGATGTCCCGCCCATTCCCACCGCCGCCTTGGCCCGCCTGTCCGTGGTCGATCCGTCACCCTCGGTGCCGACTCATGGGTCCTTTCCCCCGCGTCGGGACTCCTACGCCGCACCGCGTCGCCCGGAGCCGGGTCACACCCGGGCCGGCAGTGGCTCCTGGTCCGCGGGAGAGCGCCAGGTCCCGGAAGAGACCGACAGTCTAACCAAGACCAGTGGTTCATCGTCGGAGGACCACGACGCGCAGAGTGGACACCAGAGCTCCTCCCGCGGCAGTCTCGACAGCATCCCCCAGGGCCCGGAGAACTTCGAGCCGCTGCATTACCACCACCGCCCCTACCGCAGCTCCCTGGGCGCCCCGCGGTCGACATCAACCACCGCCTTGGTCGAGCACGGCCTCCACGCCGGCAGCCGACGGCCCCGCCGGCCGCGCTCTGCCTACTCATTCGTGTCGGACGGTCAGGGCTCGCCGCACGCCTCCCCGTACCTGCACGCGCGCAATGCGTCGCGGAACTCGACGGCGTCCCCCGACGTTCGGCCCCTGTCCTTCGTCGACCTCCTCCACACCTCCTACCCGCAGCCCGGGCCCACGGTGCCGTCGGGCAACCACGCCCACCTCCGGGCCTCGGTCGGCAACCATGCCTCCCTGCTCACCCACCAGCAGACCTTTGAGATGTACCGCGCCAACGTCAAGAAGACCGACGACCCAGCCGTGCAGTACGACTTTGCCGTCTTCATGGTCAACGCCACACTCGAGACCCCCGCGGGCCAGTCCCCGGGCGATGGGGCCGCGGCGATCACTCGCCTGAACCTCCTCAAGGAAGCACGGTCCATCCTGCAGCGGCTGGCGGACCGCAGCTACCCGTTCGCGCAGTACTACCTGGCCGACGGGTACGCGTCGGGCCTCTTCCACAAAGGCAAGGAGGACTACGACCGCGCATTCCCCCTCTTCGTCGCGGCCAGCAAGCACGGCCACGTCGAAGCGTGCTACCGCACAGCGCTCTGCTACGAGTTCGGCTGGGGCACGCGAGTCGACGCGGCGCGCGCGCAGCAGTTCTACCGCCAGGCGGCGTCGAAGAACCACCCAGGCGCACTGCTGCGCATGGCCAAGGCGTGCCTCGCAGGCGACATGGGACTGGGCAAGCGGTACCGGGAGGGAATCAAGTGGATGAAGCGGGCGGCGGAGTCGTCCGACGAACAGTACCCAGCGGCACCGTACGAGCTGGGCGTGCTCCACGAGCAAGGGTACGGCGACGACGTGTTCGCAGACCCAGCCTACGCCGCACAGCTATTCACCAAGTCGGCGGACCTGGGCCACGCCGAGGCCAGTTACCGACTCGGCGACGCATACGAGCACGGGACGCTGGACTGCCCACGCGACCCGGCGCTGAGCATCCACTTCTACACGGGTGCCGCGCAGGGGGGCACGCGCTGGCGATGATGGCGCTGTGCGCGTGGTACTTAGTGGGGGCGGAGCCTGTACTAGAGAAGGACGAGAACGAAGCGTATGAGTGGGCGAAGCGGGCGGCCAATTTAGGTATGTCATTCCTCATTTACCCCTTCTTTGTCCACGATCCTTCTGGAGTAAAGAGAACTAATAAATAAAAGGCCTCGCCAAAGCAGAATACGCCATCGGCTACTTCACCGAAATGGGCATCGGATGTCGGCGCGACCCCCTCGAAGCTAACGTGTGGTACGTGAAAGCGGCGGACCAGGGGGACGAGCGGGCGACGCATCGCATCGCGGCGATCCGAGCGGCGGCGGAGGGAATCAGCCCGGGGGAGGCCGCGGTGTATGGCAAGGGGAAGGGGAAGGGGAAGCGATTTGGTATTTTCTAATTCTTCCACTATGAGGTAGCTAATAATCGTAATGTTGTATTTCCTGTTGTATTGGCGTTGTATATAGTGCATCTGTTATACCATGGCTTTACTGAGTTTACTCTGCAGTAGTAGTGATAGTTAGAATCTAGTCCAGTAGCTCGACATGGATAGATAGGAGAAGATAGTCCTACCCGTACCCGTACCCCATACCTCAGGTACAGTACCTAGTTCGAGCCTAAGAGCCCAGAAGGAGCAGCAGCAGTAAAAAATGAAAGATAGCCAGTTTGCTACCTACCTACCTACCTTAGCATCCCTACCAGGGAGAGCTTCCTACCCAGGCACAACCAATAAGCAAACCCGGCTCCAAAAGCAAGCACAAGAATAGAAACGCCCAGCGCCGATCCGATCTCCACTGCAGCTGTGTCATTGGCTCTCGCTTGGGGGAGGTTTCTGGGATTGTTGTATGATCTTCATTATATATTATATTAAATCGATCATGTTATATTACATTAAAGCGATCGATAGGGGTATGGATATACTTTGTACGGAGTAGGGGTTGATATATTATATTGTATTGTATTGTGTTGAAGGGGTGGATGGTTGTTTGTTTTGTAGGGATATCATATAATATTGTAATCGATGGATAGAAGATGGATGATAAAAGATCAAAGATAGAAGACGATGATTAAAAGTGGAGTAACCCCCTCCAAATCTATCCAGCATGTCCTCCATCCCGTAAGCCAAAAGAAAAAACCAACCAAAATAAATCATAAATAGTAAAACCAAAATAAATAAAAATAAAGGGGAAAAGCGACGATCGCAACCCACTTCGTTCCAACCAGACCAAGTCAGTCCATGCTGGCTCGGGCATAAACCAGTCCATCCCTTTCTCTTTTCTTTTCTGTCCGATTCTTTCCTCCTTCGCTCTTTATCTCTCGTTTCTCCTCTTTGCTGGGACTTATCTGTCTATCTTCTATTGATTATCCATCCCTTGAGTGACACTCCACCACGTTCATTCTTTCTTCTTTACTTTACTAAGGTATGTCTATTCCATCATTCTCCTTTCTGTCATTCTATCATTCTATCATATATATGGAATGTCATTCTATACTTACACTTATCTAACCGAAACCACTAATCAATTTAATAAACCCCAAGCTAATCAATCACCCATCTCCATCTATCTAGATCTTCTCTCCTTAACCACAACACAACACAACAACACTCACCACCATCCATTCCTTACCACCACCACACAACCACCAATACCCAATCACTTCAAACAACACCACCAATAGATCAAAATGCAATTCCTCCTCCCCCTCACCACCCTCCTCCTCACCCTCTCGACCGGCGCCACCGCCCGTCCCTCCGTCGTCGAGAACCTCGTCGCCAAGGATGTGAATAAGAGCTGCTTTGGTGTATGTTTACTTTCCCTTCCTTCTTTTTCCTCTTCCCTTCTATATACATGTATATCTATAAATGATGAAAGAGTAAGGGTGAAGCTAACAAGAATGAAATGTATAGCGCGCCGTCACCTGCGAGATCATCGCGGGCATCGATCCCTGCTGTGCGCCGTTGGAGTGCAAGAACTCGGTATGCCCCCCCTCTCCCTCTTCCCATCTCTCTATTGTCTATCTTTATAGATGTAGATAGATACATTATATATGTATGTTGATACTAACGATAAACAGACCTGCGTTTAAACTGTTCGAATAAGTGAGCCGTGAGATGGCGGCGGACTGGTCAGGAACGGTAGGGTGGACAGTATAGGGTGGACAAGATAGGAGATAGGAAATATTAATTGACTTGGATTGTTGTCGCTACTTGGACTTGGTTATAATATACCTTATATACCTTTTGGCTAGTTGAGTATGATACTGGTGTGATTGTCTTTGTGGATATGTTGGTTTATGTAGGAGTTCCGAGTAGATGGGTCGTGACTATGGTTACAGGTAGAGGAATGAGTAAAGTACAGGTTGTTATTAATCACTTGGCTATATGTACAGAGTACTGATTAGATAACTACCGCTGTACAGGTAAAGAGTCACTACATACATACTCGTAGCCCGTAGAATTAACGCGTATAAACAATAAAACGATGCTCCCAAACAAGTTATCTACCAGAATAAATATAAATCACGATATGATCAAAAGAACGGCTTCCGCCGACGAAAGGAAACTTCCGACTTCTGAAACTGTAGCTCCATCAGAGCAGTCTATTTGAACTGCTCGATGCAGCCCCAGTAGCGCTCGACGTCAAACTCGCCGGCGTCCTTCCACAGGTCGTTGGAGTAGGAGAAGAACACCGACTTCTTGCCGACGGCCTTGACCAGGGCGGAGATGGCGGCGGCCTGCTGCTCGGAACCGGGCACGGCCGCACCGTTGGAGTTACCCTGGCTGGGCCATCCGGTCTCCAGGTTGTACACGTCCTTGCCACCGCACAGATCCTCCAGGATCTTCACCTGGCCGGCGGCGAACTCACCGGCCTGCTCGGGGGTGACCTCGGCGTTGAAGAAGGGGTGGATGTTGGCGCCGACGACGTCGACGGCACCGCACATGGCCTCGCTGTTCTCCTGCCACACGTTGAGGGGCTCGGTGGTGGTGACGTCGCCGCTGTAGCCGGCCTTCTCGAAGGAAGCCTTGGAGGACTGGATGAAGCTGGCCAGCTCGGTGGCGCTGCAGAAGCCGTTCTGGATGGCCTCGTTACCGACGACGATCAGGGTGACGAGGTCCCACTGGGCCCACGAGGTGATGTCGGTGACCTGCTCCTTGGCGCCCTCGATGCCGGAGCCCTCGATGAAGACACCGATGATGAGCTTCATGCCGTTCTCCTTGGCGGCGGCGCCGATGTTCTCCAGGGAGGAGCAGTCGGTGGAGTAGACACGCAGGTGGGTGAAGCCCTTCTCGGCGATGTGGGAGACGTCCTTGCTGACCTCATCCTTGCCCTTGCAGCCACCGTCGTTGGAGTAGGGCGAGTAGGTCATACCCATGGGGCCGCTGGCGGGCTCGGTGGGCTCCGGGGTGGGGGACTTGGTGCTGGAGGGGACCTTGGTGGTGCTGGCCGGGGCGGTGGTGGAGACCGCCGGGGCGGTGGTGGACGGGGCCGGCGCGGTGGTGGGCAGGTTGTCCTCCCAGGGGCAGACGTAGGTGAAGTCAGTGCGGGTGGCGGTCACGGTCTGCTCGGTCTGGGTGTAGGTGCCCGGGGTGATGGTGGCCGGGGTGGGGTAGACCATCACGGTGCTGGAGGGCACGTAGGTGGTGGTCGGGGCGATGGTGTAGGTGCCACCGCTGGGGCAGACGTAGGTGGTGGTCTCGATGACGCTGGTGACCGTGGTGCCGGAGGGCTTGACGGTGGCATAGGGGCAGGTGACCGTGGTGGCGGTCTCCACGACGGTGGTGACACCACCGAAGGTGTGGGTGCCGCTGGGCAGCTCGGTCGAGGTGGCGCCGCAGACGGTGTGGGTGTCAGTGACGGTCACGGTCTGGGCGGGGATGGTGTAGACACCGGTCGACGAGAAGCTGGTGACCCCGGGGGTGGGCAGGCTCGGGGCGGAGGTGGGCTCCGCGACGGGGGTCGACGTGGGGGGCGGCGCGGGGGCCTCGGAGGACGAGGGGGCCTTGGTGGGAGCCTTGGTGGAGAGCGAGGCCGTGACGGTCAAGGTGCTATAGCTGGTCGAGTGGAGGGTGGTGACGGCCTCCGAGGTGACGGTAGTCGGCTCCGGCTCGGGGGAGGGGGAGGGGGTCGGGGTCGGGGTCGAGATGGGGATCACTGTTGGTCAGCGGTCAGCTTGTTTCTACCGTCTGTCTTTGGAATGTAAGATATACATACAAGTCGGGGGACCCTCGACGGTGACGACCTCGGTGGTGCAACCACAGGTGGCTTCAGCACCCTCGGCTCCATGCAGGGCACGACGGGCATGGAAAGAGTCGTGACCATGACGCTTCATGTGCGACAAGTCGGCCAGTGCAGTACCGGCGACGGCGGCCGCGGTGGCCAGGAAAACAGCACCCTTCATGATGAGAGAGGCGGAAGATTAGAAGTAAAAGCAAAGAATGCCCGCTGAACGAGTGAAGCGGTGGTCAGTGAGAAGAATTAAAGAATGAAATTCACGGTGAGAAAAAGGGCGCGGGGGCCTCTTTTTTGATCTTGACTCTGGGGGGAGGCAAAAGGGAGTGTGAGAGAGAGAGAGAAAGAAAAGGAAAAAAGAGCGGGTGAGAGAGAAGAAGAAGAGAAGAAGAAGAAAATCAGGGGAAAGAAAGAGAGAAAGTCTGGCCAACAATGAGTGGAAAAGGAGGTGCCTCCATGCCTCAGTCCTCCACCGCTAGATCAGGGGTTGATCAGGCACGCAGGCCGGATGATTGGTGGAGTGCCTGATTTAGTACACTTTAGTGCATCTTAGTGCACCATTAGGGGCGGATAGGGTTTGGGGTGCCTGAGGATGGCACATTCCATTGGTCTGTCATGCTGTCCCTCATTTCCGATGTCTCCACTGCTCATTATTTGTTTACTCCATTGACTACACCTACTCGGGGCTAGAGAGGAGATAGTCCATTACTAGTCACCACAATAACCTGTTGATCTCCATCTCTTGAGTTGCCCATGATTATCCTGTCCAACTTATCATCAGGGTCTGGACTTTAGCACCGAGACTCATTACTTAGTATGAGTACCTAGGTAGGTAGAGTATTCTATACTACTTCAGGACTGTCTTCCATCGATTTCTCTATATAGTCAGGTGATAACGGGAAGTCAGCCTGGACTCCAGACTAACCTCATCCTGACTAGTTCTCTCTCGCTTCGAATCCTCTTTTCTTCGTATTCCAACGCTCAATCATCTCGCACCACATATCCTGCCAGGATGGCCAGCATGATTCATCACCTCCCTCCCAGGACACCTCACACCTCACCCTTCTACAACTCACAACTCACAACTCATCAGGTCTCCATCCTGCTTATCACTACTCCTCATCTTAACTGTCCAGATCCTCCACCCCATACCTCAATTTCCATCAACAAGTATCCCTCACCATCGCTAATCCCAGAACGGCCATCACCCCGGCGATCCAAGGGTCTCGACCCCGGTGATTCCTCCCGCCAAGATCTTGCCTCCCCTGTTCCAAGGCTTGGTACCAGTCCACCACCGTTCTTTGTTGTCCTAATCTCTTCGTGGAGGCTCAGCACGACGGTGACAACAGGCTAAAGCCCTCCAGACCGAGGCCTGTCCTGTAAATCCCAACTTTGAACCCACGCAGTGCCACCCAAAGGATCAATCCGTCTAACCGTCAGACCGTCAGACGCAGGGGTTCAGCTGGCAACAATCGTCGGACGGGTCCGTCGGGCGGGGCGGGTTCTGAATCTAGTTTGGTTCTCCTGACCGAATCCTTCGCGTGGTTTCCTCCAAGCTGTCTATTCTAGTCACAGACGGCTGCTAGTCACGGCTGGCTGAGACATGGTTAAATAGTCTGTCTAGTGCCTATAGAGGGCCATCGCGACTAGCCCGTCAACTCCAGACTATCTGCCATGGTCGGAGTCTTGTTCCTGCCGTTGTCCGTCAGCTTTTGTCAGCTTTCTCGACGGTCACCTGGAGCGATCCGGCCACGAGTGTTCAACCGTTAGGTCTATTATGCTAGACGTTGACATTACTGCGCTGTGACAGCCTACTCTCATTGATGTCGTACTAATATCTTCCAGCGGAACGTCACTACATCGATACCTACAGAGTACAGCGAATACGTACAGATAAGTGGGTGTACACCCATCCTATCGTGTTCTTCCATGCGACCTATCAATCTGAGGGCAGTCTGCGCAGTACGTAGGGCTGTTCCTTTCTGCCTGTTTGCGTGCGAGCAGACATTATAGATCTGGCTGATCACCACACAAAGCTTATACATCGACTACTATGGAGGCCAGCATCTATCTCCACATCTGGCTTGTGTTTTCGATAGACTACTAGAAGTAGAATATTCAACCCCTCAACAATACAGACCCTTATCTGAAGACACCCACGTGGTAGATACGGATGTATACTCCAACATCTGATATCCCATTTCACCTAGTAAAAAAGGTGCAAAACCAACACAAACCCACATCCAACATGATACAAACCACCTGCAGACGCACCTCGAAACGCCCACGCCCACGCCCACTTCTCCACTCCGCACGCCGTATCCATCCCATCTACCGTATGCAGTATGTATGTATGCACCCCTACGTACTTCAACCCAGTTTCACCACCGAAACATCCCTTGCATGGTTCGCGGCAGATCATGCACGATATAAAGTTATCGGGTTTAATATATGTTTATTTCTTGATTTAATTACTGTTTTGATTAATTCACGTGGCAGTTGTTCGCAGCTCGAACTCAATAACCCTATCTTTAGTTTTGAACGGTGTCTCCTAGCCGAGTTTCAGAATGAGTACTCGACCGTGGTCGATGTCGCTGTTATCTAACCATTTTTGTTTTTTTAGGTTGGAAGGTTGGAAGAATGGATCTTTGGTTTGGTTTAGTTATTTCTTACTCGTACTCAAGATGTAAGGTAAGTAGGTAGTATCCAGCAGAACTGAAGATGGACAGCACACGTGATGTGTGTGTATAACCATGATCGCACGGTAATATCACGTGATAGATCCATTGTATGCATCCCTCCAAACAACCACCGTCTTCACCATCACCTTCAGCGAATACCAACTATCCAGGTAATTATATACCCACCTACGTATGTATCACACTATCAAACAAGTATGATGCAAGGGCACACGGATACTGGAATTGGGAGGAACAGCCGAAGAAAAAGCAGTTCAAGGAAGAAATCAGGCCACCAGTCCGCAATCTGAATCACGAGGTTCACACCACGCCACTCTTTCATCATCTCTTTGACCATTACCACCACCACTTCGTCCTACTGGTACATACGAAAGAGTATAGTGTGTACATTATAGGTATAGTAAGGCTGCTAAATGTAATGCGATAAACATTATTGGTTATTTGCATGGATATTGTCTGATCGTCTGTGCTCTGTCCCTGTTGTATGGAATGGGGGTAGTTGGGTACGGACAGATCCGGTTCCTATCCTAGATTGGAATGGACAGAGATAGATGGACGATATGGGGCGGGTGAGTGAGGTGAGTCGGATTGGGGAGTGCCGTTCATGGCATGATTCTATCATATGCTGTATGACGGTTTGTATACACGATGTGTAGTAGAAGGGATGGATGGTATATAAGTTGTGTGTAGACAGCGTACTCTCTTCTGAATATCATCAACAACAACATCAACTCAATATCATCCTTGATATCAAGATCATTACCTCTCTGGAAGAAAACTTCCATCAAACAACACACCCAACACTATCAACAATCAACCATCAACATCCCCAACTACAATCCAGTCAAGAAAAGATCACTGAAAAAAATGACAAAATCCACCCAAACCCGCCTCCAAAACGACTTTGGCGCTGACCTTTGGGTTCGCCAGTCGACTGTTCAAGGACGGGTATGTCTCTCTCCCTCCCTTCCTCCCTTTTTCTCTCTATACATACACATATGCTAACATATATCTGAATAGCACGCAACATCCGGCCGAGGCCTCTTCGCCGGCCTGCAAGACGTCAAACAATACAACGTGGAGAACGGATTCGCCGCTCGGGGGGAGGGCCACGGGACGGGGTTGGTAGGGTTTTTGTGGAGTCGGTTAGTCTATCTCTTCTTTCTTACTATTTACTTTACTTTACTTTGTCTTTCGTTTTCTTGTTTGAGGACGATGATGCTAACTATCATTGTTGTTGTAGTATAATGGGTGGTTCGTATCGGCCGCCGACGAATTAGACCGTACCTTTTTGTTTTCTTCTTTGGATGTTTTAGAGGCAGGAGATGGGTTGTTTTCTTCTTAGCCTGTTACCTACCTGCTGCTGTTGGATGTTAAATGATTAGATGTTTTGGTTGTTTGTTGGTTGTTTTATGATTAGCTGGAGCTGGGATACCATGTTTTTTGTTATTATATTTAATTTATATTATATAAGTTTTGCCTATACTCCTTGTACTGCGCATGATATTTACTACTTACTACTTACTACTCACTATCTACTTCTTATACTTCTTTACTTCTTTACTTCTTTACTTCTTTACTTCTTTACTTCTTTACTTCTTTACTTCTTTACTTCTTTACTTCTTTACTTCTTTACTTCTTTACTTCTTTACTTCTTTACTTCTTTACTTCTTTACTTCTTTACTTCTTTACTTCTTTACTTCTTTACTTCTTTATTTTTTTTTTTTTTACTTCTTTACTTCTTTACTTCTTTACTTCTTTACTTCTTTACTTCTTTACTTCTTTACTTCTTATACTGCTAATTCTATCTTTAGCTGTGAATACCAGTAGTACCTAGTCCATGATATAAGATGGATACTCCATGACCATTACTCCGGTCCTACTACAATGCATCATACAGATACAACCAAAAAAATATAACAGTCTAACAATATCCATGCTGTACAATATAAACTACCTAACAACCCAACACGCCATACCCATCTGCTAAACGCAGTCGAATCTACATAATAACATGCACAAATAAAAAAACAAAGCTTCAGCTTAAAGCCTAGCTTACTCCCAGCTGTTAATCTTCATCGTGCCGTTCTCCTGCAAGTTCTGGTGCATCTTGAAAGCCTGGAACAGCAGGTGCGGCTCATGCGCCATGCCCTTCTTCAGACACTCGAACTCGGCGCGGTCGAGGTAGTCCGTGAGGATGGGCTGGTAGTCGGGGTGAGCGCACTTCTTGATGATGACGCGGGCGCGCTCGCGCGGGGACAGGCCGCGCACGTCGGCCAGACCCTGCTCGGTGACGACGACGTCGAGGTCGTGCTCGGTCTGGTCGATGTGGGTGCAGAAGGGGACGATGCAGGAGACGCCCGTGGGGTCGGTCTTGGAGGGCCGGGTGGAGGGCGTGTGCATGATGCTGTACTTGGAGTTGCGGAGGAAGTCGGCGGAGCCGCCGAGGCCGTTGAGCATGCGCGAGCCGAGCACGCAGGTGGAGTTGGCGTGCGCGTACATGTCGACTTCGACGGGCGTGTTCATGCCGATGCAGCCCAGCCGGCGGATGATCTCGGGGGAGTTGGAGATGGACTGGCTGCGGAGGAGGAGCTTGCCGGCGTAGCGCTCCCAGTTGTCGTAGAAGCGCTTGAAGCCGTCGGGGGAGAAGCGGATGGAGGTGGCGGTGGCGAAGTCGAGGTTGCCGCTGTCGAAGAGGTCGAGGAAGGAGTCTTGCAGGACTTCGGTCCAGACTTTGAGGTTGTGGAAATCGGCGCCGCCCTTGGAGAGGCCGCCGATGACGGCGTTGGCGATGTTGCCGATGCCGGACTGGATGGGGAGGAGGTTCTTGGGGAGACGGCCCTGGTCGACTTCGTGCTTGAGGAACTCGATGAGGTTGGTCGCGATGGCCTGCGAGCCCTCGTCTTCGGGGGCGTTGGGGGCCGTCTGGTCGGGGTAGTCGGATTCGACGATCGCGACGACCTTTTCGGAGTCGATGGGGATGTAGGGCGTGCCGATGCGGTCTTCGGGCGCCATGATCAGGTAGGGCTTGGTCATCGGGGGGGCCTCGTAGGTGGTGATGTCGTGGAGGCCTTCGAAGGACGGGCTGGCCGTGTTGACTTCGATGATGACCTTGTCGGCCATCTTGATCAGCTCGGGCGAGGCGCCGACGGAAGCGCCGGGAATGATGCCGCCGTCTTCCGTGATGGCGGAGGCTTCGATGACGGCCACGTCGAGCTTGTTGTTGGGCTTGTTCAGAGTGTACCAGCCCTTTTCACCGGTTAGTACCTTATCCCAAACATAGAAGGAAGTGGGGGGCGTACATAGGTCAAATCCTGAGGAAACATGCTCAGATGCTTATCGAAGAACTTGATCTGGCCATTGTTGATACCCTTGGAGATCTCCTTGCCGACCTGATGCGGGCTGCGACGCTCGATCATGTTCAGACGAGCCCAGCGGTTCTCGGTCTCCGCGCCGGACGAGGCACCCACGAAGAGGGTGTACTTCAGCTGGCCCTCCAGGTTGTTCTTCTCGACGTGGTCAGCCAGGGCGGTAGGGACTTTCCTATCGTATTATTAATACTACATATTCTATGACATCCACAATAAGAAGGAAACATACTTGGGATACCCAACACCCGTGAATCCGGACCAGCCGATATAAGTGCCATTGGGAAAGAGATGGACGAGGTCCTCGGCCTTGGCCAACTTGCTCAGGTAGGAGGGTCGGCGGACACGACTTCTCAAGAGAGCGGAGGCGGACATGATGAACGACACCGGGGGTAAGAGGGGAGAGTTTCTAGGAAGGAAGAAAAAAAAGAGTGGAGGAAGAAAAGAGAGAAGGGAGTCTGGGGATAGAAATAGTCTAGGAACCTTGGGACGAGAGGCGCGATTAGGGCTAACAACCCCACAATCTTCGGGGAAAGGGAGTACGTAGTACGGAAGTAATGGTAAGATGTATGATGGTGTAATTATCTTTTTATTTATTATTTAATTTATTATTCTTCTGTTGGTAGGGTTGATATCATTGATCCTAGTCTACACCTACTGTAGTATAGACTAGACATCCATAATCATATCAAGTCACACAATCAATTCCTCCCTCAAAACAAAACAATCCAAAATGAACCATCTGAAACAAACCAGACCATCCCCAATTTTTTCATCACGAGGAGAGAAAAAAAAAAAAAAAAAAAGGAAGAATCAACGGTGAAGAACCTTCCGTCCCCTCAATCTGGCACGAATTTCCATCATTACCCAAACGGGCCAGAAAAGTGGAACTGACGTCAGACTCTTCGGCCTTAACTCGGCCTTTTTCTCCCTTCTTATATTTTCTTTAGTCAACGTCACCCTGACCTCAACCACAACCCATCCGGGACAGCCGGTCGAATTGTACTTATTGGGTAGTATGATGGAGGTCGGTTGTAGATTCCGTTCTATTATTTCATCTTTATCATAATAATATCTCTCACTCTAAGATGGTATAATAAAGAATATGAACACCCCAGATAGAGGAAGATCCAAGATCGAGGATCAAACCGACTAACTAACTATTAACTAAACTAAAGCCGGGCGATTTCCGGGTCTGGCCACCGACTCCAGTCTCGGCTGGTCATCGGGTAATGCCTGTCGGGCAGATGGATATCCTCATTCCTCTCCTAGATTCTATCCCTTAACCCTTACCCCATTACCCCATTTCTCCATCCCACATTTCCACTTCCCCAACTGGTGTATCGGTATCCATTTTTCATACTGTGGATTCGGGCAAGGGTGAAGATTCTGGGATGGTGGTGTAATGTGGTCCACTTACTATACTAGTAGTGACTAATGATCATCGGGGTCTAGTTTCCAATCTACTGGTACTGGTACCTCTACCACTACAACTGAAGAAAAATATTAGATAGTCAAAGAAGAAGATAAAAAAGAAGATAGACTACCCTAGCTCCTAATACAAATACACATAAAATGGATTGGAATAAAATGACACTGCACAAGGTAAAGAAATAAAGAAATAAAGAAACCCAGACTCTCAATCAATCAAACCTTCCCGTTCCCTCTACACCAGTCCGTGGGATCAATTCAATCACCCACCAAAACACAGATAGAAAATGAAAATCAAATAATAAAAAAAAAAATAGAAAGAAGAAGGGAAATGAAAAGCCATGTGCACGGGTCAAGTCTTCGCTATCATAAACAAGGTACTCGGCGCATTCACCCCCACGTGTGGAGAAGATGGGGAGAGAGCTCGACACCCCAGAAATAGATATCCAGAGCTCTAGAGAGAGGTGTCTATTCTGGCTTGCTTTCCGATGCAGTGGCATCCGGCTCCACATCCGCCATCTCGGTATCGCCCTTCTCCTTGCCATCCTCGGGATGATCCTCGGGATGACCCTCCTCAGCCGACGGCTCAGTGGCCGGAGCCACAGCCGCAGCCTCAGCGGTCCCCTCAGGTTCACTCCCCTGGACCCAAGACCGGAAGCGTTGATTGAAATCGTCCACCTGGTCCTTGCTGAACCCCTGCGCCCAGTCAGGGTTATTGACAAACTTCTCCGTGAATCGGTCGCGTCGCCGTTCCTTGACGGCCGCCTCTTCCTTGGCGACCTCTTCGGCTGTTTCGTCGGACGGCGCCGTCGGCCGCCACCACCAGTCTTGGCTGCCGGGCTCGTACAGGATGTGGTAGCTGTTGGCGCAGATGCGGATGATGAGTCCGTCTTGGTGCACCAGGGGCCGATAGTACCGGTTGTATTCGTCTTCCTGGTCCATCTGTGCGGGAAGGTTGCGCTTCAGGAAGGGCATCCGCATGCGCGAGAATCGTACTCCCTCGGTGGGATCGCGCATCGTGTAGGCTGACACGTAGTATGACCAGCGCGCTTCCTGGCTGAGGTCTTCGTTCTCCAGGGTCGCGTCCTCGGGGGTCAGAAGCTGCACGGTGGTCTTCTTGTTTGAAGGATGCTGTGCCATATTAGCAGAAGTCAACTTATCGGACCAAATGGTACGTACGTAGGTGATGCGGTAGATGTCACCATCCTTGACCAGCCGCTCCACTTGCTTGCGGTACTGGATCTCCTGGTTGTGCGTCGTCTCCTCCCGGTCACGCTCCTTGAAGAACAGCGCCATGATGTCGGAACTGCGGTCCTTCGAGTCGCCGCTGAAGATCGACCCCGCGAACTTGGCAATCCCCGCAAACATCTTCTCCAGGTTGTACAGCTGGTAGCCGCTGCGCAAATAGTGCCGACGCAGCGTCTCCTCCAGATGGGACGTCTCCATGTCGCCTTTGATGACCTCCTCGCACATCCGCACGATCTGGCTGTAAAGGTTGGCCTTGGGATCGCTGTCGTAGAAGAAGTCCGTGGGCAACTTGTCAAGCAGGTTGAGGTCCCGCGCGGCCCGCTCCTGGAGTCCACGGCGCACGTTCTCGTGCGCATAATCTTCGTTCAGTTTGATCCTCAGCAGACGCGAGTACAGGATCTCAAATGTGCGGAAGAAGCAGTAGATGTTCAGGTTCCCGTACAAGTGATGCGCCGTCTTCTCGTAAGACTCGTTGAGCGTATACTCCCGTTGCAGGTTGAAATTGCCCTGCGCCGGGTGCTCCATCCATCGCAGCTCGGCGACATCAAAAGTCTCTGTGGGATCAGGAGCCGGCGTAGAAGGCACAAGACCACTATCCGGAGTGCCAGCGCGCGATGTGGGCCGACTGCTTCCCGATTTTTCAGCCCGGGCCTTCTCAGATCGACGCTCCAACACGTCGCGGAGCAGATCCATCTTCTTGTTGTTGGCCCGTCGGCTACGGGGCGTCGAGGGTCCCTCCGCAGCGGAGCTCTCCCCGTCACCTTCATCAGCCGGCGGAGTCCCGCTGGACAGTTCGTTCATGTAGGCATGGAAGGTATCACGGTCCATTCCAAAGAACATGGGAACAAAGTCCTTGATGAACATCATGACCTTCTGGGGATCGGCCCCGAAGCCAGCCGAATTGCGGTCAATGAAAGTCAGCAGCAAGTGGGTGGTGTCGATGATCACGGCCGGGTCGTCGAACGTAAACTCGAAGTGGTGTCGGGGCACCTGGAAGCCGCTCTTGCGCAGGGTCTTTCTCTCCTCAAACTTGTTCTGGATCTCGTTCTGGATGTGCTTCGCCACGAACAGCTTCTTATCCATACTCTTGCTGGCAATGGCCTGGTGGTCCAGACTGCGCCAGTAGGCCTTCTGCGTCTGCTCACGCCAGATCTTGTCCCACTCGCGCTGGCTAGCCTTCCACTCCTCGCACTTCTGCTTCAAGCGGAAGAGGACGATGGGCAGGACGTGGCAGGGTCTCTCGAACATCTCGTGGATGATCTTTTCGCCCTTCTGACGATCGTAGATTTTCTTGATGACGCGCTGATAGATGGCCTCACTCTGTCCGCCGAGACCCGGAGGCAGTCTGAAAGCAGCCCGCTCCGCGTCCGACATGACCAGGAATTGCTGGACGATGGGCTCAATGAGCTGGATCGTGCGGGTGCAGGCTTCAATGTGATGATCGTAATCATGCCTATCCTCTTCGATACGGTGCAACGCATCCTCGTACTGGTTCTTCCGGTGCGCCACGAAACCCGAATCTTCCGACGCCCACGTGGGGTGAGACGCCCATTCATCATTCAGAACAGCGTAACACAAGGCATCACGGCCACTGCATGGCTTCTGGCGTTCACGCTTCGGCAGAAGTCGGTAGCTCGGTCCCAAAGAACGGCAATGCGACAGATTGACGACCCCAAGGTCATGCTTCGGCTTGGGCTCAATGATCTTGTCTTCGGGCTCATCCACATGCATGAACCGTTTGAACCAAGCCATGAGCTCCGGGTTGGAGCCGATGTAGCCCGCCGCTCTCTTGACAAGAACATGACGATCGATGAGATCGGTCGAGTAGAGATTGCACAGTTTGAGGAACTCGCTGAAGGTCTGCTTGTTCCCAATGTACTTCTTGACCCGATCGAAGAACGCGAATTCTTCCTGCGTGGGCGTCAACGAGAAGACAGGAGGGATCGGCTCTGGCAGAGCGGGAATCAGGGTGGGAGACACGGCAGGGGCCTCTGTCGGCGTGGTCTTGGTGTGGTGGACCTTGGCTCTCTTGTTGACACCGCCAGCCTGGAAGCCGGGCGCACGACCAGCTTGGGCATCGCCCATTCGGACAGCGTCATTATTCGCAGAGGGTCCGGATATCGAAGATGCCAGAGCAGAGGGAGCCCCCGGCCCTCCCCGACGCTTCTTTCCATCTTTGGCAGAGTCTTTGACGTTGAACTGACCCAGCGGAGGCATCTTGACATCGCGATTGGGAGTCTGCGATTGAAGGTTGTTGCCGGTGCTAGGATAACTAGGCTCTCCACGGACATTGCTCGTCGGGGCCGCCTCTTCCGCCTGACGGGCCGCTGCCTGCTGTTTGGCATGGGCAGCAGACTCAGGCAGGAACTGCTTGAAATCTTCCAGCAGGTCGGGTGCAGTGTTGAACAGCTGGGTCACTTGCGCGTAGACATCCTGGATCGGCTTTGACTCGCGCTGATACGTCTGCAGTATCTCCAAAAACTGCTTGTAGATCTCGGGGGCTTGCGCAAAGCGATTCTTCAGAGAGAGCATTAGCAAGCTTGAACGCATCGAGTAACTGAGGGGTGACAAACCTTGATCTTGTTCACATAGCTGATGGCATGGTTGAATTCAACAGGTCCACGCTTGTTTAGGTCAGCTTGGGAGCCCTGCAGCATGTTCGAACCCACACCGGCCAGACTGTTCATCGGCTGGTTTAGGTTGTGGGCCTGTCCTGGGGCAGACACTGCGAGCAAGCCAGGTCGCCCAAGCCCGGCGGACGCAGCCGAGACGGCGCCCTGGAGCTGCGACACCCCACGATGATCCTGTTGCTGGGCCATGGCCGCTGCACCCGCCGCAGCCTGCTGTTCTTGCTGGGTAGGGTAGCTGTAGTGGTGGGGCTCCTGATGCTGGCCTTGGTTCTCTTGCCCAAACATGCCTGGGCCCATCATGCGAGACCCGGGTGAGTATGACCCTGGCAGGTTGCCCTGTGGCGGCTGGGGCTGCGGCGGGGGTTGGGGCTGGGGCTGATGTTGCTGCCAACCCGGTCGGGATTGTTCGAAGAACTCAGGACGGCCATGCGGACCCATCCCACCATGTGCCATCTCGCCCGTGGCATCCAACGACTGCCGTGGACGGGGCATACTCAAAGTATTTGTGCCGGACGGGGTGGTCACTCGGATGGCGTCAGGGTTATCTTCCGTACCGCACTCGATTCGGTATCCAGGGGGGAGGAAAGTGTTGAAACCCTGGATCAAAGCCGGGTGTCCGTTGAACAGCGTGGAAACGCGTTGGATGACGCCAGGGGTATCGATGCTACTGCAAGTTAGAAAAATACCCTGCATTAATCTCGCCACGCTAGATACTCACGCTTGGCTTTTGAAGTCTTTCATTATGTCCAGAAACCGGTTATACACATCCGGCTGATCGACAAAGCGGACCTTCACTTGGTCTAGGTAACTAAGCGCGTCCTGCATAACTGTCAGTCTAAATCCAATTTCAAGCAACGATGAACCGACATCGAGGGGAGGAACTCACATTCAAAATTGGCTGCTGACCCTGGGCAAGAGCCGCAACGTTCCCCGGGATCTGAGGTCCAGAAGCGTTGAAACCCATCAGGGCCTGTCCAGCGGGACCAGCAGGGTGTTGCATGTACGACCGCGGGGTGCCTTCGCCATGCGGAATCTGAGGCCCATAGATCCCACCAGGACCGCCGGATGGCTGTATCGGGCCCTGGGGACCATTCTGCGGGTTCGATCCGATATTTGACAAGAGGCCGTTCGGACCGTGAATGGAGTTGGGCACCTTGGACGCCACCGGCTGGTGCAGCGGGATGGACCCCGTGTGGCTCTGAACCGGGTGGTGCTGATCGCGCTGACGCTCCAGCTGCTGTCGCTCCATCTGCTCACGCTCACGGTGTTCACGTTCTCTGTGGGCCATCTCCTCCTGGCGCTGTCTCTCGATTAGCTCCCGCTCTCTCGAATCCCGCTCACGCTCGCGGTTGATGGACTGAGGAGACGGGTGCTGCATCGCCTGACCGATGCCTGGCAGAGAATGACCAGCGTTGTGGGAGGGGGCAGAGGGGTGTTGAGCATAAGCGGGCGGTTGATGGGGGCCGGCGTGGCCCTGGCTCAACTCCGCCAGCCCAGGAAGGGAGTGTCCGGGAGGTTGGCTTGCAGGGTGATAAGGACCTAAACAGGAGTATACACGTCAGTCGACGAACCATGACAACCATTTGCCGACAGGGTACTATGAAAAGGCTGGGAATTCTAACCTCCAGGAGGGGGAAGGACGGGCCCCGCCGGCTGCGAAGACGGGCCTTGCTGAGGTGGGTTTTGACTGCAGAGGAGAGAAGCCAGTTAGTTTCGCGTCCGATCGAGAGATAAACTCCTCCAAAAGGTGTAATCAGAAAAACCTTACCCAAAGGGGCCCAAGGGACGAGGTTGGTGGTTCATCTGGTCCATCCCGGGGTGCGATGGGGGTCCACCAGGGTGCCAGTTATCGTTTCCTGAATTCATCCTCTGTGCATGAACAACAGCACGTTCACGACAGGAAGATCAGGAAGAAGAGAGTTGTTTAAAGACGGAATCAAAGGAAGGAATGAATCGCTGCAAGATGCAGTACACTTCAAAGCCAACCTCTCAATCAAATAATGGTTTTTCGCACGGTCGAGTTTCTCCTCCAGCACATTTCACAGCGACATCACCGGGCTCGGGACGGTGACAACCGCAAACGAAAAATAGTAGAGAGAGTAGTCTTCACGGGAAAAGAAAACAACAGGATCAACAGGAGATACAGAAACAGGAGTCAAAGGAGAGGAAGTGAATCACCATGCAACAGCAGCAACAGTGGCAGCAGCACCGAGAGTTGCTTCGTTGGAGATGATGGTTTGCGCGCGACCGATCACGGATAGTGCTGGAGACAGAAGGCGGAGAGAGCCTTTGACCGCGCTAATCCCCATTAGTTCCATATTGCCGCCCACCGGGAGGCGTGTTTTTCCGTGCCATATTGTCGGAGAAAAAACCCTGCAATGATGAGGCGGTCAGGAAGGCGGAATCTCACCTCTGGTTCCCTTCTGCCGCCGAGCGGATGGCCCGACGTCATTGACACGACCGAGTAGGGAAGACCTAGCAGTGAGTCTTACAGAGCTGTTACAAGACTTTCCCCATAGTAATCATCCGGCTCAATTCATTGAGCTTGTAGTGATCTCTCTGTTCACTCTATCTACTAGAAGTGTCCTGGTTTGCCCTGAAATGAGTGACTTGGTTCATACACCCAAAAGGCAGCACAAGCCTACACTAAACAAACTTAGAGATCAAACTCGCGTGGTTTCATTATCTACTCAATACGTGTTTTAACGCCAATGACACACGGAAACCACATCGGTCCGGAGCCCTACACACACCTGGCCTAGTAGCATCAACACGACATCCACAATATAAAGAAAGTAAGAACCCAGAGTCCCCCGGGGAGACAGTGCCACGGAGGTATGGATAGGACAGGGCACATGACAGGGCACCTTCAAGGGTTCAGCAGCCTCATCATCTATGTGTAGTGACCCTCCTTGAAAGCACTACCAGGGGAAGCAATTTGGCATTCTCTTCACCTGGGCACCACCCCGGGACGGCAGTGGGCCGTAGGCGGAAGTCCACCCCGCAAACACCACGAGGAGAAAACTCGGACAAGGCCAGGCGGTCACACAGGTGGAAAAGAGAGAGAATCGGATAAAATGGCAAAAGAGAATAGTTTAGAGGGTAAAGGAGAATGGCTTAGGGGGTTAAAAAAAAACGGATAACATGAACTGGCAACTTGAATTCTGGATTTGGAAATGCTGCTGCTAGTAACCTCTTTTTTTTTATTCTTCGTTATATCTGGCCCATGCTGGCCACCGATCGACACGCTTGTCCGCTGATGATGATCCATCCCTGTCACGTACTTACAAGGCGGAGAAGACGAATAACTAGAAAGAGTATGGTTAGCACAGCCATCCACACACCAAATGGAGGAATGGCTCACGTTGTTGGTCGCAGCAATGGCAATACTATCCTCGTAGGGATGCCAGCTCATGTGCAGGATCTTCTTATTGAAATCGATCTGCTCCGCGTCCGTCTCCTTCTTCATGCGACTGCCAGGTCCGGTCGGGCTGCCGGACCGGGAGTTGCTCTTCTTTCCGTTGGCCCCCTTGTTCATGGGCGTGGGCACGCCGACCTTCTTCGCCTTGAAAGCCGACTTGTCCGCCTGCAGTACAATCTCTGTCTCCTTGGCGGGGTCTGTGGGGTAGATCATAAAATTGTTGTTGTAGCTTCCGGTCATGACATTCTCAGCATCGCCGGAGAAGACCACTTCGAACTTGTCGAAGATGCTATCATTCTCGTACGTATCGCACAGACGGGGCCGCAGATGTTCGTGGATCGGAATCGTCTTCACCGGCTGTCTCTCCATGTTGACGTCCCAAATCTTCACTGTCAGGTAGTCCCTGGACACGATGTAGCGACCGTCGTTCGAGAACCGTACGTCCGAGATGGACGAGATGATCTCCGAGAAGAATGAGCGGGAGGAGGCATCTTCTTCCTGTTCGAATTCTGTATGGAGAAAGACGTTAGCTCGGCTACATGAAAAGTTGCCCTCGAAACAAGCAAGCCACTTCTATATCAGAAGAGGTATACGGAGAAAGAATGCCCTACGTTTCTGGTGCTCGTCACACAAAGCGCGCTGGCGCATATCCGCCAGCTTGATCGTTCCCTTCGAGCTCGCGTACATGAACCAATTGCAGCTGGTGGGATGGAATTCGGCGGCCGTGATGACTTCCGTCAGCTCCTCCATGTTTGCGGGCTTGATATCGACGATGTTGAAGCTCTGGTCCTGGATGTTCAGGTTCCAAAGGTTGACCCGGAGATCGTCGCTGCTTAAAAAGGTCTCTCCGTCGCTGTTGACCGAGATGCTGTTGATGTGGTATGCGTGTGCATTGGCGTACGTCCGACGCGGCACGGCGGCCACAACGGTATCATGGTGCGTCATTCGAGGCAGCTTCAACGCCGAGGGATCCTTGAACGATAAACGGGGGGGACGAGGCGCCCCGCCGCCACCACTCACGCTGGCCGGGGTGAGTTCATTCGAGAGATTGTTCTCAGCGACGACCTTGAGCGACTTGTCGAACACCTTCCACAGCTTTATCGTCTTGTCGTTGGTCGAAAGGAGGAAATGCGAGGAATTTTGCCTTCTACACCATTTTATCTTGTTGATCTTCTCTTCGATCTCTAGGGATTTAAGGTAATCGAATTCCGGTTCGTGCGACTGGAATTCGGTGTGAAACTTATACTCGCAGGTTTTTTTCTACCGGCCGTTAGAAAGGTGGGCCCGACGAGAGATGCAGCAGGGGGGAAAGAGGGGAGGGCGCTCTACCGTTTCGTTTCTCTCGAATAACACTACTCTGCCGCCCTTGTCTCCTGTAGCCAGATAGTTTCCGGTGTGGTCGAATTCGACGGTTGAAATGATATCAGCTGTGGAAGGTGGGTGGGTTAGCTATGGACGAAACCCCGCCTCGCACACCCGACACAGCAGTATCCAGAGGGGAATGATCAAAACGTACCTTCCGTGATATCCTCCACATCGCCCTTATCACCGAAGCATCTGCCACCATCGTTAGTATCTCCAAACCACATCAGACCGACCGCTCAGCTCGCATATCGACTCATACGAGATCCCGTAAGGGACGATCGGACCTTCACCGCCACAAGGGATGCTGAGGGGTCGACTCACTGCGTGAACTTCCAGGTAGGTGAACCTGGATCCCTGTCTACCATTTTCTAACAAAAACCACCCTTTCCTGGGGTAGCCGACCGACAACCAAAAAGATAAAAAGATAATAAAACAGTAAAAAAGCACGGTCTATGGGTGTTGACGGCGAGACGGACGAGGTGGGGTCGACAGACGCCGAGCGGTCGAGGAAACGAGGGACGGAGGGCGCTGTAGGCGGGAGGTATGAATTCTCGATCGATAGCGGCGTTCAATGGGCGAGCGGTGAAGCTGACGGCAAAACCACCAGCAGCGTCGGATATAGGTAGTCGGGAGGGAATTCGAGTGGAGATACGGGATCACGGAGATCCGACGAACGGTATGGTGGAGGGGAAGGTTGTGTCGGTGGACAAGGCTCGAACAGAGATTGGCTTCGTCACTGGTCGGGCTGAGACGAACGATTGACAGCTTGAACTAATCGAATCGGACGAGGTTGATGTTGTAGGAGGGAGGAGAGCTATATTGAAAATTTTCCCTCTATTTTTTTTTTGTGTCCGGATTTCCCCCCCTCAGGGTGGTTGATTGTGGATGGTCGGAGAAAAAAAGGACAAAAAAGGAAAAACGAAAAAAAGGACGGTGCAAGGATGACCGCAACAGACGGCAAGTCTGTTTAATCGAGAAGGGGAGGATAGGAAGAGAGGGGAAGAGGGAAGAGTTGATGGAGAAGTTGGATGAAGAAGTGGGATGGGGGAGGTGGAGTGGAGGAGAGCGAGAGAGGGGAGGAAGGAGGAGGAGAGGAGGGGAAGGAGTAGCGATGATGGCGAGAGGTAAATTGTGGATAGCGAGATGAGAGACAAGTTTGGTGGGGAAGTATTGGCTGTCAGACAACACAGTCTTTATAATACGATATATTCTCTGTACTTATTATCTCTACAGATACTAGGTAGGTACCTCCAGAGTTATTCTATTTGATTATTCTCGTTTATCCTGATGAGTCTATGCCTTACGGCCGCCTGTCTGTCGGCCTGTCTGCCTGTCTGCCTGACAGTCCTCACCCAACACTACTAAACTACTAAACTAATACTAAACTGACTAACTACCTCTTCTCCCGCTGACATCAACCACTGACCCCTCCTACTCTTCACTCTCTCTCTCTCTCTCTGTGTTGAGATCGTCGTCTTGGTCTGGTTTCCTGTTTCATTTTCCTGTAATTCTTTCATCCTTTCTTTTCATGTTCTTTGTCTTCTGTGGTATTTCCTTCTTTATCTGTACAGATATTTCCCTCCTTTGTATAATCCCTCTACACACCCTAAACAAGTATTCAACAATAACTGCCTAGGAAGATGATCCTGCATACCTATGACGTACGTGATGCTGGGTATAGACTACATCACTCACCAGCTTCTACTATTGTAAACCGGCGTGCAGAAACAACGTCCAATATAAAACTCTCTATTGAAAGTGACTACCATAACAATCTCCCTCGTATAGTCTGTAGTGCCTGAAATATCCGGCTGTCTGATTCACATGTGCTTCCTATCCATCCCGAGAATGAAGACTCCACTGGGCCGAACTTCCCTCTACCATCCAAATTCAAACTGCGACATAATACTTCTTTGTTATCCATCGCATACACTCCTTGACTTTTTGACCTAGATTGAATATCCTCGCCTTACTCCCATACCAATCCCACCAATTGACCGTCCTCCTAGCCCCACATCAAACAACATCTTCATCCCACCACCATGTCCGACAAACCCACCAGCAACACCAACATCAACAACGACAAGAAACCAGAAGATCCCAAAAGCAACACCAACAACCCTCCAAACTCCTCCAACCCTCCCTCCAACAACAACAACAACAATGAATCCCCCTCCCTAGCAAACCGCATCCAAACCTCCGCCTCAGGCCTCGCCCGAAACGCCCTCTACGGCTCCGGCCCGTCCGCCGACACGGCACACCTCCTAGCAAACGGAGGCAGCAAACCCGGCGCCTCCTCTTCCTCCTCCCGACCATCCGCCTTCGCAGCCGCCCAACAATACCAAGAAACCACGGGACCATCCTCCGCATCGACAGCCTCATCCCGCGACCCGGTCCCCGCGCAATCATTCCGCTCTCCATCATCGTCCGCGCAGCAACAGCAACAAGGCGGATTCGCGCTCCCTGCGCTGTCGGAGGATGAATTCCAGCGATCTTACGGGGATATCTTCTCCAACCAAGATGAAACAATAACAACCTCGTCATCATCATCCAAGGGGAAAGAAAAAGCCTCTCAACTACACCACTACCACCCCCACCAAGAATCATCAACCCTCCACACCCAACCAACCCAATACCACCACAACGACCACGACGGCACCGACGCCCTCACCCTCCTCGCCTCTCCCACATTCGACCCGAATTCCCCGCCACCGAAACCGAGCCCTTCGAACCCATCGAAACCGACCTCTCCGCAACCCTCACAGACGCCGAACGCACCACCCTCGACTCCTTCCGCCGCCAACACCAACCCTCAACACAAATCACATCCCACAGCCTAATCCCAGACATCGGCTCCTTCCTCGACACAATCCCCGCCTCCGCGCAATCAGACGCGACGCAGCTGCGCGATACCGTCCTGAGCGGTCTCCCTGGGGCTGCGGACTGGGTTGCCCTGGAAGAACAGTACCAGGATGAGGTGTGGGGGTATTTGAAGCCGACGTTGGAGGCTGCTGCGAGGGAGATGGAGGAGAGGGGCGATACTGAGAAGGATGGGGGGGATAATGCGGGGGATGGCCCTGCTGTGAGGAGGTTGAAGATGGTGTTGATGCATATGAGGGGGTAGTTCTACTGTATATCAGGTATATATTCATTTAATTATTTATTTGTATATAGCTGGGGTAAGGGAACTTTCTTGTATACTATGTATGTAAAGCACTGGCATGGATAGCCTCAAATTATTCATATACATACGTGCTTGATTTTCTAGACAGCTGAATGGCTTTCTCTTTCCGTTTTAGTGCTCACCCCTCGCCGCTTTTTGCTCACTGAGTAGATCTGAGCAGCCTGAGACAATCATTAAGCAAGGGGTGAGTGTACGAAGTAAGCCGGCCTTGCTCAAACACACCCCTACTAGTGGTAGACCTCAAGATAGGGCAGATCTAGATCTAACTTTTAGATCTTGATCCTAATCTGCTAGATTTCTAGATTAAACAACTTAATCTAGATCTATCGTATATCTTACTATAATGAGATATAGGACTACCCGAGCGGCCACTATACCACTCGGCCAAAAGGGTATCACAGACCAATTCAGCAGAATTGGTCATGAATAGTGGCTTATATATCACAAATAGACTTTATTACTGTATTTATATATAAATTATTATTGTAGGATTCTTACTTCTTTATCATATAAAGATAAGCAGAAACATATAGAGTAATTTAGGGCGAATAAAATAATTTTATATATTAAAACTTCTAATCCTTTTCCATGGAATGATCAGGGACTATTCTAACATTTAGAATCTCTAATATTCATCTTACTTATTAATCTAGTAGATCAATCTACTCTGAACAGGATATATTAAGAATTTATAAAACTATTCTATAAATCTAATTCGTTAACCCTGATCAGCCCTGAAGATAGATCAGGGTGAATCTTTGACTTTGTTTATGTCTCTCTTTACTGATGTGAATCGAGGTCTGCCATCGACGTCTTATTCAGAGTGGACAATTAACTAGAGCACTAGATCACGTATACGCCCTCCTCATTCCTCCGTGTAAGCTGCCGCAAGCACTTCGCCTACTCAAGGAGGTGGCTCGTGCTGGGCTGCTAATAGTAGGTAGTACATGGACAGGTATGGGCCACCTTTCTGCGAGTAAGAAAAGGACAACCATGCTTGGTGGTCAGTCACCACATCCATGTCTTCAGTTGGACTAGTCAGGGGCATTAGCAGAGGTCGTGCATAGCAATGTCATATTGCCACTTACTAGTACGACTGGCGATCCTGCCCTGATCTGGCTTGTCATGGCGGTTGAAGAAGTTTGTCAGCGTGGTCGCGATTTTGGATTCCGGGATTCCCGCCAGCGGCATATACAGCTTGGGCTTGGGCAGACTTTGGCCGGGCTTCATCTCGAAGTTGATGAAGAACAGCATCAGCGTCGGCGGATCGCCAGGGTGGGTCGGTTGATCTGGCGGCGTTCGCCGGCCCTCCCATAGGCTCCCCGATACACCAACATACAAAGTCGTGCACGAAGATACTGGACTAGCCAGCAAGAGCTCGCTGACCACTACCTCTGCACCATCAATTGGTCCCCTGCACCGTGCAGGAACATTGAAAAACCAACTTCTGCGGTGGTGATATGGTACCTGTGCTGCCTTCCATGTAGATAGCCACATTATAGGGGGACTAGACACAAGGGTTCGTATGCACAGCCGGCATGCCTCTCACTCTGGGTATCATCAGACCAGTCTCCTTGCTTCTAAATCACAAAGAATTAAGACATTATTAATTAAGAGTTAAGTATTTAGGGTGTCCTATCCAGGCTGTTGTATTCTGATCGTAACTGTTTGGTCTAGGGATGATTTTGGAGGGCATCTCTTAACTCTGCTGGAGGTGCATATGAACAGTACAAGTGAGTGGTGTCTTGTTCGGCGCTTGCTGCAACTGCAATTTGAGATGGTAAAACCAAGCTACCCAAAGGTCTTGCGAACTTGTCGAAAGTCACACCTGAAGCTCGAGAGCCGATGGTGGTACTCTTTCTAACCAAGAACGCGCACCCCTATGCGAGAAATGAGTCCCCAAAGCCAAGATACTGCACCTTTTAGGTTGCATGCTGGCTTTCGTCGAGGGGCGTAGAAACAGACATCTAGTTCTAATAAGTCTACCGTAGTGCCTGATTGTTACATCCAGGATGTACTAGAACGAGACGTCCTATCCATTGTGTTACTAGTTCAAATCCTATAAAGTATATCAAATCGGACGTTGGGGCCCTCACGCCTCTCGCACTTACAGTCGTCCCATGAGTCCAACTTCAAGCACCACACCTGACCCGATCTCCCAGAATCGATCAACCGCAAGCCCGTCGGCTGAATCTGTCATCAGCCTCCTCCATTCGTCGATATCCCGTGACCACGAGTTGAAGCAGGAAAAAATATGCAACTGCGACATCTGATGATAGACCGGTCTGGCTTCGCTATCGAGTTTGTCGCAGATGACCAGCTTCGATTTGTTGGGAGTCATCGCCGTGGCGATGCGCGACAATATCCGTTTACAATCACTGAGATAGGCGTTAGCGATGTTCAGTCACAGCTGGCTCAGATGCAAACCTGTCTGGATTATCCATGAGGACATTGCTCAGGATATACACGTCCGCATCCTCGATGGGTTGCTCGTCGAAGTAGTCGTGGGGAAGAAATTGGATTCTTCCTTCAACCGAGGGAGGGATATCGAGTTGATCCTCTTCGGGGAAAATGACGCTCTCATGGTCCTGCACAACAACTGTGAGATGGGGGAACTTTGTTGCCAGTCGCAGCGCGTTGTGGCCACGGCCGGCGCCGACATCAACCACCACGGCCCCAAACGGCAACTTGTCGAACGAGATCACCAGATCTATGGGGTGGTGCTGAATCGCATGGTTGCCCTGCATTGCTCGGTCGAATCGAGCCCCCCGCACTAAATCAGTCGAATGGTAGTAATCGTAAGGGTCCGACGCTGGTCCATGGATATGAGCCCGTCTCTCGGTGTCTCCGTCTCAGGTCTGGGGTTTGGGCCTCACCCAACGCGGCGGCACATACCATCGAATGCCTTGCAAAAGGCCGATTGTTTCCGGTCCGGTGGAGGCTGAAAGCCATGGTCCCGAAGTACACCAGGGAGAAAGGCGCCCGCCATGTGGGCGTCATCCACCCTATTGGTCTCAGTTAGATTGGACATAACAAAGTAGGTAGTATACCATACAGATAACCTGAATATGCTCGAACATAGCTATCTCGCTCACGCAACAACAATGACCGTTTGGTATGTACGAAAGCCCCCGTGGTGACTTCCCTGAAGATGGAATTATCGGCACAGATCCGCATGACATTCTCTGCAAATACGACAACCTGTGAGTTGATCCTTACTGCCTTGGGTCGGTCCTCTTGGTATAACACTTACTGATCAACTTCTGAGAAGCACCGGTCACTTGGGCTAACTCGTCCACGGTGGCCGACGTCTCACCAGGCTTGACATGTTTGAAAAAATCCATATCCAGGGCAATCGCAAGTGCCGTAGATTTGGTATACGCCATGGCCGTCTCTAGGATCCCGTCCTCTGGGGTTTGGACCGACTGATCGGGCTTTTGGATGAGACGGGCGAGCTCGCCACACAGGTTGCCAACTTGGTCTGCATGTCCTTGGATTTGACTGTCCAGGGCCCTCTGCTCCTCCCCATTGCCTATCTTATGACTGTCCTCAACATAGAGGGTAGCATGTTTGGAGATCAAAGATACCAAACTCTCCACTTTGCTCGCACGCTCGCACGGTGTGGCCGACATTGGAGAACTCATGGCCAGGTCGCTCCCTACGAAAAATCAGGATATCGAGCATCATCTAGTCGTTAAAAACAAGTGAGCATCGAGTTGCACCCTTACCTCCCGTGGCCACCGCCCCTCACGATGTTCCGATGGGGCTACCTCCGAGAAATGCTAGGGCTGTGAACGAATTCGGTCACAAAGTGCATCTCAGGCAGCCCCGAAGCACCATAAGACACCGTGTCGGTGCTTGAGTATCCACTGTTAGTTCTTGACTGTGTATCTCCGCAGGTACCCCTTACCTCGTCATTAGAAAAGGCAGAGCCATGGATTTCGATTTGCAACTGTAAGACAATGTGCATTCCCATCAAGCATTCATCCCTCACATAGGCTGTAATGCAACGAAGGAGCTCAACACTGGGTTTGCAAATAATGTTACGCTAGCGCAGCCTACTAGGGAGGGAATTCTCTGTAGCGATATGTGGACAACTACCCATCCCTTGCATATATAGAGAGAGAGAGAGAGAGAGAGAGTTGCATTATCCTTGAATATATCAACGTTTCCGGAATTATTCCAAGATACTGACGGCCGAGGGGCCCAAGTAGGGCCTGTCAGCTCGCATCAGTATTATGATTATGGGTTTATATTATTTCAGGTACTTAGTATAGGGGTGAGAGAGTAATAATACTAGTAGGTTACCTAAGCCTCCCTATACAGGTGCTGAAACTAAAATTCTTAGTCTATCCTAGCTTTATAGGCCTAGAATTAATAGTAAAGAGAAAGATACAGCCTGCTGGACATGTCTAAAGTTTTGGTATTTTTTTTATAAATATAAAGAGTGTTATCAGTTTGACATAATTAAGATAATATAATATAATATAACTATAGTTTTAAGGTCTTTTAATAAATATATATTAGGGTATAGTAACTAGAATGTTCATGACTTAGATCTTTAAGAATATTTATTAAGTTTGACTCTAGATATATGATATCTATAATTACTTAGTATTCTTAGCCACTTTAAGCAAGTCTATAGCTTATATATATACTAGGTCAAGTACCTGGAATAAGAGATTCCTTTAGAATTCTAAGCCTATTTAGCAAGGAGTAATCCTTTACAGGACCCCTAGGTAGGTAGCAAGGTAGCTAGGTAGCAAGAGATAGCTAGGGATAGCTAGGGATTTTCAGGGGTATTCCCAGTCCCCTAGAGATATTACAAGTCCTCCCCCTGGTAATATAGGTATGAATAGCTTCTCCGGGAGTACCGGCCGCGCTTATTTCAACTGATTTGAAGGAGGAGAGGTGTAGAGACAAGCAGCTATGTGATTAAAGAATACAAAGGAGGAGAGATGTAGAGACGAGCGGCTGCGTGGTTGAAGGATCCATCACTTGCATATAATACGAACACACAACGCTGTGGCTCTGCATGGTCCCACACAGCGTACACTAGGATACTTCCATTCACTAGAGAAAAGTCTTATTATCATACATTGTGTCATGCATGCGCCTCGGCTCTCATCCTATGCCTAAGCTGGGCCGATAACACTATACCAATGCATGCTTCCAACGGTGGAATTTCGTACTTACCTGTAGTCCATCATGAAAACGGTCAGAAACCGCCGCTACTTATTGCAGAAAGGGTTGGGTTTTCTGGAACATAAATCTAACTGATAGGGCCAAAAGCTGTGCATTGTGTGCTGTGGTACAGATATCAGAAAGTTTCAAGGGATGCGACCAAAAACAACATGCATAGCATACCTCGATTCGGTTAGTGGGTGGCATGTCGAGTGCCTTATAGGCTGTTGTTCCACAGATCTGGGCTCGAAGTAAGGACCAAGCGATTCAAGTGCGCCAGGATGGGGGGACTACTTATTCCAACGTGAAGACCTGGAACTCATCTTGTTCTGTCTAGTGACAACCCGTCTTTTGTGCACCCGCGACTCTCTCGAGGACATTCAGCCCCAGAGGCAACATGCACCAGCCACAAACCATTCCAGCCAGCGCAGCTGTGAATGATGCGCCTTGTATTTTCCCTTCTATCGCCGGACGGTATACGGATAAGATCAAGTTCGATGATCATGTTGTTAGAGCTCTGCAAGGTCTTGCTTGCGGGGGCGCAACACGCGTCCATTTAGCCTTGTCAGCCGTGTGGGCAATTGGGCTCTGGCGATTTGCTGAATGCGATACACCTCGATTTCGAGTCCGGATGGAACGGGATGTATCCAACAACGGCAATCCACGTATATTCGGAACGCCGATTGACCCAGCCAGACCCGTTTCCTGGTTGTTTGATGAAAAGAATTGGGAGAGATGCAATGTTACCGCTGACCACACAGCAGCGCTCGTTAATACGGAAATGGTGGTTGGGGCTGCGTCTGATATGGATGCGCATCGTGTCTGCCTCCATGTAAGTGTCGCTCTAGGTTGACTGCCGCTATCACGGAAGGATGGAGCTCGTCGCTCACACATCCTAGGAAGGAGTGAGCTTAGCACTGCACCTGGGCCAGGCGCCGACGGTGCTTACACTCGTATACAACTCTGGGCATCTATCGGAGCAATATGCTCGACACTTGGTGTCCGGATTGTCGCACGCAGTGGGTTCTATAGCCCGCAATCCTGCCCAGCCCATCGACCAGGTCGACTTCTGCTGCCCTTCTCAGAGAGCCCAGGTGGCCTTCTGGAATCGAACACCTCTCATGCATCCCACAGACGGCTTTCTCTTCCAGTATGTAGACCGACAGGCTCGCATGAATCCAACCGGAGTGGCCGTGGATTCCTGGGATGGTTGTCTGACCTACCATGAGCTGCGGGATCTTACGGATCGGGTTGCCAACTATCTCCAAACCCGCGGGGTTCAAGGGGGGGTTCTGGTTCCTGTGTGCTTTGAAAAGTCTCTCTGGGCCATCGCGGCCATGCTGGCGGTCAACAAGGGAGGGGGGGCATTCGTCCCATGCGACCCAGCGTATCCAGAAAGCCGACGACGAGCGATTGTTGAGAAGACGAAAGCCCAGGTCATTCTCGTGTCCGACCAGACGGCATCACTGTTCTCTTCATTTGACATCCCCACTATTGTGGTCTCAGCCTCGACCTCCGCGCAATGGACTCTCTGTGAAAACGGGCCAGCTGCCTGTGCCACCCACGACTCTCCTGCATATTGCTTTTTTACATCTGGGAGTACTGGAGAGCCGAAAGGCTGTCAGGTGAGCCATCTGGCGCTTGCAAGTGTCTCTCAGCACGTCGACGCATTGCATCTCCGGAAGACGAGCCGAAGTCTGCAATTTGCCTCGTACTGTTTTGGAGTCTCCCTGATCGAACTCTGGTGTACTCTTGTCTCGGGGGGAACGATATGCATCCCATCAGATCATGAGCGTCTCCACTCGCTGGCCGAGTTCCTGGTGCAGAAGCAGGTGAACTGGGCCCTTCTGACTCCCACGGTCCTGGAAACACTGAGCCCAGCCAACATCGGAGACATAGATCTGCTGATTGCCGGAGAAGCTTTAGAGCCACATCACATCACCACCTGGGCACCAGCTGTCCGCCTGTACCAGGCGTACGGGCTAACGGAGTGGGCTGGTATCTTTGCGGTTTCACAGAGAATTGTCTCACTTCAGGATAGAGGCAGTGTCGGCCTCCCTGTGAATGGCACGGCGTGGGTGGTGGACCCCTCAGACCACCAAAAACATGCTCCAATTGGTGCGGTTGGCGAGCTATTGATTGGAGGTCCTAGCCTTGCAGACGGATATCTGAATGATGCGGTTAGGACGGACCATGCATTTGTCTCTGGGCCCTCATGGTCCATGAAGCTGGCCAACCTCAGCGAGCCACAGAGAGTGTATAAGACCGGAGATCTGGTGCGCTATGGTGAGGATGGGTCCATCCGGTATGTGCGGCGAAATGACAATCAGGTCAAGATCCGTGGCCAACGCCTAGAAATCGGTGAAGTAGAGTCCAGGATTAGGCAATGTTTACCATCCACCAGGAAGGTAATAGTGATGGTGCATTCCTTTTCTGGCGAGCGAGTTCAGCAGCAAAGCCTGGTCGCTTTCGTCCTGCTCTCTGCTTCAAGCACGGTTCAGAAGGCGCCATCACTATCCCATGGCGGTCTCCGTTTCGTTGAGGTAAACGATAACTGGCGATCTCTCGTCCAGGGCTTGGAAAAGCGACTCCAATTCCTGCTGCCTGGCTTTATGGTCCCTCAGATGTTTCTCCCAGTCAGCAGTATCCCCACGACCATCACCGGCAAAGCAGACCGCCGAACATTATGTCGGGAGGCAAACAGTCTACCCTATCATGAGCTTCACAGGCTAGCCGGCCTTGTCACGGAAACTCGAGCACCGCTGAGTGACCAGGAAGAGCAAGTTCATCGAGCAGCGGCAGTAACACTGGGGTTAGAGCCCGGGCACTTTGGTATGCTGGACAATTTCTTTCACTTGGGGGGGAATTCGGCAGTCGCCGTCAAGCTCGTCATCCACTTGAGAAAGAAAGGCCTGAACGTCGGTATTGCTGACATCTACAACAATCCTGTTCTAAGGGACCTAGCTGTGGCAGCAGGCCAGCATGATCCAGCACAGTCTAAACAATCAAACGGCGTGGAAGCTGACGTTGACATGGGACACCTGCCTGGAATGAAGGCAGCAGTAATGGAACAGACTGGACTCCCAGAGGATCAAATCGAAAAGATATACCCTGCCACCCCCTTCCAGGCCGGACTGGTCGCGATGACAGGCCGCAGTCCTCGGCTATGTCAGGCACAAGTAACGTGTGAGCTGCGCCCAGGCGTCGAAATCGAGGCCTTTCAGGCCGCGTGGGAGCGCGTATTCCAGATGAACGATATCTTACGCACACGGTTCGTGATATCTCCCTCGCATGGAACAATGCAGGTCGTCACCAAGGAAGCTCTGCACTGGTATCGGGTTGATACTATGAGTGCTTGCGCTCGTCACATCGGCTCGCGTGAGATGGGCATTGGCGGCCGCCTTGTCCACTCCTACCTAGTCCCAACCGCCGCCGACGGACAAACATGGTCCTTCATTGTGGTCTTGCATCACGGACTGTGTGATCAGTGGTCATTCCGCCTCTTGTTGAAACAGATAGAAGCGGCCTACAGGAACCTTCCAGTATCACGCCACCTGTTCAACCCGTTCGTGAGCTACATGGCCAGAATCCAGGATCAATTCAAGGAGTACTGGGTGAAGGAGCTCGACGACGTGCAATCCGTGGCATTTCCCGCATTGCCATCGCCACATTACATTCCGGCAGCGACCGAGGAGCTCACCTTTATGATGGCGCTACCTGGTAGATCTACCAGGAGCTACACGATGTCCAGCTACCTGACTCTGGCGTGGGCACTGGTCACTTCCTATCATACGGGCTCTAATGATATTGTCTTTGGGCTTACAGTCAACGGTCGAGGAGCAGCCGTGGACGGAATATCGGAAATAGTGGGCCCAACCATTGCAACCATCCCACGGCGCATCAAGCTATCGCCGAAGGATAGTATCATGGCAAGACTCTCGCAAGTTCAAATCCAATTGGTGAAGGGGATTCCTTTTGAGCAGGCGGGACTGCATAATATACAAAAGTATAGCCCAAGCACAAGGAGGGCTTGCATGTTCCAGAACCAACTGATCATCCAGCCGCCATCTCAACCTCCTACAGATACCGGACCGTGGGAAGACTTCAAATTTTCCGCCACTGCCGTAGGAGGGTTTTCCGCATACGGACTTTCTATCGAGTGCTTGACAGCCCTCGAGGACCGGGAATGCAAAGCCGTGGTGACTTTTGATCCTGCCATGATTGGTCGCGGATATGTCCATCGGCTGATGCAGCATACGGAGCTTGTCTTGCAGAGACTCCTAACGAACAGTCGTCAGAAGGTTGGGGACATCCCGCGAGTAACGCAGCAAGACTGGGACTGGCTGCAGAGATGGAATCGCGACATCCCATCGGCTCCCACGGATTGTGTTCACGACCTAATTCAAAAAAGACACCTCGCGGCACCAAATGCCCTAGCTGTGATGTCTTGGGATGGAAACCTTTCCTACTCCGAGCTTACGACGTTATCGGACAAACTGGCAGGCGAGTTACTTCTTCATGGTGTCAAACCTGGGATGCCCATTCCTCTCTTATTTGAAAAGTCAAAATGGACAACCGTGGCCATCCTGGCCACCATCAAGGCCGGCTGTGCGTTCGCGTTGTTAGACCCTATATTTCCACTGCGCCGGCTTCAAGCTATCTGTTCTGATATAGACGCCCCGTGTACAATCTGCTCCGAAGGCCAGGTTGGCCGAGCAGATAAGCTCACTGGGAGAGTTATTGGCGTGTATGACACTGCAGCCTTCTGGGGAAAGAAGAATCCGACGCGCCTGCCAGTGGTACAGCCACAAGACCCGCTGTATCTTGTCTTTACATCGGGGTCGACAGGAACCCCAAAAGGCATTGTCATTGACCACCAGTCATACTGTTCCAGCTCCAAAGCTCATAATAAGGCTCATCTGGTTGACGAGTCCTCTCGGGTGCTTCAGTTTGCCTCATATGCGTTTGATGTCAGCATCATGGAATCGCTTAGCACCCTTCTGGCAGGAGGATGTATCTGCGTCTTGTCGGAGTCAGAACGTCGCGAAAACTTGGCAGGCGCCGTACAGCGCTATAGGACTACACATGCGTTCTTGACACCTTCTACTACTCGACTTCTAATGCATCAGGATATTGCATCCCTCCGCGTCATTGTCATGGGCGGTGAAGTGATGTCCCCAGCAGACAGTAGTTATTGGGTGGACAGGGTCCATCTGATCAATGAATATGGAGTTGCTGAATGTTGCGTCGCATCCACCGCACGCCATATCACGCGGGCTGATGACCCCGTCAAAGATATCGGCTTTCCCTTGGGGGTGGCGACCTGGGTGGCAGACCAGACAGACTATCGTCGTCTTGTCCCCATCGGAGCCGTTGGTGAGCTCCTGGTTGAAGGTTTCAGCATTGGTCGTGGATATCTCAACAATCCCGAAGCGACAGGCAAAGCGTTTGTTCAGGCCCCGGATTGGCTCACTGCTCTTCGACAAGGCAAAGCCACGAGGATATACAGGACTGGTGACCTGGTCCAACAGAACGAGGACGGATCGCTGCTTTTCCTCGGCCGGAAGGACGCCCAGTTCAAGATCCGCGGCCAGAGATTCGAGCTGGAAGAGGTCGAATACCATATTCGAGGCTTCAAGGGGGTGCTCGATGTTGTGACAGTGGTCGCAGCTCCTTTGGTGGAACAGGAAGCGCCACGACTAGCTGCATTCATCGCCCAGAGGGACGCCGACAACACGCTCAGGTGTCAAGAAACGTCTGCTGGAGCCACGTTCCTTGCACCGCCCACAGAGAGCTTCCAGCATCTGACCGATGAGATCCAAACTGGATTGCACTCCATTCTTCCGGACTATATGGTTCCGTCGATCTACCTTCCTGTCACCAGTGTACCGAAAACCGACAGTGGAAAGGGGGATCGGCGGAGGCTGAAGGAGGTGATTGAGCAACATACATGGGCCGAGCTGATTCCATGCGGCGCCTCCAGCCTCTCCAAGGCGAAGCCCTCAACCGACGTCGAGGAGAGACTCCACGCGACCTGGGCGCATGTTCTGGGACTCTCGGGCGACAGCATTGGGGTGAATAACAGCTTCTATGACCTGGGGGGTGACTCCGTCAGTGCCATGCAGGTCGTCGCCCAGGCACGCTCTCGTGGCCTTGTGCATTCTACCCACCATATCTTGCAGCTGAAAACAATCGCGGCGATTGCCAAAGAGGCAGTCGTGACTGCAAGCCCACAATCACTCATGCAGGACGACGTTACGAATGAGTTGTTTGATCTGTCCCCCATTCAGCTATTCTTCTTCGAAAAGTATCCCGATGGCACATCACGATTCAATCAGACGATGCTCGTCCATGTCCAGCAGCCGGTGGCATCTACCGATATTGAACGCGCAGTGACCCAACTGGTCCGCCGGCATTCAATACTGCGAGCACGTTACGTTCAGGACGAAGACGGAAATTGGAAGCAGTACCTTTCGAAAGCCACCAAAGATTCTTTCAAGTTCCGATCACATCTAGTGTCTTCAGAGCAGGAGAAGCGACAGATCATCACAGCAAGCCAGGGCTCCCTCGATATCGTGCGCGGTCCCGTGTTTGTAGTAGACCTGTTCGAGCTCGGCGGCAAGCAATGTCTATTCATGATCGGCCATCACCTGGTCATTGACTTGGTGTCCTGGCGCATTATGCTCGCTGATATGGACGCAATGCTACGGGGCGGTCGATCGGAGCCGGAACCAGCCATGTCATTCCAGGCGTGGTCCCGACTTCAAACAGAGTACGCCCGGAACCATCTTGAGCCTGCCGATGTGCACATGCTCCCACGCATTGATCAGCAATTCATTGAGAAGTTCTGGGGGGCCTCGGGCAACCCCAATCTAATCGGGGATTCAGAGAGCAAGATGATCCGCCTCGATGACGGAACAACAGACGCCATCTTCACCCAGTCGAGCCGGGCGTTGGGCGTGGAGCCAGTTGAGCTTCTCCATGCGGCCCTTCTTTTCTCGTTCATGCAAACGTTCCCTGATCGCGCTACCCCTAGCATCTACGCTGAAGCTCACGGCCGGGAACCGTGGGATCCAACCATCGACATCACCCGCACGGTGGGTTGGTTTACCACCCTCTGGCCTGTCGTCGTCCAACTGGAGACATTCGATGACCTGCGAGCCACCATTGAGAAGGTCAAAGTTGCCCGGCGGCAAAGGACGAATAACGGCTGGGACTACTTCACGTCAATCTATAAGAATTCCCAGAACAAAGGGCAGAGCGCCGGTATGCCCCCAATTGAAATCACCTTCAACTACGCGGGCAAATTTCAACAGGCTGAGCACGCCGATGCACTCCTCCGTATGGAGCCATTGTCGAAGCAAAGTTTGTTCGATGGTGCCGGGGATCTCGATCGCTGGGCCATGTTTGAGATTAACTCAGTCGTTTCCAGCGGCTGTCTTGAATTCCACATGACATACAATGCTGCTCTCAGCAAAGACCGGGTCCTGATGCCGTGGATTGGGAATTTGACCGCCTGCTTACACAAACTGGCAACAAACTGGCGAGATGACTGATGTATCCAAGATTAATATAAAATGACCGACAGCAGAATTGGCGAATCCGCAGATCTCGTTTGGTTCACGGGTTAAGGACTCTCTCCGTAGGATGTAGTCACATCATCGTAGGCGTGCCACCAAAGGTCCGCCTAATTCCTGTAAGTAGCTAAATCTGCCCGAGACCACCAAGAAAAAGCACCGACACGGTCACCCAAGCGGAGCGGTGAAGATAACCTGTATGAAGGCGAGCTAGATTCCAACACATGCGACATCCAAAAGACATGGTGACGAAGAGCCACGAGCTCTGGTGTCACATGTAGCGACAAACAGGTTCAACATCAGGTATTATTTCAACCTGTATCTATTCCTTAAATCCTTCGATTGCCCGTAAAGAGTGGCATAACCGCACCAGCCGCTTGGCCATCCATCCTCACCGCTTTCCAGTCTGCCGCCACAGTATCTATCTATCTCTACTACTACACTATCCACAGGGACTGGTATGTGCTACTAGGGTAAATCGACGGTTGAAAAATTGTAAGTATCTTACATAAAGGCTCAAACAGGGTCTCGCCCCGAAACTATCATCACAACATAGATCTGTAGTCACAAACAAACAAAACAAAAAACGGAGGGTATGTAATCATATGCGTAGTTTTCTCTTTCCAAAACGGAATATCTATAATCGGTCGAAGATCAATCTGATTTACAGCTCGAGGCTAGGGGTCTGGCCCTTGACGCGGCCGATGACGATGTGGCCGGCGTACTTGGGGATGACCTCGTCGTCGTGGAGCATGGCGAATTCTAGAACAGTTAGTTTTCTGCTTCTTGCGTCTGGTATACATGATGAGGAACATACCTTCCGTGGCGTCACGGCCCATGAAGTTGAACAGGGCGTTGGCACCGCCCGGGTGCTCATCGAGCCAGTTGGTCACGTCGAGGACGACACCCTTGACGACGATCCACAGGTCCTCCTTCTTGTTGTGCTTGGCGACCTCCTCCATCGTGTACTCAGTCTCAGGGACCTTGAACTTCTTGGGGTCCCGAGCGGCCTCCTTGAGGGGGTCCGCGGCCGGGGCCGCAGCGGGGGCGGCGGCGGCGGCGGTGGCCGGAGTAGCGGCGGCTTGGGCACCGCCGGCACCGCCGGCACCGCTCCACTCGACGGAGATCTTGCCCGGCGTGGCGGGGTCGATGTGCAGAGAGATCTGGCCCAGACGCTGCGACGCGGCCGAGGAGCCGCCGCTGATGAGGTGCTGGAAGAGGTGCTGGCTGGCGCTGTCACCGGCGACACGGCCGTAGACGACACAGCCCAGCAGGGAGGAACCACCCAGACGGTTGGCGCCGTGGACACCACCCGCCAGCTCACCGCAGGCGTACAGACCGTCGAAGGGCTTCTGCTCGGAGTTGAGGACCTGGGCGTGCTCGTTGATCTCGATACCACCCATGGTGAAGTGCAGCACGGGCTCCATGAGGGCGACGTAGAAGTCGTCGTCGATGCTGAAGGGCAGGTTGTGGAAGAAGCGCTTGTTCCAGGGGTCCTTCTTCTTGCCGTCGGCGATCTGGTTGTAGTCGTCGAAGGTCTTCTTGAGGGCGGCCTCGCCGCAGCCAATGTCCTTGGCAAGCTCCTTGCCGGTCATCTTCCGCATCAGACCACGGCCGGCGTAGTGACGGGTGTGGAAGTCCAGGACGTTGGAGGCCTTGCTGTTGAGGATCAGGCGGATGGGCCACTTGCCCTTCTCCTTCTCCTTCCACATCTGACCCGAGACGTAGTCACGGTGGCCCAGTTCGTCGGAGAACCGGTCGCCGTCGGAGTTGAGCAGCAGACCACCCTCGCCACGGAGGGCCTCGGCGGCCAGGAACTTGAACTTGGCGTTGGGGTCCTTGGGGTCGACGAGACCCGTGGGGTGGACCTGGACCTTGTCCATGTCGATGCCGTTGGCACCGATCTCCATCAGCATCTTCTGACCGTCACCGGTGGCGTGGGCACCGTTGGTGCTGGACAGGCCGAAGGTATCGGGGCGGTGGGTCTTCAGGAGCGACCCATCGCCAAAATCGGCGGCATAGCCACCCGTGGCGAGGACAACGACACCGTCCGCCGAGGTGGACTGGCCGTCATGCTCGTAGGTGACGCCAGTGACGTTGTTGCCGCTCTTGTTGATGGAGGTGACACGGGCCTTCTTGACAATCTGCACGCGGGTGGGGTCCGCGTCGGCCAGCTCCTCTAACCGCTGCATGAGCGCATAGGTGATGGCCATACCGGGGAACTTGGCATCGTGGCCACGGTGCGTCCGGGGCTGGGAGTGGCCACCGAGACGGGAGACAAGGGTCAGGTCGAGGTTGAAGACGTCCTGCAGCCACTCGACGGCGGCGGCGGACTTGTAGGTGAGGACCTTGATCAGCTCGGGACGAGCCTTGTCTCGGGCGGACTTGAGGGTATCATCGTAGAACTGCTTGACGCTGTCCTGGATCTTCAGGTCGACCTGGGTGCGCGTGAGGGCGCCGTTGATACCGGAGGTAGCCTTGGTAGAGTTGCCACCGAAGAAGGCTGCACGAGGTTAGTTGATGGTTACCCTTCCCTTTATTTGAAGTATGGGGTGCATACCTTGCTTATCGAGGACGAGAACATTTCCACCATTCAGGTAGACGGTGTGAGCGGCACTGAGACCGGACACTGTGCGACGAAACCATGGTCAGTAAACTGGGGAAGACGCTCGGGGAAAGCTATGGAGACTCACATCCACCACCGACAACGATCACTCTCGGAGGGGCAGCCATTATGAGAGGGAGATAGGATGTGTAGAAGGAACAAAGGTGGAAGGGTAGGGAATGACAGAGAGGAGGGAGGGGAGTAGAAGAAAGAAAGAAGAGAGAAGTGAAAGGGAAGAAGCCAGATGGAGAGATCTTAAACCCGTTCGTGTGGGGGGAAGAGAGGAGAGAGAGAGAAAGAGAGAAGCCGACTGGGGATTGCTCTATCGGCCGAGGCTCATCTGCTTTATTTTACAGTTACGGTTAATACGGTGGCTATATCTGTTGACCGAATGCAGAAGCGGGGTACGGTAACCGGTTTACACAATCATACCTCGACTATGCTTGTTCTTGGTAATAATATGACCTGCATTAGTTCTAGTGTTTACCTCGGAATAACATCCAGCTAGGTTTAGAGGGCTCTTCAAATTGAGCATCCTTCTTTCACAATCATAGAGCTTGCTCCTGGTGATGATATCTCAATTCCAGATTCTAGCCATGACGGAAGATGGGGTAGCAGAGTGGAGTTGGCTGGGGAGAAAGTGGCTCCTCGGCCTTAGTAATGCCGTATTACCATCACGCTGGTTTGTTCGTCGTGATGGATCACCCATCTCCCCCTCATCATGAGAGATATTGGTACCAGAATAGCTGGTACTGAAGGAGAATCCCATTCATTGGATATTACAAGCTCGATCAAATGCCTACCACGGTTTTCATAAGGGGAAATCCTAGGTATGTGGCAAGGATTCGACATTCACATGCTCGACTCCCAGCAGTAAGGAAGAAATGACCCTGTCGAATGACATGATCAAAAGGAAGATCCCTCAGTATTCATGACACCTTTAGTTATTTTCACATGCCTTTCTTGTCTAGGTTTGAGGTGTATTTTTCTTTCTATCCCTCCAGCAAATAACAGAAATGAAACATCCGCTTATGTTAGCCCCACGTCATCGGTTGATGAGTATTCCTCCACTGCTAATTGCTGCCCGGACTCCAAGTGATCGGCGACTCAACAAAAAAAGGGGGGCCTGGATGGGGTTACCCTGGGGTGCCCCGTAAAGCCAAGGTCAATCCGGGGCCGCTTGATAAGAACCTGATAGTAACAACGAGATCATTGAGATGTGTAGAACATAGAAATATATGTCGCTTGTCACATAATAATCTCTCCGGCTTATGGTACGTACAGTGAAGTACATTAACTCCGTCCAGAACCCCCGTACTAGCAGGTTAGTTGCACTACGGCGTACTTTAGTGGGTGCTTGGAAGCCCCAGATACATGGCATGACACTCTCATTACCTACAAAACATCAGACCATCCCTCAAGACAACAAGACCCTCTCAACAGCCAACCCACAACAATTGGAAACGACATCCTATGAATTTCTCATCATTCAAGCAACATCTCAAAACCAACAGGTAATCCCCGACTCATCCTCTGTTGAATATACAGACAACCCTAGGTAGAGCTAGCGTCCCCAGGAAATACTAGAAATACCCCGGACCGACCCGTATTATTACCCCAGACATACGGAGTACACTCTTCCTTATCGCTCTTGGTCAGTGTCACAGCTTGGACCTCGGCCCGACCGCATCGCTCTCCAGTCTTCCCCAAGCTCGAGGTTGCCATGGAGAAGCCCCCTATCCTTATGATTAACTGCGACCTAAGGTAGTCTGGATCAGGATTTAGATTGGTTTCATGCTGATCTAGTTTACATGAGCTGTTACTCGCTGGGATCCTTTGTTCTCGGCGCATCTACTCCGTATACCTGCGTGGTCGGAACTTGTGAAATTATACTGATCAAGTTGGCGATTGCCGACACGGAGCATGATCCAGTCTGCCGTGTCATTGTGGGTGTTAGCCATTGGCGAGCTATAAATTATACGTGTATATCTCTATTGCGTACAGTAAGTCATAACTTACTGCATATCATGTATTTGCCGGTCAGACAGATTGAGTTTGGCCCGAGGTTAACAGATATATATATACACCCTACAACCGTGTAGCGCTACAGATCTCTACAGATTTCAAACATCATGGACTCATTAGTACTAGTTCTAATAAAATTAATGAAGAACATAACCAGAGGGTGATAGAAAATGTAGACACTGCCAAAAAAAAAAAAAAAAAAAAAAAAGAAGAAGAAGAAGAAACGAAAAAAAAACCTACTCTAGAGTAACTCCAGATGCACAATCACGATAGCTAACTCCCACAATATCCACCCCTTATTCAGCCCCACCCATCTCAATTCTTAAAGCCTGTCTCACTCTCAGACAGA